TTCCCCCGATTGCCGCCATTGGCAAACTCATCGGAAAACTTGCTCCCTTCATCGTCGATTTGTGTAGGTGTGAGCAAGGGACTAGCCCATTGCCCGCCTTCCCTGGGTCGTGCATTACGAAGTCCCTTGTGGAGGCGCAGAGGAGGCGCAGGCAGTGCTTTTACTAGGTTGTAGCCTTCGTCGTCTGCCTCGGTGCCGCTTTCGCTAGGTGATTGCGACACCGGTTCTCTGCGCTTCGCACCATTCATGTCTAACCTCGCGTCGGCATGACTTGGGGGTTCCAGGCCCAGGCTATGCGCTCTTTCAGGATACTGGCCGCGTATCTCGTCCCCGTGACGTAGATAAGGGTGTGGTGACCGCCGGAATAGTTGGACATCCTCTACTTCTATAGGCGAAAGTGCGGGGGCGGCCTGGGCTACTTGTCCTGTGTCTTGCGACATTGCGCGGGACGCCGGTTCTTCTCCAACTCTTGCGTAGGCCACCGGTGGTCGAGTATGCGACTCGGAAGTGCGAGGCGATTGTCGTCAATGCATGAGCAATGGCTACCTGGGGGTGAGCGGTGGCAGTAAGCCAGTCTTATGTCGAGCCGTGGCTGAATGCAATCGATAGTAGCCGGATGTTCTGGGGAGCAATAGATAGAAAGAGCGAGCGATTGGAAACGCTGCCAAGTGACGCAAAAAACCAGCAATGGTAGTGTCAACAATCATGGGCCACCAATGTTTGAACACACAATTATCACATGTTCGGGAGGCCTGGCAAGGCTGACGTTGCAGGTCCACTACGCGTCTTCCGACTCCCGCCTTGGGGGACGTGGGCAAGCCCATCAAACGCTTGTCTACTTACATTGCCATCCCCCCTGCCAAATCCAATCCCACCCTACAACCCATGACGCAACGCCTAATTTTTGTACCATTAATTTAGCCTTTGGCAACCATCACCAGACATCATCTTGCTTAAAAAAAATGCTAGACTAACAGGCTTGCAACCAGACTGCTGCCATTTCTTCTTTTTACTGTTGTACAGTTACTTCAGCTATTTTATTTGAGCTCCGGCTGTCTAGTTGCGCAGGTGCCCCCAAAGGCCCTGCTTGCATCTGGTCCAACAGGCCAATGTGTCAATTACTGCAGGTACTTGTGTTCTTTAAGCCAAGAATTCACATCCTCAGAATCCCGCACAACCCATGCAGCCTTTGCATTGATACTGTCCAAGCTCTGAGAAAGCGCCATGTCGAAGCCCTTTGTGCTCTTGTTCTTGAAAAAGGCTTCAATGTCCTCAACGTGCTCACGGTGCGTGAAGCAAGACGTCGTGATAGACACGACGGAGCTGAGCATGCTCAGACTTGGGGGAAGCCTGCGCTCTAGTTCTGCCCAGTTTTCCTTGACCCAATTCCAGAGCGCATGGCATCCTGCTGGATGAGTTCTTAGCGCTCCAATGGGTAGATAGATGTCTTGGCCCTTGACATCGTCACTGAGCGCCATATCAAGCGTGCGCTTCATGAGCTCTGGCGACTTGGCCCGCCCCAGCGACCGAAGAGCAGAGTTGCGTTCGTCGCTTGTTGCTGCATTTCGAGCCTCATTCACAATGATGTTGTACTGTTTTTTTTTATCAGCTTGGAGACGCGCAGTAATCAATGTGGTAATGACTTACCTCTTCTTCGCCGCCGTTGTTCAGTACAATGGCATACACGCTCCCACGAATGTTGGGATGGATGGCAGACTTGTCGCCCGCTTTAAACTTGGCAAACATGTCGAAACAGGCTTTGGTGATCTTCTCGTCACCTGCCATGCCGGCAGCGCCAAACATGAGGCCCTTGAACTGCTGCTGAATATGTCCATCATTTTCATTGAACTCCCATCCCAACTCGTGTGCCTTTTCGGCGCTTAGGTCGAGTTGGAACTTCTTCAGAGCATCCCTAGTCTTTTGGTCTTCAAACATCCATGCGCCTCGAAGCACTCCAATGCGCGACAAAATCTCTCCCCAAACAACGAATTCTGACTCATCCTTGAAGCTATCAAGCAACGAGAGGATTCCAGATGTCTTTTGGTACCCAGACGCAGCCAGCGAACCAGCATCAGCAATCATTCCGGCCCTGTCTTCAACAGTAAGGAGACCCTCCTTCGCGGCAATGCCAAGCTTGCGTAGTCGTTCTGGTGTGTATGAAGTTCGGTACAATCCAGAGTGGTCTGCATTTAGTTTGAAGAAATCCATATCCTTGAGCTTGAAGTCGGCCTCGCGATCGAAGAGGGTCAAGTCCTCATCAACGCCATCCTTGGTCCGAAGTCCAAGGAAGACAGGGTAAAGAGTCTGGTCTTCTTCGGGCTTGACATCGGCAGTGCGGAGGAAACGGTTCTGTTTGAGATGGATCGAGTCGGTGCCCTCAGTGACGGCGACTACAGGGTAACCGACTTTCTTGGTCCAGATGTCCATGACCTTACCAACATCCTTGCCGCTAGCCTTGGCCAAAGCAGCCCATAGATCGCCCGTCTCGGTGTTGCCGTAAGCATGCTTCTTGAGGTACTGGCGAATGCCTTCCATGAAGGTCTCCTCGCCAACCCACTTGGAAATCATGCGAATAACACTAGAGCCCTTGGAATACGAAATGGCATCGAAAATCTGATTGATTTCGTCTGCACGCTTCACTGGAATCTCAATGGGGTGGCTGCTGCGCAGGGAGTCGAGGGAGAGTGCGCTTGCGAGATTGTCAGTAACGTAACCTTCCCAGACCTTCCAATCAGGGTAGAAGACGTTGCAGGAATACCACGACATCCATGTCGCAAATCCCTCGTTGAGCCACAGGCCATCCCAGAAGTCCATTGTGACAAGATTGCCGAACCACTGATGCGCGAGTTCGTGTTGCACAGTCTCGGCTACGCGCTGCTTGGTGGCGGCGCCACTGACCTTTTCGTCAATGAGCACATCGACCACACGGTAGGTGATAAGACCCCAGTTCTCCATGGCGCCAGCACTGAAGTCTGGAATGGCTACCATGTCCATCTTGGGTAGGGGAAAAGCGCTGTCAAAGGTCTTTTCGTAAAACTCGAGCGTCTTTGCTGCCAGCTCAAGGGAGAAGCGGCCGTGCTCAATGTCTCTGTCTTTTGGTGCGTATACTCGCACTGGGACGCGGAAATTGTTGGTCTCGATGTAGTTGAGTTCTCCAATAATGAAACACAGAAGATATGTTGACATGAGTGGCGTGGGGTTGAAGGTAACAGCCTTGCGCTTTCCGCCTGAAATAGCACTGTCAACTTGTTTCTCCGAAGCCACGTCCATGTTACTCAAGCATGTCATTTTCTCGTCGGCGACAAGTGTCACTGTGAATTTGGCCTTGAGGGCCGGCTCGTCGAAGCAGGGGAATGCACGCCTAGCATCGGTGGGCTCCATCTGGGTGGTGGCCATGTATGTGGTAGAGCCGTCCTCCGCCTTGAACGAGGAGCGGTAGAAGCCAGCCATGTTGTCATTGAGGATGCCCGAGAAGGTCATGGTGAGCTGCGCCTTGCCGCCGCGGGGGATGGTCTGGTCGAAGCTGACCTTGGTCGTTTGTGCCTCTTCATCGGTGCTGACACTGGGAGCCTCTGAGATGACCTGCTGGCCGGCTGTGATCTTGGTGGAGTGGATCTTGAGTTCGTTGGTGTTGAGGGTTACGGATGTGGTGTCATCAACGACGTCCAGACTGTGCCGCGTGTCAGCAAGCGGGCGCATAAATTGCAAGGAGAGGTAGGCTATACTCAATTGCCACGGTACCAGTGTAGGTGAACTTGTCAAAGTCTGGCTCCAAGGTCAAGTCGTAGTGCACAGGCTTGACATTGGCGGGCAGCACCTCTCGACCCTTGGAGACATCCATGGTGGAGTGGTCGTCGACTCCGAAGTGTCTGCACATGTTTCTTCGGTGCGAGCAATAACGGACAGGGGGAGCAAGAGAAAGGCGGGAGGGGGGAGGGGGCGATGGGCGAGAGGGCGCGTGTTGTAGCCGTGGTAGCTGTAGCTGGGCGCGGGTAGCGGGGTAGTATCGAGAGCTTGTCGTGGGGCTCGAAAGCGTGTGCAGCTGTGGACTCCGGTGAGCGCTCAGCCGACTGCGCGAGGCGGTGATGGCCTGCCGCGATAGCACCACACGCCCGCATTGCAGGGCAGAAGCGCCATTTTGCTTGAAGCGCCGCATCTGACCCAACCGCTACAGTCGATGAGGGCGTGCTGCGGTGAGAGCGCGCTCGTTGCAATTGGCCGGGCGAGGTTTGGCAGGGCAGAGAGGGCTTGCGACTGCACACGCCGCTAGGCTGCCCCAGTGTTTGTGCCAGTGTGCGTGTGTGGCCTAGTACAAATACTGTCCCGCTGCCGCCCTGGCAGAGCCTTTCTTTTTTTTCTCTTCTCAAAACACCGCAAGGAAGTCCTCCCAGCCATCTCCCTCTCAGCAGAGACGCTGTGTGTTCTGGCAACATTGCCAGTCCTTGCTAGAGAAAACACTAGCCCTCGTTTGAGCCCTTCTACAACCACGCCATGAGTGGAAGGGTATAGAAGTAGCGCTACATGAAAAATGTCTCGGGCAGAGCAGATGATTGAATCCACGGCATGCTCCATTGTCAGATGCAACCGCTGCATTGATGGTGCAGTGCGTGCAGTTGCTTTGCCTCTTTCTTGGGGAGCAGTCCTCGTTGCCCCTACGCTGCATGTTTGACTGATGGATTGATGTCATGCTCTCTCACACGTAGTACATGTGCCGGCCAAACTTGCGCGTGCTGGGTGTTCCATACAAAGTCATGTGACGTATACTGCATTTGAGCCAGCAGGCTATCGGCACCACGAACAAAGATGTGCTCTCAACTGGCCTCAGAGACGCAATTGAAAGACATGTCCGCCTGGCCATTGACTGTTGCGAGGGCGCCCAAGTGTTGCTCGCACTCGCAATATACAGATCATACATCGCCGAAAGCCGCGGGCGCCGGCCAATCACAGCGCCCGTCGACTTGATTAGGTCTCGCCAAGACTCGAGCGAAGAAGTTGCGACCAAACAGCCCTCCTTCACCACTATCACCAACGCCGACAACCCCCATTGATCCACTTCCCCTCTCGCTCCGAGCCGGCTTCACACAACCATGTTGGCTCGCTCAGCACTGCGTACGGCACGCACCGCCGGCGTCGCGACCCGCAATGCCACCAGCAGACCAGCTTCGGTACGCCTCCCACACGGCCCAGTTCCCGCAAACGGCTCCCGCGAGCTTCATCAACGCCATCTCTGGCATCATACTCGGGCCTGAGCCTTCTTCTGTTGCAATTGAATGTCTGGCTGACGGATTGGGTGATACAGCGCTTTGCCTCGACATCGGCCTCTGCCGAGGGAGCTGCCTCCGCATGGAAGAACAACACCCTCCCCGCCGGTGCCACCATCTTCGCCGTCGGCTCCACTGCCTGGTACTGGCATCTCTATGGACGCGATGTCGACGCCATGACTCCCGCCGAAGAAGGGTGAGTGTGCCAACTCGCTAATTGCTCTATAGCCGAGACAAGGATGGAATGACGTTCATGCCTACGGCGACGGCAACAACAGCAAAGAGAAGATGCAAAGGAGAATGAGGAGAAAAAGAAGCTGACTGTGGAATTGATAGTCTGCACCCTACCCAGTACCCATGGGAGCACGAAAAGTGGTACAAGACGTTCGATCACGCTGCGTATGTCTTCCCCGAATGATACTCGCATGCTCATCCTAACATGTCAACAGCCTCCGTCGTGGATTTCAGGTCTACCGCGAGGTCTGCGCATCCTGCCACTCCATCTCTCGTGTCCCTTACCGGGCTGTTGTTGGCAAGTTCATGACTGTCGATGAGGCCAAGGTCCTTGCCGAGGAGAACGAATACGACACTGAGCCCAACGACCAGGGCGAGATTGAGAAGCGCCCAGGAAAGCTCTCTGACTACATGCCCGCGCCTTACAAGAACGATGAGGCTGCCCGTGCTGCCAACAACGGTGCGCTGCCCCCGGATCTATCGCTCATGGTCAAGGCCCGCCACGGCGGCTGCAACTACATCTTCAGTTTGTTGACTGGCTACCCCGAGGAGCCACCTGCGGGTGCTGTTGTGCAGGATGGCCTCAACTTCAACCCCTATTTCCCTGGTACCGGCATTGCCATGGCTCGTGTGCTATACGACGACTTGGTTGAATACGAGGATGGCACAAAGGCCTCGACCTCGCAGATGGCCAAGGACGTTGTTGAGTTCCTCAACTGGGCCGCTGAACCCGAGATGGATGACCGCAAGAAGATGGGCTGGAAGGTGTTGGCTGTCACGAGCGTCTTGTTCTCTCTCAGCGTCTGGGTCAAGAGGTGCGTTTGCAGTGAGACATGGGCACATGGTGAAGCAATGTTAACAAGTACAACAGGTACAAGTGGGGACCGCTCAAGAACCGAAAGATCCTCTACCAGCCACCACAGAACAAGAGCATCCTGGACCACATCCCCAAGCCCAACAACTCCGGCAAGACGAACCAATAGGTGTCAAGCGGCTTTGGATTTTGCGCGGGTTGGAAGAGTGGGTAGCGGCAGCGTGTGTGTTCTATATCTTGTACAGTGCCAAGTATTTCCAACAATAAGATTTCCTTGTCTCGTGACACGGCTGAGGGCTGCATGTATGTGTGTGTGCGTGTGAGGTTCGGGTTAATAGTTTGGCCATGGGGCAGTTGAAGAGCAGCAGGCAACATGGCGTCATCCGGGGCAATGGATTTGTGCCTGCCGTCTGGGTTCGCTTGAGCATGCGGCTAAGATAGGCGAGAGCGGCACCCAGAGACTGATGTGTAGTCTGTCAAGTCAGTAATGTACATATGTTGGCGACGACGAAGACGTGTAGGGGGCTTCTCGACTATGATGCGGCCACGATGGGGAACAAACAGAGCACACGGACGGACATGTTGGCTCGGCGCGGTTGCAAACAGGTTGCAGTTTGCAATAAGCAAAGCGATGCCCCACCTGTTGGTGCATAGTTGCAGTGTAGTCCTATAGTATGGCCGAACAGCGCAACAGAGGCTGCACCCGTGCCCAAAGACGCTGCATCCTGGCGTATGCTCGACCCCAAGGCAGAGCTACACGTGTCACGGCTGTCGGTGACAAACGCACGTCAGGAAGGGCTTTGTCGGGGTTGGGCTCCACGGCGGCTCCCGTCGAGCCTCTTCGCCATGGGTGTGGTAGGCGTGCATACGGGTTGGGCTGTGGGCGGTAAGGGAGGTGGACAATGAGCATGTACCACGTATGCGACTAAAGCCAACCACTCCACGACTCCCCCAGCCGTGCTACTACGACGCCGCGCCGGTGAGGCCAAAACAATTAAATAGCAGCACAAGTGGGCGGTGCATGTGCAGTAGACTCGCTCGAGCGTCTCAGCAACGGTACTGCTGTTGTCGTTGTCACTGCACGGTCTTCTTCCGTCCCCCGTCTGCTATTAGGTGAAGAGGCCAGACTATTATGTCCGAAACAGCACGGCTGGATATTTCTCATTGTCATCTGATTTGGAGACTCTGGCGCAGACCTTGACATCGTCACACGATCCGCCTTACTCCAGCCTGCGTGCGACCAACATCACTACCACCACACTACTGCTACAACCCAACCCGTTTGTCTGCCCATCCAAGCCTCCATCAGACAGCCCCAGTGTTTCGAGCCCTTCTGCCTTGACTTTCTGCCGGCGAATCAGCGCCCACCTCGCCCACCACAACGGCGCCGTCAGGCATTCATCAAGCGGAATACCCTGGTTCCCACTGCAGACCTCATTCTGCCGCTCCCTCCCCCCTCCTCCCCTTCTCGCGCGTGAGCACCGAGGGCGTCAGCATCAACAACAACAACAACAACGGCTTCGCACAGAAACACTGCACTGACGCCGCTCGACGTCTGCAGCGTCTGTCGTCTGCCGCCTGCCTGCTAGCACGCCGCTGTATAGAAAGTGCATCGCCGTCTTTTCCAGCGCCGCACTGCCCCGCCCACGCTGAAAGCGGTCAGCAAAAACACCCCCACCACCACTTTCCACCCTCCCGTCGCCCACCCCCGTCCGTCTTGCCCTCCGGATCTCGACTGCTGCTCACCCGCCCCATCTTGACCCATCGCTCCCTCCCTTCCCTGCGCACTCAGGACTCCGGACTCGGCCATTCTCTAGCAGGAGCAGGCTCGAGTACGGCTTCTCCTCCAGCACCGCCAACCTCATGCCGTTAGTCATAGCCCATCTCCCCCATACTCGCGCTATGCCTCGTGCCCCCTCTCGACGCTCGGCCAAGTCGCGCCCTACGTCGTCATCGTCGCGTACGACGGGCAGCACTGCCCCGTCGAGTGTCTCGATTACTCCCCCTCAGCGCCGCTATCATGTCAAGGGCGACACTAACGTTGCGATCAGACTACGGAAGGGAATCATTGTCAACAACCACACGGGCGCATACGACAACGACGACGACGACGATTTCACTGACGAGGACTCGGCTGGGATCCAGGTCGTCTCCGCCAGTGAAGAGGAGTACAGCACTGGTGAGGAAACCGAGGACGTGGACGACGAAGAAGACGAAGAGGAAGAGGAAGACGACGACGACGAAGACGAAGACGAAGACGACGTAGGGGAAGAGGACGAAGGTTCGTGGGACTACATCGACGAGATTAACCCCTCAGACTCTGCATCCCGCCCACGTGCCGTCAAGCATCACTCTGCACCACATCGTGCCGTTGCCCACCACCCTATTGTACATCACGCCGTACACCCTCCTTCTATAGCTCCACCTCGACAAAAGCCATCTCGTCGAGAGCGGACATCTTCGCGTCACGCTGCTCCTGTTCCTGATCCCCCCTCCCGTCACGAGAGCCATAGCCGAAGCCAAAGCCGAAGCCGAAGCAAACTGGAGCGCCAACGCAGGCCGCGACGGCCAAGGCCTCAATCCGTCCCTCATCAGGAGCCTCTCGAAGTTGAGGACGATGACGATTACCCATATGGTGCCCCAGCTCACGGTGCCCCGCCTCATGGTCACCCAAGCGCTGGCTGGGGTCATATACCCCAGCATGGGCCTAATGCCTTTGCACCTAGCATGGTTTCAGACCCTCGATATCAGTACGGCTACCCAGGAGGCACGCAATCGCCCCCAGGTCAATTAGTTCCTTTCGGCCATGACTCCCATGCTGCCTATGCACAGAACCCTTTTGCACCCAATGGACAAAACCCCTTCACACAGCCGCCCCCACCGGCAGCAGATCCACGCGGCGGCTACTTTCCTGAATATCAGGATCCCCGCTACCAAGATCCTCACCAGGCACGCAAAGCCCACCATCCCTCGATGCCGGCGGCACCTCCTGGGGAAATGATGCCTTACTCACCGACAGGCTACTATCCACCCTACGGTGCTCCGCCACATGGCATGCCCCAGCATATGTATCCCTACGGACATCCTGAACACGCACCACCGCACTCAGCGCACCCATCTCCACCTCCACATCCACATCCGCATCCACCTCCACAGAAAGCCTCTTCAAAACGAGCTACACCAAAGCCTCAGCACGAGGAAGAGCGTCATGCTGCCCCAACTCCACCTACACCTGCACCTCCACCTCCACCTCCACCTGCAGCACCCGCACCTCAGACTCCAGCGCAGATGCATATGCAGTTGCACCAGCCGATGCAGCAGCAGATGCAGCAGCAGATGCAACAGCCATTGCAGCAACCAATGCAACAGGCCTTGCAACAAGCCTTGCAACACTTGTCGCCAGTGCAGCAAATGCAACACATACAGCAAATGCAACAAATGACGCCAATGCAGCAAATACAACACATACAGCAGTTGGAGCAAATGCAACAGTTGGTTCAAATGCAGCAGCAAATGATAACTACTCCTCCACCCGCTCCGCCTCCACCTCCACCGCCACCTGCTCAACCAGATCCCAAAGAAGAGGGCATGCTTGTAAAACTTGAGAAGCTCTTACTTCATAAAGCTGACGAGGAGGAAAAGGCAGCTGAGCAAGCCAGGAGAGATGCGGAACTTGCCAAATTTACCCGTCTTGAGAACTTGCTCATTGCCCAACAAGAGGCTAAGATAGAAAAAGAGAAAGCTAAGAAGGAGGCTGCCGAGAAAGCTGCAAAAGAGGCTGAAGAAGCAAAAAAGAGAGGTGACGAGGACAAGCTTGCCAAATTGGAGCAACTCATTCTTGCTCAAAAGGATGAACAACTGAAACGAGAGGCCGCTGCTGATGCCGCCCGTGCAGCGGAAAAGGCCGCTGCTGATGCAGAAGCGGCCAGAATCGCAGAAGAGAAGAGGCAAGCGGCCGAAAAAGCCAAAATCATGCTCGAAGCAGCCGAAAAGGCGAGAGAGGAGGCTGAGAAGAAGGCGGCTGCCGAAGCCGAGGAGACTAAGAAAGCCCACGAGCAAGCCCTTGCTGAAGCCAAAGCCGCTGCAGAGGAGCTCGAAAAGGCAAAGGCTGCCGAAGCCGAGGAGACCAAAAAGGCTCATGAGAAAGCTCTGGCCGATGCCAAGGCTGCTGCTGAGGAATTGGAGAAGGCTAAGAAAGCTGCCGAGGACGAGGCTGCTGCTCTCAAGCCATCCGATGCACCAAAACTCCCAATCAAGTTCAAGGACGCTGTTGGGCGTAAGTTCAGCTTCCCATGGGAATTGTGCAAGACATGGAAGGTAGGTAGACAATCATTGCGTGAGGTTGAGTGGCTACTTACATGAGATCAGGGCATGGAAGAACTTATCAAGCAGGCTTTCCTACACGTAGATGTCATCGGGCCTCATGTGCACCAAGGCCACTACGATCTTGTGGGACCGGATGGCGAGATCATTCTACCTCAGATCTGGGAAACCGTGATTCAGCCTGACTGGGCCATCACCATGCACATGTGGCCCATGCCAGAGCCGCCGCCACCACCACCACCTGAACCAGTAGTAGAGGTTTTCCCTCCACCACCTCCGCCACCACCGGATGCGCAAATGTTCATGTCGCAAAATCTCCCTCTCAGAGGCAAAGGTAAGAAGGACAAGAGCAGGAAACGTGAGTCTGAATCTCACGCCCACGTCATAGCAGTTCCTCCACCACCGCCACCTCCTCCTGGCCACCCCGGCGAAGGTCACCATTCGCCACCGGCCGTCATTGTCGTACCTAGCGGCAGTGGCGGCTCGGGACACTCTTCACGCAAAAAGCCTACTCCCTCGCCGTTTTTCCGATGGGCTGCCGGTACCGCTGTCCGCAAAGACTCGGGCAGGAAGAAGAAGTAAGAGAAGGAGGAGTGTTGGATGATTGATGAGTTTGATGCGTTTGATGCGTTTGATGTGTTTATGTGTTTGATATGTTTGGTTTGATTGAACGAGTTGCCAGGAGTGGGGTTGGCGTTTGCTTCTTGTCTGCTCTTCATGTGGATTGCGGAGGTGCAAACCCATGTGCGAAGATACCATCCTGTTGCGATTAATGTTTTCTGGCTTGTTTTGACGTTGAATTCTAATACATTCTATAGCAACCTGTTTTTCGATCAATCTTGTATTAGCGTACTTTGTGTGTCTCTGTCTTGTGAGTTTTATCGTAGTGTTTGCTATTCACTGCTCCTTGATCGGTTGCTGTATTCTTGGGATATGTCCAGAGCTCCAATGTGCTAGCTCTCTGTTTCGAACGTAAAGTCGCAATAAGCTTTGTAAATCAAGCAGATACTAGGAAATGGAAATCGATCTTATAATTGTTTAAAAATCCATCATTCATTGTATTGCGTCATTGACTCGTTGGTAAATTTGAACATCTCCCTCTACCTCCAATTGACAAGCATATCAGACCTCTGCCGTAAAGTCCTTTCGGATGGTGAGATTTTCAAAGTTCTCCTGATTCTCAATCACCAGTCCCTGCTCATTTGCTAGATGCAGCAAGCAGATGAAGCAATAGCTTGTAGATATATCCGCCATTGTTTGCTTGGGGTACACGGCCTGCAAGCTATTAACCACCTTGGTGAAGGTCAGGGAACCATCGACTGCCTTGACGGCCGGGTCGTCGACAGCGTCTGGCTTGGGTGGCGCGGAGATCTGTTTGTTGGGTTAATTCGCTGGTCGAATATACAAGTAAATCAATGTCTCGAATACTACTTACACCTTCGAGCCCGATGCCCTTCCACAACTCATCCTTGAGCCTCTTCACATCCACCTTCTTCGCCACCCGGGCGTACTGGACGTATTCTGGTCGGAATCTGCGACTCTGTGTCACTAGTTGCGCACCAAATGCGTCGGCTTGTGAGCTTGGTAATGAACCATCCTGAGGCTGTGTAGCATTCGGAGCTTCGGGGGCTGGTGAGAAATGATCTCGAGCATCTGCAAAATCCTCATCATCGTCAATAGGTCCACCCGGCATTGGCAAACCATCATCTTGGAAGAAGTCTGCGTCATAGTTCCCTTGCGGTGCGCCATCTTCGACGTCATTGCCTTGATTGGCCCAGTATGCTTCATCAACATGACCATGTGCAGGTTCGTTGGCTGGCGGCTGCATTCGTCGTCCTTCCCTTCGCGGGCCCATGCGCGCTTTAGGTTTGAGGAACAGCCGCAGTAATTGTCTAGAGTTGAAATGTTTATCGTCTGGAAGCAGGTTCCGCGACTTTGATTTCCATTGTGCTTTTGGTAGCGATATGGTGGAATTCGACGTTGCAGGCGTGTAAAGCATATCGGCCAATGACTGCGACATGGGCGCAGTGAAGTCAATTTCAAAGGGTTCCTTTTCCTTCCTTTTGACTGTTGGAGCTGCCTTGCCCATATGCTTGACTCGCGAGATTCGCCAATGTTCCGGTCCTGCCCAACTCTTCTTGAGGGCTTGGTCAAAATAGCTTAGAATGTTTTCTTGTTCTTGGTCACGACCATGCACCATGGAGACACCGTACTGAGTGTCAGCACCGACAGCACCCTCACCTCCCTCTCCGGCTTCCTCATTGTCTTCAATTCCCATGGTATGGACGCGGGCTTGTGGATCCCGGATAGCTTCACGAGCCCAGACCTCACCGCCTTCACCAAAGCCAGTTTCTGGAGGCAGGTCAAAACCACCCATGTTCACGTCATCATCATCGAAACCCATAGGGTTTTCATCATCGAGGAAGAGACCAGATCGATTACCAGGTTCATCTTCTTCGTCTTTGTCTTTGACGTCGTCGCGCCAGTCATCAGGGGCCTTGAGGAAGGGAAGATCCATGGAACCATTTACATCTCCAAGATCGAAAGTCTTCATTGAAGGGCAAACATCTTGTCCATCAAGCCGGGATAGGTCGGGGAAGTATTTGGCAGCCAGTCCTGATATATTGATGTCGATATCGTCAAACAATTGCACATCTTGTGGCTCCTGCGACTGCTGACGGGCATCCTCGAGACCTGCACTTGGACGTGTATCTTCAGCGGTGGCGTCACCCGCATCATCGCTGCTATCGAAGACAATTCTGCCTTTTCCGTCAATGGCTAGATGGTTGAGCAGCAGACCCTTTGCGCCCCCTTCGTCAAAATCGGCAGATGCCTTCTTAAAGAGTGGGTCTACAGAGAACTCGAGTTCCATCTTCTTGTTCTGCAACTGAGCAAACGAGGATGCAAGGGTAGCCTCGGCGGAACGTGCTGCCCTCTTCTTGCGCTTCTTCTGGCCATCCTCGCCGTCTTCTCCTTCCCCATCATCGTCATCACCCTCTTCTCCGTCTTCGGCATCGCCACGGCGTTTTCTGCCAGCATTCTCTGCGAGTCCGCTCAAAAGTTTACCAGTATCGGTAGCGACGCTGTCGACTCTGCTGGTGTAGATTTTGACGCATCCGTCCAGAGTACAACTTGCTTTCTGGAAATTGACACCATCGCCTTCTTTAAGCAATGACATCTCGTGGAAGTAGTCGATGAGTGCAAAGTTCCATGAGTTGTTGGCATTGATTTTCTGTTCGGAGATGTTAGCCTCTGCATCGAGTGTGCCGTCATGGGCGTACATTGTCCGTAGCCATCTTCATCCACTCTTCGAAATTGGCCAGCAGCGGCATGACACGCTTGCCTGGCGTGACTGCTGTGCCTGTGATGTCAGGCATGCCATCCTGGCCCTGGGAGGGAGTGTGGGGACTGTCCTGGCCCGCTGCAAGCGACATGCGCTTCCTGGCGGGCGTGGCAGTCGATGCTCGCAGAGAGTTACGCTGGGCTTCATTCTGGGCATGGCGGCGGTTGGCCTTTTCCCGGCGGTCGTCGTTGAGGGGTACTCTATGCGAGTTAGCCGGGCCCAAGGGCGCGACGTGTATATAGAGCGAGTCGGCCTACTTGATGGGCGTCTTCTGCGGCGAGGCAGCCGTCGTGTATTTTGCCGTGCGCGGCATGGCTGCTATGGGTGGGTGGACGTGATAGCCTTTGTAGTGGGGGCGCCGGCAGGGAGTCCAAGCCGTGGTGGTGTTGGTGATCTTGTTTGTCAACAGCCAGGCCAGGGTCCGAGCGTAGGGCGGAGTACCAAGAACAACGACCACGCGACGGGTGGGCTGAATTGGACAGATCTGCACCGCCACGTATCCGCCTCAACGCCACACACACATCCGCCTCAACGCCTCAACGCCACGACACGACAACGGCCAACCCACCCAAGTGACGACACCCGTGGCAGGGCCTCTGTTGGCCTACTGCCAGTCGTCGATCTGCGCCATCACCTCTTTTCCTTCTAACCTGCTTTTTTCTAATTCTTCTACACTTTCAGCATCCTTATCGCGCAACTGCTTCCGCCCTCCGTCCGCTCGTCTGAGCACCCCGACTATTGCGCCTATCATAGCCTAGGCGACAGCAGCGTCCGCTTCTGCTCAAACGCCTCGCGCTCCGTCTTCCGCCGTCCTGTGACACCCGCCCAAATCGCTCCCCTCAAAGCATTCGAGTTCGCGGCCTTATCCATTGCGACTTGCCACCTTCCTTCGCGCTGCCGAACCACCTTTACGACCGTCTAAAGAACATGTCGTGACCATGAACCGCGACGCTATACTTCAAACTGTCCAGCGATGGCGGCGCCCACGCTACTCGGCACGCCCCTTCGCTCTCACCATCCTCGCCATCACCCTCATCTCGTTGCTCGCATGGGCAAAGACACAGGCTCGTCAGGGCACGACGTCATCTGGCTTGCTGCACAAGAGGGACGTGACCATCCTGGATCAAGAATGTCGCCTCGTCCACCATGCCCGCGACCAGTGCGCCTTTGTGCGCGCAAACTGCCCTGATGAAGAAGCCGGAGTCATCTCATACCTCACTTTCTACTACTGTCGCCTGCCTCACGCAAAGCCAGTCGCCTTTGCCCTAATGACCCTTTGGCTTGCTCTCCTCTTCAGCACCATTGGCATCGCAGCCAGCGACTTCTTCTGCATCAACCTCAACACCATTGCGCGCATGTTGGGCATGAGCGAAAGTCTCGCTGGGGTAACCTTGCTTGCCTTTGGAAACGGCAGTCCCGATGTCTTCTCCACTTTTGCTGCCTTCCGCACCCACGCAGCAAGTCTGGCTGTCGGCGAGCTTATTGGCGCTGCGTGCTTCATCACTGCCGTTGTCTCAGGCTCCATGGCCCTCATTCGCCCCTTTCAAGTTGCCCGCAAGAGCTTTGTCCGTGACGTTGGCTTCTTCCTTGTGGCCGCCGCCTTCAGCATGGGCTTCATCATCGACGGCAAGCTGCATCTCTGGGAAGCGATCAGTATGGTTGCCTTTTACCTATTCTACGTCGCTTTTGTTGTGAGTTGGCACTGGTGGCTCAACCTGAGGAAGGCGCGACGGGCGAGGGCTGCCACTATGAGGAATCAATATGTCATGCCTAATGGTGAAGAGGAAGAAATTCAGGAGTACCATGATGAGGAAACATCGTCCCACAGCAGAACCCCAAGCCACGGCATATCCATCGAAGACTTTTCCATGCTCGAAAATGCCGGCAGTGACGAGCGCATGATCGATGATGACGACAATGAAGAAGAGCGCGAACGTTGGATGGGCGAGCTGACAAACAACATGCGCGTCAACCGACCCAGTAACTCGCGTCGCAACACGCACACTCCCATTCGTCCCAGTCTGGTGGGAGCCCTCGAATTCAGGGCTGTGCTGTCTTCGCTGCAGAAGTCACGAAATATTCAGTCCATGCCCATCAACCTTCGTAGATACTCTGACGATCCGACCTACACCACTGCTCAGCAACAAAAGTACATTTCACAAGGGACTCACGCTACCGCCCAGCCTCCCTTTGACGCCCAATCCAGCGCCTCTGATGCCTTGGCACACGTGAGCCGATCAAACCTTGACATTAACTATGGTCTGGGTAACCGAACCCGAGCGGTGTCAACCAACGACATCGACAATGTCTTGTTGCAACCTAGCACCCTCCAGGGACAGATCGTGCCCGATATAACACTTGCTTCGGCAACCCCTAACGACCGAGACACGTTATTGAACGCTCCCTCGTCGCCAACTATCTCCCTTTCTCCACCAAACTCTCCATCCTTATACGATCAGAGTTCAAATACGCCCAGGACAAGGCCAACTTCATCCAACATGCTCGCACCACCTAGCGGTGATAACAGGGCATCGGTCCGCCAAGGCACATCGTCACCCAGCCCTTTCTCCTCGCCTGTCATAGAAGCCAGCGACCGTCAATCACCTCCAAGTCTAAGGCTGGTCGTGCCAGATGCTAGCTCTCCGCCAATTCCCTTCCCCGCTTACACTGACTATCCTTGGTCGGCGCAATCAGCTTCAAGACCAGCAAGCCTTCGCCCGCCGTCTCCCAGTGCATCTACAGTGTCGGGATATTATCCCAGAAACTCATTCGGTCTTTTTGATCAGACTAGAACCCCTAGATGGTGGCCATGCAATATTCTACCTGCTCCCTACGTGCTCCTCGCAACCCTGTTTCCAACTTTGACCAACTGGAAGAGCAAAAGCTTCTTTGACAAGATCTTGGGATTGGTAGCAAGTATACCAGTGTTTCTACTTACAATCACACTACCCGTGGTTGAACCTCCTTCGGAAGAGACCGAGACAAGCCATCCTGAGCCCTCATTCGACTTTGGTCTACCGACATCTCCATCAACCCACATTGGCAGCACGGATTCACATACGCGTAATGTTTCTGTTACTTTGCCGCCAGATAGATCAGACAACGTTACGTACTCCAAGGATAACAGACCCTCTAATTTATCCATGCCCCAGGGCAACAGCAACTCTTCCTCGACCAGGGCCGGTCACGCACCTCAAGTATACATTACAGGTACAGAGGCACTTGCGCAATCACCTGAGCAGGTCCCGGCACTCGGCTCGCCCGAACCGACACAATGGAATCGCTGGCTAGTCATTGTGCAGATATTCACGGCGCCATTGTTCATCGTCCTGGTCTTTTGGGCAAACATGGAACCCGACAACCCTCGCGCCCTACTACGTCATACACTTTACTCTTTAATCGCTTCACTGTGTGTTCTGGCGATGATTCTGCTCACCACATCTCCGTCTCGACCACCCCATTGGCGCTCGGCGCTTTGTTTCCTTGGATTCGCTGTCGCCATCGCATGGATTAGCACAATAGCCAACGAAGTCGTTGGTGTATTGCGCACACTGGGCGTCATCCTCAACATGTCTGATGCAATCCTGGGTCTCACCATCTTCGCTGTTGGAAACTCACTTGGCGACCTTGTTGCGGACATTACTGTCGCGCGTCTCGGCTTCCCCATCATGGCTCTTTCGGCTTGCTTCGGCGGCCCTATGCTTAACATTCTGCTGGGCGTGGGCTTGAGCGGATGCTACATGGTGATATCCAAGGGAGAACATCGTCACGAAAAACACCCGGATCAGTCGGTGCATTTCAGACCTTATCACATTGCGGTTAGCACTACACTGGTTATTTCTGGTGCAACACTACTTCTCACTTTGTCAGGCCTGCTCATTGCGGTGCCTTTGCGCAAGTGGAAAATGGACAAGGTTATTGGCTGGGGACTGGTCACATTGTGGTCTGTGAGTACAGTTGCGAATGTTCTTGTGGAGGTACTGGGATATAGTAGTAGTGTTAGCTAGAAGCCAATAGAGCAACCCTTGAATACCTCACTTAGCGTGTGCTGCCACGCCATATTACCGTAGATTGTGCCGGCTTTCACAGGACTTGCGACAGCTGCTGTCTGGTGTGGGGCATGTTTTTCTTTCTATTTTGATTTCCGCCTTGGCTACAACGACCTCCCGATACTGATAAGGGAATAAGCAGTCATGGATGCTGCTCTCCATCGTTACCTTTGATTACAGAAAAAAACCAGTTTGCAATCTTACCATAGGTATTCAGAGTGCAGCCTGTAGGATTTTCAATATGCACCACGCCTAGGAATATGCGTAGTTGTGGTTTTTCTTTTACTATTTCTTTGATCCAAACATATGCATTGCTATAAAGTGCAATGTCAGTGTGCGTAAACTTAAAATTATCCTTACTTCTTCTTACCTCAGTGCATTGGAGAACCCCCGGGGAAGAAAAATTGTTCATCCAGACTCCCCAACATGTTCTATAGCCTCCGGGCAGCCAGTTCTGTCGCAGGTACTGCTGTTGAGATAATAAACGAACCATGTTAGTCCACATACCCAGTTTCCTTGGTAGTCTTAAGCCGTTGCTAGAGACAACAAGGGAGTCGTGCTTTGCCCGATCGATATTGGCGCATTTGTTGTTCTAGGGGATAATCTCCAGTCATGTTTCTACAGAATATGATAGAGCACAAGCTTGATCTCGTTGGCCGCATACTAGCCGCTTCATCAAACTACCAGGAAATGAAGAGTAGCGGTAAAGCAACGGATTAGGGCAAATGCACAAATGCACAACCGAGAGTACCACGATTTTTACACGATATCCCCATACTCTGGCACGAGCATGAGCACTCAATAGACGATGTTCTTAACATACAATCTTGCGGCAGTTTTCTCTCCATTTTTATGCTAGGAAGACCGTTCAACAAGCTGTTGGCACATAATTATGCGTAAAGAGTGATTGAGAACATCCCAGAATCATCACTTCAATGCCTATAGCCTACAAATTCTATATTCAACTTGAATTCCTTCTTTTTTACCGCAAAATTCCACCGCTATCACCAATTTTACATAGCTATGATATAACTCCCGATTGGTCTAGGAAGTCATTGTGCGTAAGAATGCTGCCACCGCTCCGCGATGCTAGCTGGCAACAGCCCAGCCTTGGAGCAGATCATACTCACTTAGCGAACCAGAGTCGGCCCGTACTGTAATAGTAAAAATGTGGGGCAGAACTTCCTTACGAATTGAAACGTCATACTTACCTAAATGTAATTTTTTGGGTAGCAAATGCCATGTCACATCTCCCGCTCATAAAACGAACGCATGTTATTTATCGAATTTACGTATTTCCGCTACAGTTGAGGATGGAATCCCAAAATGCTTGTTCAAAATCAATAAGCATCAAGGAGCGAATCTAGCGTTTTGGCTTTCCTGACAAGGAAGGATATATCGCCCAAGCTCATTCACATTGTTCGTATGGGGCATCAAAAGCAATTAAGGAAGATGAATTGGAAAACTTTGATAGACGTAGGACTTGTATTAATAGTGACGAACTATGTATATTACAATATATACACGAACTACCTGCTGGAATTGCAGGAGAGACAAGCCAAGACACGACTCTAGGGAGGGACGTGGTCATCTGATTTAGATGATGGCCTTCTCGACGGGGATGACACCATCGAAGTCGCTGCTGCCATCGTAGGGGGCGGAACCGAAGAGAGTGGCACCGCTGGGAAGAGTTTGTTGAACGTTGAGAACTTATGAATGTTAGCTCTGCTCTTGAATGATGTGAAAGCAGGAACGTACCCTTTCCATCCCACTGGAAGTCGAAAGCGGCGCGGTCGCACCTGTGGGCAACAGGAAGCTCGGCGTTGGGAGCCTCAACACAGGTGCTCCTCAACTTCTTGTCTCCGGGGTACTCATCTGAAGTGAATTCGGCGTGGAGGTAGACATATCCCGGGGCGGGACCAACGGACGCGGTGACGGCCCACTGGCCCATCTCCTGGCGGGGAAGGACGGCAGCGGAGGCGCTGGCTGCAAGAGCGAGGAGGACGGCAGAGAATTGCATTTTGGTGGTGATGAATGAGTTTGGAGTGGTTTGGGTATTAGAGGATTAAGCTGAGTATTGTAGTAGAAGCGATGAATGCTGGTGGTGTTGTTATGTCTGAGGACGAGGCCACACTTATATGCAACATATTGTCACTGTCAAAATTTATCTTCATGCACGTTCTCTCGTGAAAATGGAGTCTATAGTATCGTTGCGATAGAAATTGGTCATTTACCTCGTAATGCGACGTCGCATTACGAGGTGCCAGGTTGAGCAGTCGTAGGGGGTTGCCTACCTCTTCCGTACTGATCGACCAATACACTTCTGACATAGGAGACACTAAGGTAAAAATAGGCTTAGATCCGCTCTAGCGCGCTGGTACTGACCCCTTTTCAATTGCCGTATCTGGCTTATTTTTAGAAATATATGGAGAAACAGCATTGATATCGAAAAGACCGTGCCCCGTAATGACGCTCAACGCTTACCGAGAAAAGGTAGCAGCATTGACTGATGCTCCGGCGCGACCCTGCAAAGTCATGCCACTGAGCCCTATTAGGTAGGTCAGAGCCATTTGCTCCAGCATGGTAACATTGATGGCATGTTAGGCGGTGGGCCACCACTATTTTGGTCTCGTGATCTGAGTCGCAGCAGCTACGCACGTCTGTATGTCAACACACCGTATGTGCATACTTTCATCACGAATGATCCATGTCAAATTTTGACTTCGTATAAGTAACAGCGCTTTCTGCACAGATGACCACTGACGGTCGCGAAGTTTCTTGTTGTCGGAACCATGTAGGTGCGACGGCGGTCACTACCATGGCCGATCGATCACCCTTTGCTCGCCCAAGTTCGCCACTTCCTGCCGGTATTGCCGTAACAACCGGCACAAGGAACCGAGAGGTGCTCCAGCTCAGATAGATACTTTTATTCGCTTTCTGAGGGGAGATACATTCTTGCACGACGAGGGTTACATAGAAAAAAATGGCTAATAAGAAGGAAGAGCGGTCTGCATACGGCTAGAAATATGTTATCTACTGATGGAAACAGGAAGATAGTTAGGGGGATTCGACTGACAGTGTGTAACAATATAGGGGGCAATGCATGCAGTGAACAGAAGATGTTTTGTGGGGGGGGGGGGGGGGTCAGGACAGTTGGGCTCCAGCGAAGGGTCAGGGTGGCTACAGAGCACACCACTGACGAAAGTTAAAAGACCAGCCCCGGCATTGAAAATCCGTGCATAGTTGTAACCTATATGTTTTCCATCTTCATTATCTCTGGGTTGCACTATACCTTTTTCTGCGGTATTTTTGATCTACTTCCTAGGTTGAAAGGGTTTACGAGTTGGCGGGGTTGAGTCTCCAATACGTACTGTAGTCAGTGGTATCCATCTAGGGAGTGAAGAGCTTATATCTGTTACATGATTCGTCAAGAAGGGTCGATGCTAAGCTATCGTATTTCTCTTGCCACTCGAACATCGATCTTGGCGGAGACGGTGGCGACTGTGTTCTCATGGATCCATGCACTGATTTCTTAAGTTCTGCACAACAAGGGGAAGCCCTTCGAGCAGGTCATTCATGCAAATCATGTAGAGCCCGCCTAGGTCTGACAGGAATTATATATGTAAGTACACATACACTAGAGAAATACCTGCTGGAGAGAAGTGATCAACACATCATCTTCAATGTAGATGGAATGGGACCTGAGGTGGGAAATTTATTTACTTACCCAAATTCATAAGCATCTAACCATTTCACTTGACAATGTCCTTGGGCAGCGCTAAACTGATTATACATATGGAGTGTTTGTTCCATGGAAGGGTCCTTGTACTATGTGTACAATCAGCTGGCTCATTTCATACGGAGTCACCAATTCAACATGCTGTCCGAAGTTCAGACTAATCCTAATTTTGGGGGTCGTGCTATGTGAAGATTATAAGGCGGTACAGGGTGGGGTGATGGACATTCGAAATATGCTTGTGCAAGTACCACAGCCTTGAACATGACCTCCGTCACATCCTTCGGGTGGACGGAGGACGGAAAATTACTGTCGCTTCGATATACTCGATAAAGCTACTAGACAGACAATCTAAAAGGCAGCGACAGCTATAGTGGGAATGCCTGAGGGCTTGGCTGCTGATGAGCGAGGTAGATTATGGCACCCATTCAGAGTTCAGAAAAATTAAGTTCATTGATAGATCAGGAATTCGCGAACGTGCCAGCGGCAAGGCCTTGTACAGCGCTGCGGAGCATACTGTGGTTCGTCCGCGAATCAAAATGTCCCTCCACTTCGGTTTCCCGAACTCTACAGGTATTATCTAGACTCTTCTCCTGAATAGAGAAATTTTTGAACTCGCAGCATCCTCAAAACATCGATGTGTATGCACGATGATTAACGAATCTAGCCCCCTTATACAGATACTCTGGACTCATTTGTTTTGTCAGCACGAGTTTCAAGTGGACAAGGGCCAGCTACAAGCTACCCGGTTTCCGTTTTCTTAAGATTGAAGCGCATGATACTTAGTCAGACCCAGTCAGAAAAACACTGCGTGAAATCCATATATCACATTTCTCTTGCCTCAAAAGGTCGTCGGATGCGGTCGGAACTGTGCAGGGTGTTGCTTGTCCCCTTGTGGCCTGGACCTATTGCCCTGTCAATTGACCAGCTGTAAAAGAGTTACCATTGGGCCCTTTACAGCAGTATACATACGTTCATGGTTTATCGGAAATCCATGGAGCCATTAAAACAGGTATAGACTGAAGGCAAGAACTCCTCATGAGCACGGATCTAGGCGGATCGAGCCCCACGAGTTGCTTGGCAGGCGCATTTCGGGTAGGAACCCCGTTGACTCCGACTAGGAACAACTTCCTCCAAGCAAATCACACCGATTGGTTGGCGAATAATCAACTAGGATGAAGCATGTTTCTTGCCGGGTATGGAATATACCCTAGTGTCTATCGAAGTAATGCGTCTCTTCGAAGGGAAATGCGAACAAGAGGTACATGGTTTTTAGTCCCACTTGCGCGACGTGGATGTTGTATATGCTCTCATTGTACCATAAACGTCGAACATGGCAGTATGGAAACGGAAATACCCTTCTGAACTTCCCTCTCCTGTAAGGATCATCTAAATGATACTGATCGGTAGGGATTTGAAGTATGGCCGTTTAGCGTCAAAAGGTCTTAGATGCAGCTCTGCAGAAGCTGCATATCGGCCAAAAGTGATCATGAATCAAGTACTCTAGAGGAAGGGGCGCCTTTACATAGCTTTGGAAAATCTCAACGATAGGCTAAGGCGGTAGGAACCAGGAACCCGTATCAGCGATCTTGGCATTACGAACATGGACCACATGTTTGAACTGTGCGCCGCCAAGCTCTGAAGGCTTGCTATTCGATAGTCAAGCGCATGCCACGCGAGAGAATGATTGTGATGTTAATGGTGTGCATCAAACGAAATATTTGAGATACTCAAAGAGCTCACGCCTTTGACTAGTTGACCAAGCAGCGACGACTGTCTGAGATGCGAAGGGGCTATGTGAACCGATTCATTTTCATTGCCAACGGGGAATGGACATTCGCTTCACTTCCCCAGTTGGTAATAGGGACTTAGTGGGGTCACTTCCTACCCTGGACTGTCTTTGTGCGTGACAGCCCTTGTGCTTAAACGCCTGTTACTACGACTCGTACTACTAAGTATTAGTCCGCGCCACTTCGGAGGATTTCGCTCGTGGACATCGGTGCTCGACCTTCCGCTCCATCACCACCTACCAGCGACCTCGGAGGTGACCATGTCGGCGACCACGACGGCGATAATGCCAACTTGCTTTCAAACTCTAATGTAGTTGGCTCTACTCTGCGGACAAAGAAGAGCGCACTTTGGGGAACAATAAGCGGCTTGGGAGATGTATCGGAAGCAAATGCGGAACATAGCAGACGGCCATTTAATCCGATTAGGAGTTTAGCTTTCGATCAGGAATTTAGCTTCGGCACAATTAGCAAGAATAGGTAAGGAGAGAACGGGGAAGACTTCGGGAGGTGGAGGTGGCGGTTCTAGTACATGATGGAACGGGCCGTAGAAGGTAGCGGAGGATCCGGTGAGTCCTTTAGGTACAGATTGGGGGTTATACGCTTTTCTCCCCTCTATTGGTTCAGACTGTGATGGATACACTTACTCCTTGTGCTATTACAAGGTCTCTCATATGAACAGGTGTTTAGCATAGTATGCATGGGCCATGAATCATGGTTTGGGCTTGATGGTTCCAATGCCAGGAACCAAGTATTTACACAATGGTAGACTGCAAGCTCGATTTGAACGCTTCGCGTAGGCAGGAACAGGAGCCATTTTCTCTGCCAGCTGCTTATCCACTCTGTACTCTTCTCAAATACATTTCGTTCCCTTTCCCTAACTTTTGGTGAGAAAATCTCTTTGTTGTAGCTCACCCCAACAACCGTGCGTTCGTTTCAGAAGCCCCCACTTTACTAGCGTAATACTAGTCTCCGGCAATGTGGAGGCTTAAATCGAAGGACATGTTCAAGAAGGCTCTTTTCAGGCTTTCTGTGTACGCACCAGTAAAATCGATTGGCTATGGTCTAGGCGAGACGGAATGTACCCACGTGCGCCCTTATCATGTCGGTACTATCTATTGCAGGGAAACAGTATCATTCGGTCCCACTATCACTTGGCTTAACGTCGCGGCATGAACACAGTAGCTTTATCCACTTTTCTATCCTAGAATATAGAGATTTCAGTTTTCATTATACTCATTGGTTAAACAACAACCTAGCGCTCATTTTCATCTTTAGAATTTACGTCCTATAATGTGCCTGACTAAATGAGAGTTACTCTTACGAAATGGTACCGGATGTTTGAGAGGGCCAAAAGGCAATCGGACCGAGCACTGCTTAATCCGGGGAACCACCAGATAACGGCAGCCGGGAAGGCCGTGGGTATGCTTACAAGGGCCATTAGGTTATTCTGTTATCGACTATAAGATAGCCTAGATAACTATTGCGATAGACATAGTTGATTGTAGCTAGAAGTTTCTATTACGAGACATGAGCCCAATGTTAATGCGGGACTTTTCCGTTCTGTTCGGTTCTAACCTCGCAACTACTACAGGGCATGCCAAGCTCAGGGCATCGAGCAGTAACTACTGTGAATGTGTGGATTATTGAATGCGGGATATGCAGCAAAGAACCCTGTCTATACATCCCAGATTGATGATAGTCTCTGTGGGGAATCATACGACGAACTCAACGATAGTCACCGTCGGGGATCTTATGACAAACTAACTCAGGTACGGACGTACTACGCGAGTCTGTACGTGAGGGTATCCAACTTGGCGATTTTGTATTTATCTATATAAAAGGCCTAAGGTTGCTTCCCAGCTATTCTTCCTACCACGCTGATTTCATCTCTTTCGAGCTGAAGAGTTACTCTGATAAAACAGTGGTTACTCATGATGCTTCTCTCCAGCACCATCCTCGCGGCCTGCCTAGGACTCATCGTCCCCGGCAATGCTTTCTCGGAAAGACGGATCGACAGGAGCATTCATGAACAGCGTGCAGAAGGTTCTTGTTCGGGGGAACAGCCTCCCTCTGTTGCTCCGCACAAAAACTTCTGGGGTGGCCTGACGGCGGCAGAGACTAGAGATGTCTTGGCTCTTCTGCACAGTGACGCCGTCGGATTCAATCTAACAAATGCAAACAATGCTACAAGGTAAGTTGGATCTTCCCAAAAATTTGCAACGCAAGCATTACTAACCCAATATGCAGTCGGGACAACAAAATGTACGTTCGAAACAAAGCTGCGGCTTGCACATCCATCTAACAAGACTGACCGGATTTCCAGCATGTCAGTTGAGCTCATGATGCCCAACAAGACAGACATCCTTCCAATGCTATCCAACAGCAGTGGAACTCTAACTAGGTACGCCTTAGCTGCGGTAATGTTCGGAGCTCCAGAGGAGGCCTATCTTCAGGAGTTCAAAGTCGGCCCTCTGCCAATCACCAACGCGTCGGCTGTGCTGCCCTTCACTTTTGCCAACACTAGGAAGAACCCGAAGATCTCAGTCGTAAACCCAGACACGGAAGACTATGCTACATTTAATCTGCAGAATATGAAGGATGCGGAAGATGTAACAAAGAAGCTTTGGAACCTTGTAAGTTTGATGTAATCTCTCAACTGAATGTCCAAGTGGCTGATATGAGCATAAAAAGACGGTTGATGACGGCCTCCAAGTACCCTTGGCTTTTGCTGCTCCGATTACGGCTTCTGAAGGCAAGGTCATTATGTGGCAAGGATTTAATGCTCCTGTTACAAGTATCTACGATACAATCTCCCTTCTGCCGCTAGGCCTCTACATGAGAACGGATATCACCGGCCGCGATCCTAGCAAGTGGAAGGTGACTGGCTGGGTCTATAACAATGAGTTCTACCCAACTCTGGATGACTTCCGCAAGGTTATTAATGAACCAAACTTCAAGCCTTTGGGAATGAACGTGGACGAGCCTTGGGCTCATACACGAACACTTGGAGACTCCTTGCCTTTTGATAACCTCCCACCACCTGCGCCAGTTCAAGTAGGCAAGGAAAGATTTACTGTTGATGAGGAAGAGAATTACGTGACCTGGAGTAAGTTGATATCTGAGCCTCGCATTGAACCCCGAAATGTATCTGATGATTTTCTAGTGGATTTCTCATTCTACGTCAGCATCACCCGCGACAATGGCTTGCGCCTCTACGATGTCCGTTACAAGGGCAAGAGAATCCTCTACGAGGTAAGCTAGGCTTTTGCATTGCTTCTTTGTTAATGTGGCTAACCAATACCTAGTTTGGAATGGACGAAGCCATCGCACATTACGCGTAAGCCAAGATTCAATGCCTGAATACTTTCACAACATGCTAATATCTTAACTTGATGGATAGTGGAATCGACCCAGTACAATCAGGCACATGGTATGGCTTCAAAATCCCAGTGATGCAAGTGACTTTGCTAAACGGTTTACCTCAGTTACTTCGACAGCATGAGCGGCTTTGGACCCCCAATGATCTCCCTTGTCAAAGGTGAACACTGAAACTGTTAATGAGCCATTGAACACAATGCTGATATGATTTTCTCTAGGCTACGACTGCCCAGCCTATTCCCACTACCTTAATGTGTCTCAAACTACCGGCGAGACTACGTACACGCAGAATGACGGCCTATGTGAGACTTTCCCTCAAACCTTGAATGACAATCACACTACTAACAGAACAAGGCATGTTCGAGATTGACAAAGGATTTCCCATCCAGCGTCACTCCTGGGCTGGTTATACAACCGTTACTAAGAACATTGCGTTCAACGTTCGCGCCGTCTACACTATTGGCAACTATGACTACATGACTACATATCAGTTCTCCCTCGATGGATCGATTGAAGTCGCAGTTCGGGCCTCGGGATATATCTCGTCGGCATTCTACGCCCAAAACGAAGACTATGGTTTCAAGATCCATGATAGCCTCTCCGGATCCCTGCATGACCACGTCATCACCTTTAAGGCTGACTTCGACATCTTAGGAGAAGCCAATTCACTACAGAAGGCTGCTATTGTGCCCACTACTGAGACGTATGATGAGTCCCCTCACAACCCTAGCATCGAATGAGTTGTGCTAACTTCTGTAAAGGTACAAATGGTCAAATCGAACGCACAAGACCATGAAGATTGCGAAAAGCTTCATTGAAAATGAAGATGAGGGAAAGATCAACTGGTCGCCTAACGGTGGCACAATGTACGCCGTTGTCAACAAGGATGCGCCCAATAAATACGGCGAATTGCCTGGTTATAGGATTGTTCCAGGTTCGCTATAACACTGTGAAATAGGCTATTTTATTTACTAATCGTACCAGCATCCGGTGTGGCCTATCTTACGATCGAGGATTCGGACGTCACTCAGAATGCGGCTCACCACACCACACACCACCTCTACGTTACCAGACAGAAGGATAATGAGATTTATGCCGTAGGCGCATACAACTCACTTACGCCTGAGGATCCTCAAGTGGACTTCAACGAGTACTTCAATGGGGAGTCTCTTGTGCAAGAGGACATGTAAGTTTTTTCTTTCTCTCTAGGACACCATATTCTAACATCACGAAGAGTCATTTGGTTCAACCTTGGTATGCACCATAGCCCACATAGTGGAGATCTGCCCAATACTGTCTTCTCTACGGCCCATTCTGCCATGACAATTGAGCCCTTCAACTATCTACCGGGTGATCCTTCGCAGGCCAGCACCCAGCAGGTCTTGATCAAGACAAAGGACGGCAAGGCAGAGATCACTCGTTATGGTGCTCAAGAAGCTACTTGTCCAATAGACACGGTACGTTACTCGAGTATATTCCCACGAAGATTGATACTGACAATCCCACTCCTACAGGCCCAGCTAAACCCAGACCTCTCACAGTACTCGAATACTATCAGTATACTCAAGTTCCCATTCGATGGATCGAAGCCGGATCGTGCTTAGGTACGGGATGTCGCGAAGCATGTCACTATGGGGTAGGGTAGGCTCTTAGGTAACTGAGATAGCCGGATGGAAAGTGCCCCTACCACAACAGCGCAATTCCTCAATAACGCCTACACTACGTACTAATTAGCTATAAAAATTAAGTACACAAATAATACTATGCCTGGTGAGGCTTCTAGTACTTTTAAAGATTTTATAACGCTCTTTGTGGTGACCTTTGCGATGGTTTGGGCTGATGTTTGGCATGGTTTTTATCCGGCTATTTTAGTTCCCCAAGAGGTACCTAGGATTCCGGCCTCTCGTTACACCGGCCAGCTCACATTGCTATGGCTGTAGTGAGTGTGCTTTGAGCACCCACACTCAAAGAGAAAAAGGTGGCCGGCACAACCATATCTAAGTGGTAAGGTTGCGTATAGAGGGGTGCTAGATAAGAGTGAATAGAGTAGGGAATAGCAATATCAGTTTTCTAGTGAGCGATTCTGTGTCGGCTCATGACTTACAACAAGGACTTTGGTGCTTAGAAGACATAGTGGATATATTGTTCTTGTTCTTCGTGAAGCCAGGCAACACGATGTGGTGTGCTGTGTATCGTTTCATTCAAACTATCGATGACTGAGTATTATCTATAAGAGCACCGGTCTTTGAATACATGCATGTTCTCGTCACCATTGTGACTTTTGTATCATGCACCAGTCCTAGTACGCTTCCTCGAGCCGTTAAATCGGCTACTTAGTGCGTGATAGATCCCTCCCTTGTACTTTGTTAGCATATACAATTCGATTCGCGTCTTATCTAGAGGTGGACTTACAGTTTTCCTGGAGGTTGCGGCTCTTCGACGGGCTGGACCTGGACCTAGCTCGCGTTTCTGGCAGCAACAACCTCACCACCACTATCCATGTCGACGCCGTCTTCGTTGATTTCCATGCGCTGAATCATCGCCTGGGTGTCTGCAACCTGGCCGGCATGCATGTGCACGATGACGAAATCATCGTCCTCTAGGTCGTAGTCCTCTGGTTCCTCATTCTCTAGTGCTTCTGCTAGCTAGTCAAATGACGTGCGGACTTCAGCCATGACCTTATCCACGTCGCTGTTTTGACCCTCTGGATGCCAGCTTCGAATCAATTTCCACAATGCGTCAGATTCTTCCCAACAGTGAAACGCCTCGTTCAAGACCTCAAGCGCTGAGCCCAGCAGCAAAAGCGTCTTCATCGGATGGTAATGAGGGATAGCAGGATCTTCGAGCAGCTCACGAGCGTTTGCGACACACTCGTCTAGGAGATCGTCGTCATGCAGCGCTTTAGCACTGTTGAATGCCCTGGTGAATCGAATGTCGATGTCGCGTTGGTCAGCCATGGCCGGCGAGAGAAGCAAGCGGCGGTTGTGGTGTGGCTGTTTGGAGAAAAGAAAGAGCTGGGGGTGATGGGAGGTAGTGAGGGTAGGCAGTGAGGGTGAATGCTTGCTGTAGATTCTTTGCGAAACGCTCACTATCACAATGCAAACACGCACGCGCAAGCAAACATGCGCAAACATGCACAAACATGCAAATAACAGTTGCCCTTGGTCCGAGACTCTTCACCTGTTCAGCACTCAACTGCCACACTCATTACGGAACAACGAACCGACTGGCCTTCGTGATGTAGCCACGCCAGTCGAGCAGGGCAACCCCGCGCAAAGACCATGCGGAGAAGAATGTCACTGACGACGATGCTGACTTCGATGCCGACTTCGATCCTGCGACAAACGATCATTCTGAGTCGGCTTCTGACGAAGCCCTGTCGAACACGCCCCGATCAAAGACCGGATCCAAGCGAGCTAGCACAAAGCCTTTGCAGGGGACGGTAGCGAAGAAACGAAGGAGAAAAAAATTATCGTTGAAGCTATGGAGGCAGCCCCGGCTACTCAAGTAGCAGCGGGGGTCAGCTCACTGGGGCTGGAGACGGTAGCGAAGAAACAAAGCAGAGGAAGAGTTATAGTTCCAGCTGCGAAGGCAGACCTAGCTACCAAAGTGGCAGCGCAGGCCAGCTCACTAGAGCTAGACCGTAGGAACATCGTTAACAGTTTTCCTAAACTCGTTAAAAACTAAAGGCTTCGGGTAAAGCCAGGATCGCGGCACAAGTACATCTTTACCTTTATACTCAACTTGCCGCTGTACGATAGCGCGAAACGCTTCTACAAGCTAAGAAAGAACAAGGTTATTCTATATAACTACAACCCGAACTGTAGTTCGACAGTCGCAGGCGCGTGCACATGACTTACGCGCCTCGCTGGAACTCGCCTACTAGTCAGGTTTCCACAGGGTCCCTGTATTCCTCACGTGGACAGTACTATGTACCTGCTTTGGACTCTGCTGATGCTCCACTATCACAAGCCATGGACGCGCGCATCGTCGCATCTTCGGACACAATACACTACATCACCGTTATCCGTCAGTAGGTGTGCTTAAGTATAAGCAAATGTGACCGCAATGTGTGCTACGGCTCTATCCTACGAGATTTTGAACGACTGAGTCGGCTAAACTTCGGAAAGGGCACTCTGATTGTCTAGTGTGTTTCCCGCAAAGTCTGCGTTTTGCCTCGCTTAGACTGAAACTGGTCGAAGAGCGCAGTCTTGGCCTGCAATGGCGGGCCGTTGATGCGGTCTCTGGACCTGATCTTGAGCGTGCGTCCGACGCCAGAGAACGCGGAAATTAAGCCCTAAGAGCTGGAGCCAAGGCCCTTACTCGCTACTCCGCCTTGCAGAAGAAGGGAACTAATCGGTCTTCGTCTAGTCGACGGTGGTAGCGTCCCGCGTGGCTGTCATGTTCTACCGGTGCCTCTATCAGCCGCTGTTCATCGTCGCACCACACTCTCCAACAGGGCCTCACCAAATCGATATTGAAAGGCCTTCATTCCAGTGGGTTGTTCATCAGCATGGACTACCCCAGCAGATTTGAGCCTCTCTCAGGGGTGCAGCATGAATTATGTCCTCTTTCGGCCAAGCGCTACCATAGGATACCAAACCGGGTAAACGTACTGTATCGGTATAGTCACTATCCTGCGGGGCCCCACAATCAAATTTAAGTAATATATTCCACCAAGTAAAAGCTGGCAGAATAGATTGGAATAGCTTCCATGATTCTTCTCTGAGCGCCACCAAGAGCCTCTATACCTTAAGGATGATACCTCGAAACGATGGACATCACGAGGCCAATCTAGATAATGCATTGAACCAATCGAGGCGTTGGCTAGTTTAGATGAGAAGGATAGAGTCCATCACAGGAAGCAATCCCGTCCCGGGCCTTTGTCCAGGAGTACAGTATAAGTAGAGTAGGAATTCCAATTGAAGAGTCTGCCACCCACCACTCCTTCAACAGCATCAGCTTCTCCTCAATTAGCCCACAATGGCACGTTATGCACTTCTTGCGGCAGCCCTTTTGGGTTTCACAGTCGCCCAAACTCCAGGAACCACTCCTGAAGTGCACCCCAAGCTCACCACATGGAAGTGCACCAAGCGTGGTGGATGCAAGGCGCAGAATACTGCCATTGTCACAGACTCGGCCGCCCACCCCATTCACCAGAAGAACAACTCGACCCTAGGCTGTGGATCGTGGGGTAACGGTCCCGACCCCACAGCATGCCCTACAAAGGAGGCTTGCGCCAAGAACTGTATCATCGAGGGCATCTCCGACTATTCGACTGTAGGCGTCTTCACCAAGGGCGCCGACCTCCGCATGGACATGTACAACCCTGCTGGCAACTTTGTCAGCCCTAGGGTCTACCTGCTATCTAAGGACGAGAAGAACTACGAGATGCTTCAGCTCACTGGTAACGAGCTGACCTTTGATGTCGACATGTCTAAGTTGCCATGTGGCATGAACGGTGCCCTGTACCTGAGTGAGATGAGAGCTGATGGTGGTCGCTCTAAGCTCAACCCCAAGGGCGCTGCCTACGGTACGGGCTACTGTGACGCACAGTGCTTCGTGACCCCCTGGATGAACGGTGAAGTAAGTACAGCCTCCTTCCCGTCCGACTACTTAGGGTCTTCGACCCTATAAGACAACCAATGATGCGAATACCTGTATTCCTTGTCAAGCATGCTAATTCGCCACAGGGAAATGTCCAAAAGCAAGGTGTCTGCTGCAATGAAATGGACATCTGGGAAGCCAACAGCCGCTCCACCTCAATCGCACCGCACACATGCGGCAAGCCAAGCATCTTTGGCTGCACCGGCGACGAGTGCGGCAAGACGGGTCTCTGCGATAAGAATGGCTGTGTTGATAACCCGTACAAGACCCGCGGCGACAAGGCCTACTACGGCCTTAACCTCAAGGTCGACACGAACCGCCCCTTCACTGTCGTTACGCAATTCCCTGCTAAGAACGGCGTGCTACAAGCCATCGTGCGCAAATACATCCAAGATGGCGTCGTTATGGACAACGCCGTCAAGAACATCACCATGGACCAGGCGTACTGCTCTGCACAGGGCGGCGCGGAAATGTACAACCAGCTCGGAGGCCACAAGGGCATGGGTGATGCCATGTCCCGCGGCATGGTGCTCGCCATGAGCATCTGGTGGGACGAGGGCGGTGCCATGCAGTGGCTTGACAGCGGTGCCTCGGGCCCATGCAACGCTACCGAGGGCTTTCCCGCTGAGATCGTCAAGAAGGTTAAGAACCCGACTGTGACTTTCAGCAAGATCAAGTGGGGCGAGATTGGCTCGACTTTCTCAACAAAGAAGGCGACGGAGAAGCGATGGGAGGCCTAAAACGCTTTCGTTGCTTAGAGAGCTTGGAAAATCATTCTGTATGTATATATTGAGAGTTCAATCGATTGAATGAAAGAGTACATAATACCAAGTCTGTATCCAATCATGTGCATGCGTCGCATCGTAAGGTAGCAGATCTGGCACAACATTTGTTAGCCAGAAAGCCCTGTGCGAGTCCTGTAACACACTGATTGCAAGGCAGAATCTAGCTATATCTGTTTTATTAGACTTTCAAACGCGCTCATTCACGCAAAGCGACGTTGGATGTCCGGATATGAAATGTACGTAAGCCACGCAGCTTACAAGGCGCCCCCTGCAAACTCTAAATACAGAATGCGTTGTCCCGGATTCCGACCAACGGTGACACGTGTTTTGACTAACGATCGTTTTTCAGTCCGTCTCCATGTTTCAGTACTGCAGCAAGGCTCCTTCTTCTTATGGGTGCGCTCTTTCGAGCAACATGCAGATATCCGCCATCTAGGGATGGAGATGGGTATGAGTAGGGTGCGCCGTGGCTGCGAAGCTGAACTTTTCTTCTTTCCCGCTAGCTGGATGAAACTGAATATTGAGAAGCTAAACAGCATTGTTCGGATGGATATTTTTATTCGTCTAGCCGTTCGTAATAGCTTGGATACCCTGGTCGCATAGCAGGATCGTCAACGGACTAAGTGAATACTAAACCCTTACTTGCAAAGATGAGAAAGGCTGGGGTGTACCTCTCTACCACTCTACTAGCCTGTACTGGCATGACCGGGTGGAGGGGTGTTGTGAGGTTATTCAGAACAAGCTGATCTCTATAATTCACGTGACATTACAAGTGGTACTTGTAGATTTTTGCCCCATGAATCCTTCTGACGAGTCTACAATATTGCACTAGTGCTTTAGAAAACATTTAGTATAACATTACAAATGAACCTTGTTTATTATTTGACCGTGGGTAGCGGGGGCGTGGAGTCATTGGCAATATCGCCTAATTTGGCTGCATGCATTTCTGCTGCGCTTGCCTAAATGATTACTACACCCCAGCATGACCACATGCTAAGCTCATCTTTATTCAATCCTCTCCAATTGAAAAATTATACATTGCCAGCTCACGAACGACCCTTTTCGATCATAGGCACTCCATCATTCGGCCGTCGGGCTGATGTCAAAGGAGTCCGAACACATTCATGACTCTCTGCACCACCTGGAGTGAGTTGAGCGGAAGGACAGCTAGGTAGTCGCCAGCCCAATATGTCCAACAAGAGAGCAGACGCAGCTCGATGTAGCGTTTGTGCACCGCGCCCACCCGTGTCAGCAGTCGTGTTTCCGAGACCTGCGCGATCTACATGTCTTGCCGGAGGTTGGAGCGCGCTTGAACATCAATTTCCAGAGGCAAAATCTTGATGGAGCTGTCCGTCTCATTCTTGCCACTCATCAACAAGATTTAATATATTTTCAAATATGACGTCGAGCGCCATACGATCCGTCAAACGCGCCGCTTCGTTCTTCGATAGAGCATCGTCTACAAAGGTCGGTATTTTCTGGTATGTAGAAATCCATTCCTATTCTGGACCCGAACAGGATGCGTAAAGGTTGCTGGTCGCTACTTTTGCCACGCGATTTCATGTGCGACCTGGACATTTTCCTATTTCCAGTGATGTGTTCTCGCTATACGACGCTTGCATGATGAAAGAAGTCCTATTTTCTCAGGCGTGCTTTGCCGTATAAGTCCTAGGGCTTGATGGGCAGCTCCTGGAAAGCCTTTGCCTTCCATGCGCTCTGGCCAAAAGTCGATGTCTATGTAAACGCTTTAGAGGCACTATATATTCTGTATTACCCCTCTAGTAGTGACTTTAAATGTAGTGTTTGTATGTAGAAGCGGTTTATATATTATTCGTGATAGATAAATATAGCTTGTTACCTAGCTAAGTTAGGTTTGACAAATGCCCACAGCCTCACTCCAGGAACTCGGATCGGGCATTAGGAGAGTGCAGGTATAATCAAAGACGAGTTAGATACAAAGCCGTTGACTTGGTGAATATTAGCATTTGCTAGTATATAACGATACCTGAGCTCTACTTACGATCTGAGTTATATCGGACCATTTGAGCCGCACTAGAAATCTAGCATCAGTATATTGCTCTCATACAAGACATGAAATACTCACTATTCTGGACTTATTGTCGCCGAGATATCATCCACGAAAACAGTGTCGTATCCCTATATCGTCAGTCTTTCGAAACAAGAACATCTCGATGCCATTTGCTGACCTTGAAATATGCATCTAGGAGTGTGCCATACTACAACCCAGATTAGCTTTCTCTCTAGGTTTTTGGGCGGAACAACATACTACGCATTGATCTGAGTTCACACCTCCAAAGAAAAGAGTAGTGATCTGATTTTCTTCCAACCAAAGGCCAAGTGGTGTCTGCGCACCCCACATGCCGCTCACACGGTCTAATTCAGCATTAGCGATTCCCGTCATCATGCTCTACCTGCAAGCTTACTTTTGTTGAAGTAATGATCAGTCCCATCCTTGACGCCTTGAACTTGGGCATCGTACAATTTTCCATATGGCCTTGCATTCCACGAGCCCCGCATCAATGTTCTACCCAACTCAGTGCCGTCTTTCAGTTTCCCCATATCACTACCGAACGAATCTACACATCTTAGTACTATTTTACAGCACCCAAAACTGTGCAGAACTTACTTGTAGGGCTGCGCTTAGTTTGCGAAAACCCAGAGATATCCGCAGGAGGCAGATCCCGGAGATCCTTACCATCAAGACCCCAGTTTGTCCAGAGCACAGGCATACCATTTCTACGAAATGCATCGATCATATTAAGCGTAGGCTCCACTGCTTTCCGCCCGCCTTCAGCGCTAGGAGTAAGCTCTGGATGGAGGAAAAAGTTCTGCATATCGATTATGACGAGCGCAGAGCGTGAGGGTTCAATGACAGCGCGTTTTCGGGATCCTGTCATGGGTATAGTGACGGGCTTAGTCGTTGGCGCGACCATGGACCGTGTCAAGTCGTACGTGTCGTTTCCAAGGTAGATCCAATGATTGTAAATATTTCCAAGAAGAGTGGTATTGGTTGTTGGGAGCGTAATATTTTGGTACGCGGTGATGATGGTAGACGACACGAGTGGCAGAGCTGCCATGGTGGATACCATTACCGCGGGGAGTTTCATATTTGTTAGTGCACCGTCAGTAAAGCACGTAAAATCAGCCAAGGATGGATCGTTGAATGTTGGAATGCGAAAACAGCTCTGCTTTTATAGTCCGTTCTGGGGATCTATATTAAATAACGCTATGATATGTAATAGGTGATGAATCGTATGGATACTTTCATTTTATCATTTGTAGCTAACTGAGTTCGTTCCGGTGAAGAGCACCTACCTACGTGCCAAGCAATGTCATGCGAGGAACATGTGTTTCCCCTGGTACATGCATCTTTCCTTATTTCCCGACCAAGCTTGAGGGCGATCTCCCCGCTTGTGAAACTTTAATGCCGCTGCCGTCCAATAATGTAGGTATAAAATGCAAAGGGCTATCGTGCGGGGATATCTGCCGTCATTTGCCACGTCAGCGTTTGCTCTCAACATGCCTATGATTGGAAATTCTGCTGACTCTGAACCCGGACAATAGCGGAATATCCCCGTCGTACCTTGCGTGATGGATGCACATGATAAGCAAAGTACCCAACCCATACATTGTGACAAACTATAATTTTTGCAACTGTTACTGATAGATTTAAGAAAAATATATATCTTCTACCTAGTTTTTTATTACATAGATTCTATAGAGTTAGGTATGGTCTTGATGTTGAGGTATGTACATGTGCGATACCAACATGATAGGAAAGGATGTATACAAACATGGAAAACCTACTCATTCCAGTGCGACATCGTAATGCCGCATTTGAAATAAATTTTTCAACTTACTAAAGATGGTTCAGAAGTATTACATGCTAAGAAATGTTTTCGAGTATTAAACAGTCTACAATTGGATATATACTCAGCGTACTCGTACACTCCTGTATCTATAGCTAAGACCTGGGTCAAATAGACTTGGCCTTCTCACTGCTCTCACCCTATCGTTGTGGGTGTGATGAAACAACTCCGAGTGGTAAGTGATAAGCAGCGTACACATGGTTTTGTGGCATCAGTGACTGCTCACTTGTCCCAGAACTATTTCTTCCCTCCAAATCCGCCATACCCTTCTCAAGCATCGCCATTTCTTCCTGATACACTGATTCCTCCCAGCCAATATCTCCCGGAAACGTCTGTCGTCGGCGCCTGCAGTAAAATCTAATGTTTTCAAAGTACATGGCTGCTACAGGTACCTGAAGTCCAGCAGAGAACAAGCTAGCCATGGCGATGGCAGTCCATATCATCCCAAAGTAAGAATATGGTTCCTGCGTCTTGAGGATTAGGACTACGGCCACGGTATTTGGCAGAGCAGAGAGACTTGTGGGGAACATGTCAGTCTTGAAAGACATGATTGTTGGGCCCAAACATTACCATGAATTAAGAAGCCAAGGCCAGATATGGCCTCGACAGTCAGTTTGTGGCCAGTAAGCTAAGTTGCTTGTTTTTGTTTCAGTTTCTTGTCTATCAGCACCAGCCCACAGACAGATATCAAGGTCTCAGATAAGCTTGCCATTGCAATAGCAAAGTAAACGGTATGGTTGCTAACAATCACACAAGTCGCCCCCACGATCAACAGCTAGACGACGAAAAATATATAGCCAATCCACCGTCGGACAAAGGATAACGGCAGCAGTACTCGAACAGCAATGAGGTATTCGATCCCAACATGCTGCGTGGAGAATATCAACTTGCTCGAGTTCAGTTCTAGGTCGGAAAGAAAGTGAATGGTGAGCAGTAGAAATGTTATTGTGAACGTCAGAGACAAATAGTGGAGGTCCATCATGCGCTTCATTGAAAAGCCGACGAGGCCTGCATAGGTGCCCCAGAAAACCAACTGCAGGAAAAAGCCCTGGAAGGCTATGAGAAAGGCAGCGTTATAGAGTGCAAGCGGGCCTCCTTTGAGTAAACGTCTACTCTGAGTCTGCAGGACTGGAGGGAAAAGTCGAAGATATTCCGGTCCCGTCCTACCGATATCTGCGCAACGATGCGTATTAGTATCTCTTTTATTACTCTGGTTCTTCCGCAAAGCTTTGTGTTTTCCATGGAATCATCTATGTACGATTAAAAGTCGACACCACGTTGCACATCTTGAAGCTGGCCTGCAGATTATTTGGGAAAGGAAAAAAGAGTCGAAAGTCGTCTGGAGAAGGGTGATTAGTTATACGAGAGTAAGATGACCATGAGTACTTTTTGTGTCCTGTGCCTATGATATGGGAATAATAGATACAAGGGGAACAAAAACCCGCCTGCCATTTAATCTGCTCTCAAGCGTTTTGGCCAAGTACCAGATTGAACCAGGGGCAAATGGTACTCACATCATCAACTCCCGCGATAGAGTTTGAGCTTTTTGTAACGATGATCATGTAGCAAGCAGGCAGGGTAGGGTGGTTTCGGGCGTGGGTATGAGGCAATCGGCGATGGTACGTACGTACCAGAATGTACCAGCGCATGCAGCGTTGTCTTCTTGGATCTCGGTAGATGGATCTGACAGGGGCAAGGACTTGCATCATTTGTGTAGTAAGGTGTAGATCATCCAAGAATAAACCACTTGATAATTAGGCTTCTTTCTCGTTAGAAAGAAATGTATTTTTATCTACAACACGCACGGGCTATGGAAGTGTTTATCAGCTTTGACAACCCCGCATATCCAGCTGTACCCGCTTACTGATCGACAGAGTTCGAGCCATGCGACGGCATTTCGCCTTGAGGTGGTACCAGCACTGGTAGGCGGCTCGGTTCGATGCAGCCGCGGTGGCTCTATAATTCTGCAACGTCGTTACGTATGAACAACGATCCGTGTGACATGACTGATGGTGTACATTTTACTAGAATTAAGCATAAGCTCGCAAAACCATTCACAGAAGGAATAGGTATATCTGGGGGCCCTAGTCGATGATATCCAAAGATAGCGTCTTCTAGTCTGTGCAAATGATCGGACAGCTAGGGTGATTTTGGGATCAAAATTACACATCTGCTCCTATGGCCTCTCTTTGGTATACCCACACTGGTCAAACTACCGAATATTCATATGCTTCTTGCTCTCTCAAATAGAAAAACTGGTAAAACGGTAACATTGATTTCTCATAGCAGCATGCAACCCAGGAAAAGAGTGGATACATATCTCTATGTGTTGTTTGGGCTGATATAAGCCGACTCTTCCACACAGGGATATGGATAAGTTTCATTTCTTTGTATGGCGATCGCGACCACAACGTCTATTGGATAAGATAAGACTAACCAGATCATAAACAAGTCACGCTGATCAGAGACTGAAGAATTGAAGCCAGAAAAGCGTATATGACTATCTAAACTATATAAAATTTGAGAAAGAAGAAGTAGGCCGTGGTCTGCTTCAACCATGAGGTTATCAGGCATACCTCCACTTGCCGAGTCCGGAGAGGATGTTTCTGCAACGCTGTAGTCGTCTGCTGATTGATCAGATGAGGACTCATACAAAGAAACTGTATGATTCTGTTTTTGCTCTGTACAGTGCTTGGCGGCACCGAATTTCGATCTTGGCATCAAGTGGATGAATGGCATTTTGTTTTGATAGCTAGCAAGATGATCTGGTTGTTTTGCAGCAGCGTAACTCTGCTACATATATCATACAGGTGCATAGGCAGGTTACAGGACTGGCTATTGCGAGACGCTAACAAGGGTATCTGGTCAATCTTATATCAAATAGACAGACTGATCAGTCGTTCCACAATAGACTAACTTTCAGCTTCTGTACAAGCTTCAGATACACATCTGCAACAATCAGTGTGCCAGTGCACGGGGTCGCCAGCAGCCCTGCATTGCCACTGGACGGTCCTAGATGGTTGGATCGTATCATTTCGTATGTTCACTATATGTCCATCTCCGGAGGATCCTCTAACTCTCCAGAGATGGATACTAGCACTGAAAGGAGTTCATGAGGATCTTGAACATTCTGTACCAGCGCCTACTTCCCTCAGCTGCCGACATTCGACACTACCAGGCTGGTATCGAATACAGGGACAACCGATCTTGCTGTGTTGATCCATCGCCACTATTGTGAATTATAACCTCCAGCGTCGCTGCCAAACGCTGACTGGACATGGAAGAAAGCCACGACGCAAGTGGTTGTGTTGCGAAAAGCGTTTCCTGCAGTCAAAGACGCTGGAAACAGTATATTAGCCATGGCGGCTTAGTTTCACTTCCTTCGCAATATCAACGACGAGGTCGAACAGATGGAGAGTCTGGAGAGAAGACTGCTACTTGGACGGATCACGAAGGCGCTGCAGACTGCAAGTGTAGACCCACTCCAGCCAATGGAAAGCGGGAATACAAAAATGCTCGCAGTCGTTAGCAGCTTCATTCGGCAATGTCAAGTGGTATTATCCCCTCGGGCCCTTGTCCGGGTCTTTGACGACATCGTCAATTATCTAGAGGGACTAAAAGAGGAGGCTGCATATCAGGAGAGCACAGCGGCGCTGCCAAACATAGAAGACTATCTGCGAGTGCGGTTGGGAACAATCGGCCTACGACCTTTCTTTACCATCTTGAGACACACACTGGTTAGTATATAAGCCCAAAAGACTATCAGTACAAGCAGCATCAAAGACAGCTCGAGCTTCTGGACATCGCCTCTCCACTCAAAACTGCTCGATTGTATACAACCTGCTATCGGTCTACAAAATGACATCGTGGGTCTTTCTAAGGACATTAAAAAAAGCGTGCGTATGAACCTAGTCATGGTGCTACTCGAGCAACAGCACAAAACTACGAGCGATCTCGAGGCCGTCAGCATGGCACTCACTACAGCCGTGTCGATCCATAACACCAAGATGCAAGAGGTGATGAGGGTTTGGGCCGATATCAAAGCGGCAAAGTACTCTACTGCGGTGCAGGTATATACTCAGTCGCTGGTGGCATTTACACGGACACATTTTAGCTGGGCAGCGCACGCGCATCGGTACCAGTCGAAGCATACAAGTCTTCTGGAGATGTTGTCGAGTGTGGCGCAGAGTACAGCTGTGGAGGAACTCAGGTTCAAGGCGAGGGTGATACGGACGCGACGGTCGATGGGCCGGCTTTCGATCAGCCAGGGGATGAGGTGATTTAGCGTCCATTTTTTGTCAGTTCAGCGTTTGCATGATGAAGTTCTAGATAGGCTCTTTTTAACTTAGGTAGAGTATAGTAAGTATGAGTAGACTGGTTCTGACTTGTAGAGAATACAATTTATCACACACTTCCACTTTCTGTATTTGAGTGTGTGTCAAGATTACTAGATCTTTTCTTATGTGGATAGTTGCTGATAGCAAAATGGGCATTTTCTCCAATTCAACAGGTGGGTGGTCATAAGTTCCTTGTTACGAGTGCTCGTCACGTGGTTTCCCGTAGCAGGCGCGGCTCATAGTTGCGGCCGAATTGATTATATGCCTCAGTCGGAGAGCAGGTGGTCAGCAGAGTGCAAAACAAGGTTGTTTCCGTTGGATATGATGAGTTGCGCTCAGACATAGCGAAAGGCCCATGGTTGGTGCAAAGCATTTGGAATTGCGACGAAGGAGCAGAGAGCACGTCTACCTACGAAGCCAGCTAACTAGTGTGTAATGTAGTGAAGTGTACTGAGGTCGACCTGGACAGGCTGATGCGCAACAGAGGCCAACATAGCAAGCTAGTAGCAGCAAGATGTACGGGGTGCAGCAGCGTTAAGAAAGTGCAGTGTGACAGGGTGGCTGGTGTGCGGTGGACGGTGCAGAGGGCCTCTGCCAACAAATATTCGCGCATTCAGGACCATAATACCGCGATAGTCTTGGGAAGGTTGCGTGGCAGTAATGCACTACCTCGCAGCTAACGCAACTCAGCCTCGGTAGATGCCGGGTGCACCATGCATACGGCTAGCTGGTTAATCTACAATTGATTAAATGGAAAAAACAAGGTCGACGAAATAAGCTTTGGGTTTGCTTGGCAAGTAGACAAGCCTTGATACGCCACACGATCCTCTGGAGAAAGAAGGTAATTATTGCGAATTGCACTAGTCTCAAAATTCACCCCCTAGGTCGAAAGCCCAAAAGTCTGGAAACGACCAATTATTGCCATCGATCTGCATGTCTTGCAACATGTCAAATGGCGAGTACATGTCGCTCAGAGAGCTTCCAGAGTTGGGACCGGTACTATCTGCCCCGCCTGCATGAATGAAAGCCGAGCTTCCGAATGCTGTTTGGTTCATCCCAGATGCACTATCAGTTTCAAAGGCATTGTCACGCACACTATGCGCGGCATCCTCGGGTCGCGAAGCTTTCGACATTGTGGCGCGAAGAGAAGCAGCCAAATCATTGTTGGGGTCTTGCTGTAGAGCTACCACCTTGGACGCCAAAGCAGTAAAGTAGCCAATGGCTTTCCGGCATCTAGAAATGATTTCATCGCCTGGGTTATCGACATGAGTAGTGGATACAGAGGGCGAAGGCGGGGGTGGCAGTATACCCACTGCAGCCGACAGAATCCAGTACTCCATGTATGCGGTACCTAGCTTGAGTACTTTTTGCTCAAACATTTGCCTCGTGCGTTCGAGAATTTCGAGAGAAGAGGTACATAGTGTCTTGACCAGAAAGGAATCTTGCGGTAATGAGGCAAGGTAGACTGCATCACCAAGCGGGGCCCCGCGTTTGGTCATCGTAATGTCCGGTAAATGGGCTTTAGGGTCGGCATGTTGAGTGTTAGAGGTGCCGGCTGGTGCTACCAATGACTTGACCGGGCTGATTGCGCAATTTCGGAATGTTAATTGAGACAGTGTTAAACCAACTCTGATGACGTCGTTGCGGGCGTGGCTAAGAAAAGAGATGCCCTTCGATAACAGGTCGCCGTGTATCGCGATTATTGAATTGCAAACATCCACACATGTCGTGAAGGAGTACATGAAACGGTTGTTTTTGGAGGCTGATTGGGCAAACGGCCTGTGCAGTATCAGAAGATATTGAAGTAGCTGCAAGCGGAGAAGTGCAGATGGCACTACGGCAGATTCATTTTTCCAGTTGGGCAAGGCGGAGACAGCTGTATGTATTTGAGCGTCAAAGTGCAAAACATCGGTATACTGGATATTGCTGGATGGTGTGTTCAGCAGGTGTGTAAGGTGAATGCGGAGTGGCAACGATTTTAGGCTTGCAGTAATAAATGAGGTAGAGGTAAACTCTTCATCTGGTTGATCTGGTGGTAGTTGGTTTGTGTTCGCAGAGAAGACCTCATCTGCAAGATGAGCTGGCGCAGGTGTGTCGAAGTACAGGGCCGTTAACCCAGATTGAAGGCCAGTCTCCATTGACGATTGGAGTTCTAATTCCATAACGGTAATCCACAGTCGTTTCCTCATCTGCTGGTCGAAGATTGAAATTCTACCGCTTCCCTGCAAGATCGGGTCGCGGTGCATACCAGATGCTAGAGCAAGCCGAAGAAGATCACCCGAGGTGATCCAGTCCTGCTTCATCCCCACACAATTCACCCGCTTAGCAACCAACAGAAGACATGCTGATTGGAGGAAAGATAGGGTTACCCGCTTCCGAGGCTGCAAATTGATCCATGTTTCGCAGGTGTGAATGAGGTCGTGAGCAGTGTGCCGATTAATAGTCGTATCGCCGACGAAGGCATCGTATTTCTGGTCGAGGCATTTTGAAATGCATATAATCAATATGAGCACGACGGCAAAGCTGACACGTTCTTTTTGGGTGCAAGTATGTTCCCAGAAGGCCTGGTATTCTTCCCAAAAGGATGGCCCATGCAGGATTCTGTAGCTGGTTTCACACGTCCGGAAGTACGTAGCAGCCTGCGTGTCGACAACACTCTTCTCAGGAAGTACAGCCAACACGTTAGCATCAGCACTATGGAGTGCGGCATTAAGTTCTCTAGCAGACTTCTTCCTTCGATCACGGAACGCTCTGAAGTCATTTCCGACACGTACGAGAGAATGATCTAGATTGAGAGCTTCGCGCGTGAAGAGATGCAGCTCATGGTACTTGCAAGAAAGTCAGCTCACACGAGGCATCCACAAACGGACTTGGTGTGAGAGATACCGTCGATACAATGCTCATAACACTTGTCACACCATGAAATTGAGTCTTGAACCCTTTCCCTCTGAGCAAAATCTCCTTTGTGAATTTTGGCTCTTCGGGTAGGACGTCGTAGTACTGTGACTTATGTTTGGTCTGCCGCTGGGCCAGCTGCTGCTCTAGCAATGCAATGCACTCTTCTTGAGCTCTCACTTTCCGCTGCAAATTATCGCATGTGTCGGCAGAGTGGTCGATGTCTGTAGGTTGCTCCGCCAGTAGGGTGGAAGTGGCATTGTCAGCTCGTGTGGCTACATTGGCATTGGACTCTTCCAGGAGGCGTGGGTCATATGTGCATTCGTTCCGTCTTCCCGTCTTTTGACACCGCCCGCATACTGGAAATACGCGGTCGCATTTCATTTTGCGGCCGCGACAGGCGTAGCATGACAGAACCTTACGCTTCTTGCTCGTGCGCTGCTGAGACGGGCCGTCGTTGCCTTCTGGACTGTTGCGCTCTGGAGGCGTGTTTTCACGCGATCTGTCGCTGATCCATTCGGCACCTGGAACAGACATGGAAACTCTGGACGGCAGCACCAATCAGTGTTGCGAGGTTGGGGACAGCGTGTCAGGGTGAGCGGTCGCGGAAATGGAGGGGATAACATGCACGCGGCCCAGCGTCGATTCGCGGCGCACACTCGGACATAACCAACAACTTAGGGCGGGGATAACCTGCTATGACTCCTGGGTTTGCCTGCATTCTTCGATCCTTTGAGTTTGCCATCAACAAAATTGCAGGATACTGTCTCTTGCACTGTCGCAGCATCGGGCAACATCAATAGGTTGCCTTCGTCGTGTGCCGGGCGAACAACATGTCGGCCGAGTCGATGCATGGAACATTGATTCATTCCATCTCGAAGCGGGGAACCCTTGCGCTACCCCACAAATGATGAGTGCTAATCCCAGGCGCAATCTTACACTCGGCTTCTCATTCCTGGCTATGCAGGTCATGTTTATTGCAGGGAAAACTTCTTGCCAATTTGTCTCCTGTCCAAGACATGTCAATGGTCAGCCAAGTCAGTGGTTCTGTCCGAGAAGGGGCTGTCACAACGCGAATCGGGGCTGGAAAGTGGATGACGAAACATGCTCCATAAAAACAATCTATATACACACGAGCCTGAGCGAATAACAGGTAGATAATCTCTCCGTGTTTCGTGCCCAGGGCGCGGCAGTGAGCTTCGCATGCTTAGCCGAACTTGCCGTTCATGCCTACAGTTTCAAGACGGCCAATCGAAGCACATGCTTACTTTCTGTGCCAAAGCTAATTTTTGACCTACCGCGTCTCTTATAGTATGTCCAAATTGCGCATGACTTCAGAACTGACTGACTGACTGTCAAGTCACTGGAAAGTATTCAGTCTTGTCACCAACAGGCCTGCCCTTCACTGTGATGTTGTAAAGAGGGATATGCTCTTGCTTGTTGGAACGCTTTCTATCAATCTTGCAGAAAACTGTTGCCAGCTATTGGCGACCACTACTATCAATTCGTATGGGCACCAAGCTATTGTGTAGTGCGTAAGCACAACACAATTTAGCGAATTTAGCCTACACGTGAACTGCAGAACTTAGTATCATGGCTCGGAGTCTAATATATACAATGTTTAGCTTGTATCAAGGATACGCCGGACAAACTCTCCCATCCATCAGTCGGTGATGAAACGGGATTCCGGACCGCAACAGCCTTGGTGCTGGACATATATAAGTGATCTCCTTCAGTCTATCTCTCGAATATCACACTCAACACAAACATCAGCATCTTCAGCATGTACCGGACTCTGGTAGTTACCGCTTCTTTTCTCCACGCAGCTCGCGGTCAGCTGGTGGGAACGCAGAAGGAGGAAGTGCACCCTAAGTTGTCATGGCAATCTTGCACTGCCCCAGGAAGTTGTACCACCCAAAACGGCGAAGTAGTCGTTGATGCCAACTGGCGTTGGCTTCATACCAAGGAGGGGTATGTATGAGACACGACGTTCCAGCTCACTTATGCTTACTGAACTCGAGTTACACGAACTGTTATACTGGCAACACTTGGGACACGAAATATTGCCCCGACAACAAGTCGTGCGCGGCCAACTGCGCCATCGATGGTGCGGATTATTCAGGCACCTACGGTATTACTACCAGCGGCAATGCCTTGAAGCTTAACTTCGTCACCAAGGGCTCGTATTCCACAAACATTGGGTCACGTAACTACCTGATGAAGGATGAAAAAACCTACCAGATGTTCAAATTCACGGGCAATCAAGAGTTCACGTTCGACGTAGATGTCTCGAAGCTACCTTGCGGTTTCAATGGCGCACTGTACTTTGTCTCTATGGATGCAGACGGTGGTCTCAGCAAGTATCCAGGTAACAAAGCCGGTGCTAAGTACGGAACTGGTTATTGCGACGCCCAGGCTCCAAGGGATCTTAAGTTCATTAATGGCGAGGTGAGTGACAACATGGGTGCTCATGGAATGTTTCCGACATGCTGACCATCACTTCAGGCCAATGTTGAAGGCTGGAAACCGTCGTCGAATGACCAGAATGCCGGTGTCGGCGGTCATGGTTCCAGCTGTGCAGAGATGGACATTTGGGAGGCTAACTCGGTCAGCACAGCAGTCACTCCACACTCTTGCAGCACAATTGAACAAACCCGCTGCGACGGCGATTCATGTGGAGGTACGTACTCAGCCACACGCTATGCTGGAGTGTGCGACGCGGATGGTTGCGACTTTAACAGCTACCGCATGGGTGTCAAAGACTTTTATGGAAAAGGCAAGACAGTGGACACATCTCAAAAGTTCACAGTCGTCACACAATTCGTTGGAACAGGTGACAACTTGGAGATCAGGCGCTTCTACGTGCAAGGCGGCAAAGTTATTCCTCAACCCTCATCCAAGATTCCAGGAATCGACGGCAACGCCATCAACTCCAAGTTTTGCGACCAGCAGAAGTCTGTCTTCGGCGACCCAACTGACTTCCAGAAGAAGGGCGGCATGGGAGGCATGGCCAAGGCTCTTGCTAATGGTATGGTTCTTGTCATGAGCGTGTGGGATGACCACAACAGCAATATGCTGTGGCTCGATTCTACATACCCCACCGACAAGGACCCAGAAAAGGATCTTGGTGTTGCTCGAGGAGAATGTGCGACGACCAGCGGTGTACCAAAGGATCTTGAGGCCAATAACGCAGATGCTACAGTCACTTACAGTAACATCAAGTTCGGTCCTTTGAACTCGACCTTCAGTGCACAATAGAAGGGCCGCGGGGTGGCTCTAAAGGAGAGAAAGTGGTACGGGACAAGGGGTTTTTGCACTTGTGATGGAATTTCCATTCGTTGATCAGTTGAGACAGTCACTCGTTCAGCATACATTAGTATGCAAGAAATCAGTCCTTGGTCAGTTCATTTAGAGCAGCAGTTTATTATCTTTCTTCATACTGGTGTTTATAGAATTCACAACCTTTACTCAATGTCCGCTTTGTGAGCGAGCAGAAGTGATACTGAATAGATCATGCTGACGGCTTACCCCTGATAGGGTGAAAGGTTAAGCAACCGATTTGTTCACGTCTGTGTTCACGTGAACGGTGATTCACCAACAGAGACACTTTAGAAGCTAGGCTGAATTCACTTTCATCGCAGACGAGCCCCACTTGCTACCACTACCACAAACCATAATTGCTCCAATATATTCTCTCGCTCTCTTGCGCAACCCAAAGTCCTTCAACTCGAATCAGTACCCAAAAACCACCAACTCACAACCTACAGCCACAATAGTCTCGACGTACAACCAGCAATAGACCACTCGACTAGCTTGCGAAATATGGTGACAGGCTCAACTGTGTTTGAATACAATGCCCTTCCCGAGTGTACAAGCAGCTGCAAGATAATTCAGGCATCAGAGACAAATTGTGTTCCGCCGGTATCCAACCACTTCACCTACCAAGATTGTGTCTGTCAATCAACGTACCTCGGAAGCCTTCAAAAAAGTGGTGCTATATGCCATGGAGCATGTAGTGATGAGGATGACGAACTCATTCATGAATACTACAATCGAATGTGTGGCCAATCCAACATACCAGAGACGACAACTTCCCGTCTCCCGCCGACGACCACCTTGTCAACACTTATCACTGGATACAAAACTTTGGTAACGGTACAGGCACCAATGAAGTCTGCTCCACCACCGCAACAAACACACGTGGAGGTTATTGAAAACCAAGAACCATGGTAGGCGAAATGTTCACAACGTATGAGTACTGCTGACGAACCTGTAGGCTACAACAAAACGGGAAATACTTTGCCAGAATTGGGGGCGGCGTGGTGATCCTTATTGCAATCCTCCTTGTACTCGTCCACCTTTACAAACGCCACAATCGCAAATCGGCTCTAGAGAACGCTGGACAGCGACACCCGTTCATCCCTCTCCAGGACGTGAACCCTCTCCCAAACCAACCCTTTGGTCCAGCTACCCACCAGCAACCATCTCTACAACCCCATTCGAGTTCCGAAAGCGATCTGGGCTATTCGTCCAGATTCCCAGGCATAACCCGTCCCCAGCCAAGCTTCACATTCGGCGCCACCGTACGTGCATATGCGAGCGATTCGCAGAATGACTTGCACGAGATGCAGCACCCGACAGGACGATGCGGTACACTTTGTCGCTCGCTGAGTCGCACCGAGAGATTGATAATTGAGCGCATCCGGACGACTGGACGACCGGATATCCCTATCAGCGCAACACCCAAGATCGTGAGGTAAAGCGAGAGGATGGCAGTGTGTCTTCAATTACTAGGGAGAGTAACGGAAGATTGGTGTTATAATGGGAAACAGGGGTATGATAAGGAATGAACGGGAATGAAGTGGGGTACTTTATAGTGCCAGTAGTAGTTCTTCTGGTATCGCAAGGACTATGTATGTATGCGATCCACTTATGACCCATACATGTGCCGCATCTTCGCAGCGGGCCAGGCATGTATTTAGTCAGGGCTTTCGATATACACGGGAAGCTAGCCTGGTTATCTTAGTTATCTATTTCATCATCAATCTATGGTCTTTTTTCTTTACTCTTTCACATCTCTTGTCACCAACGGTATGCAATGCGCGAACTCGAAGCGTTTGAAGCACAAGAAACTTCTCCACAATCTGATAGTAACGCACTCGGTGCAGAATTGTGAATGGCATACGTATCAGCTTTTCGATTTATCTCTTCTTTGCCTCCTATTAATTCTTGCACTGTCTTTCCAACTCCGTACGCATGCGTCTGGGACTCTCACTCTCTCGCTGTGATGCAATGTTTTTTGCATTGTGAGCCTCTAGTGTACCAAAAAATCCAAAGAAAAAAAGGAGCTGTGACAACCTCATTGTCTTGGATACGATCCAGGATATGGTCAATACGAACATTACAATGTGCCAGGGACATGCCAGTACGATGACCGAGCTCAAGCCCGTTTTCATTCCCGTCATCCCTGTATCGTGGTTGTTACTCAACAAATCATGGTGTTGTAGTCACATCGTAAAATTTCAAGTAAATCGGGAAAATGGAGAGCGAGTGCGATCATATGATCTTTTTGTAATAAGTACGATACCCAGCCCAATCCTTGACCCATTCTTATGGCAGTCAAACTCGGGACAATACCCATCTCGTCCCAATCGAACAAAGTAACTAACTAAATGCAGCGGCGATGCAGCTGTTAGGGCAAACAAGCCAAGCACCCGACGCCACCAAGAAATAATGTAAAACAGGTGTATGCGGGGACTTCGCATGTCATGTTTCAACGACCGAACTATTGTGGTATGATTACCTCTTGCAAATAAGCATACTACTACGTACCCGTCCCCACATTCACGTTGCAACTGGTCCAATCGCGGAAGCTTGAGCGTAATTGGCCCGTTGTTGGGGTTGAGCCTGAGGTGAACTAGTCCATATATATTGTTCTGCTACGTAACAATTTACTACCCCTCATTGTGACATATTTGACATAAGTACATGGGATGCATGTACACTAGGGAGCAGATATGAATGTAGAATAGCGTGTCGGCCCAAGACACTGTTTTCCACGTGGGGTGCTCGGTCAAGGAGACAGATAAATCGAAGACTATGTACTCGGATGGTGTTGGGAACAAGGGCTGCCCATGTGTGTACGCGTGTCGAGCAATGTCGTGACTCTTGTTGTAGTCTAGTATAAGTACCTTGCCACCAGGCGGAGTTTTAAGATCCCGGGACTTCTAAGTCGCTTGTACTTCGTGTAGTTTGCCGCATCATCGACCAGCGCTTTTTGGGGTCTTGTGGACTTGCAAATCCTACCTTAGAATACAACAGAGACGATGCGCGTAAAAAAAATGTTTATCTTCATAACCTTATGGTTGCATGTTAAGCCCTAAAGTTGCGGACCTACCCGCGCGTTAACAATTTGATAGGGTGGAGCTCCAGGGATTTTGTATCTCACGTTCTCTCCCTTTGTCATTGCGGCTCTCGGGCCTATCTCCGCCTACCCCCAGACCTTGTTCTCAGAGCGTAACAGGAACGTAATAGGCCCGTTTTGTAGCGTTTTCTTCTTTCGGAAATGAGCGTTGGTGATCTCAAGCAATTTGCGGCCGAAGCTAAACTGGCTGTCTTTCTTGGCCATCTAACAGCTGCCTCTTCCTTTCTCTTTGCACACCACTACACGCACGCGTCTTTTACAACGTTACTTCTGCTTATAGAACAGGTATTTGGGTCTAAGACGAATCGGCCACCGAGACAGAAGAGGGATCTTTAATGGGCTAGGCCATCCAGTAGAACTTTAGCGCTCCCGCCTCGGTCCTTGTCGTTCCGCAATACCTCCGGTATAGATACGCGCCGACTTGGCGGGGTATGCAAACCCGTTGGCATCTTAATAGAGGAGTTGCTTGGGAACTCTCTGAACGCTTCAATACTAACATATACACTATGCGGTAAGCCTCACTGCAATTTCTCAATCAAAACCGCCTCGGTACTCGCTACTAACAGCGCGCTCCAACCAACATTCCGGAATGTTTCGGGTGTATAGAAATTTAGGTTTGTAGTTTCTCACCTCTGCTAAGACCTGTGCATATTCCGATGAATGCATGTACTCACAAGGAAACACGGAGAAGATTGCGGCCGTACTATTAACATGTCTGCATTCGTGGCACCGCACGTGCTTCGGTGGTTTTCCCAGGCGCCTATGTACGGGACGGGTCCACATCTGAAAACACAACATGATCAGTTGTATGCTTGCTGCAAGGGTGCAGAAGAGCCTCAATACAAGCATTGGCTACGGATTAGACCGCAGATTACCGAGTACGGTCGTATTACAAGCTCCACCGCAGTTCCATATCTTCTCCAAGCGAAGTTATGGAAGGAAATAGCGGCGACGATACTTCCAGCGAGCGTGCCATGTCAGTGCATTCACAGCATTGTCTAGAGTGCTGGCCACCCCACACGAAATACGCGCCAAGCCCTTGGCCGTGACAGTCTTTGTACGTTGTATGGCCGGACAGCAGCCACCCCCATAGTGTCAGCATCGCATAGGGAACTAGACTTTCCTACTTGGGTAAAAGGCTGAAACGGCCGGCCTGCAGGTTCACCACAGATGCCCAATGCACGTTGTACAAGGTCAGTCAAAAGCTCTCTATCACTGTAAAATTCTACAGCTAAGAACTGCTATGATCGCTGTCCAGGTCCTGTTGTTGAGTACATGCTTATCCATAAACCAGGTCATTCAGACAATGGTCTGGCTAATATCAATCTCCGACCCTTGCCACAAACCCCACTTCTTGCTACTTACCTATACCATGATACCCCATAGCCAGAAGAAAAACGGGCTCTTTTCACCGCCCTAACAAATTCTCAAAACCAGGGCTTTCCCCGGACTGGCGATTCGGAGCTCTTTGTTGTCACTCTCAACTTGTTTCGACAGAATCGCGTTGAGCAAGCCAGACACATGGCCGACGAAAAGCAAGTCGTTGCTATGGAGCAAGGGGCGTCAACGCCCAAGACGCTGGAGGAACTCAAAAACCCGGCCGTCGTTGATACCGTACATCAGGATGAGGCGCTCCGGGTGCTCTTGCAGTACAATGGAGACGAGACGTGGACGCCAGAGGAAGAGAAGAAGCTTGTTCGCAGGATCGATAAGAAGTTACTGACGTTGTTGATTATAACGTACGGTCTCCAGTACTACGACAAGGCCATGTTGTCCCAGGCTGTAAGTATTCTTTCTACTTTGTTATTTGAAAATATCCAACTGACATCTCTCAGGCGCTGTTTGGCTTGCGCGAGGACTTGCAACTCAAGACCGGTGACCGATATTCCTTCTCAGCCTCCATCTTCTACCTTGGGTTTATCGTAGGAAGTTACCCTGCGGTTGTCATGGCGCAGCGTTGGCCTATCGAGCGCGTTGCAGCCGGCATTTTGTTCGTCTGGGGTGTTTGTCTCATGTGTTCGGCCGCATGTACGAACTGGCAGGGCTTCTACGCGCAGCGCTTCTTCCTCGGGTTTCTGGAATCGGGCGTTTCTCCAATGTTTATGTTGATTGTGGGTGGGTGGTATAAGAAGAGCGAGCAAGCACTGCGAATGGGCGCGTGGTACTGCGCAACTGCGTACGCTTCGGCTGTTTCGCCGTTGATTAACTATGGCCTTGGACATATCAAGGGTGGGAGCTTGAACAGCTGGCAGTACATGTAAGAATATTGCCTCTCTTAGCACGTCAAATTGTAACTGACATATGTTTCTAGGTACCTTTTCGCTGGCGCCATAACAGTGCTGTGGGCATTCGTCATCCTCTTCTTCTTGCCGCCTGATCCGATTCGAGCAAAGGGCTTCGACGAACGCGAGCGATACATTGCAGTAGCTCGTATGAGGGAAAACAATTCCGGCGTGCGAAACAAGCATTTCAAACTCGAGCAGCTGTGGGAATCGCTATACGATATCAAGTTCTGGCTTGCATTCAGCATGTCATTCCTCATGATGATTGCCAACGGACCTGTTTCCAGCTTCCTGCCTATCATTATTTCAGGGTTTGGATTCAACAGACTGAATTCGTTGCTGCTTGTCATGCCTGCTGGTGTCATCATCGGATCGGTTACACTGAGTGTGACCTACTTGGCCTATCGTGTCCAAGGTATTCGAACCTGGATCATTGTGGGCTGTCAATGCGGCACCATTATTGCATCTGTTATGCTTTGGAAACTGCCGCAAAGCTCAAAGGGAGCGCTCCTGTTTGCGTGTTATATTCTCTCAACTTTTGGCGGTAGTTATGCTGTGCTTATGGGCTTGTCCGTGGCTAATACAGCGGGATATACCAAGCGATCGATAACGAGCTCTGGAATTTTTGTAGGCTACTGTCTCGGTAAGTTCTTAACTCCTCGAATCTCACATAGTGTAAGCCATTAACTCTCGATCTAGGTAACTTTCTAGGCCCGTTGTTGTTTAAGCCAAAAGACGCTCCAGTTTACGCCCCTGGTTTCAAAGTAGTGCTTGGAACCGCAGTCGCTGCTGCAGTTCTTGCAGTCGTGTACCGCTACGTTTGCATCTGGGATAATCACCGACGCGACAAATCCGGCACCCTCGAAGGATTCGATAATGCTTACGAGGATGATCTTACGGACATGAAGAATCCTCAGTTCCGTTACACCCTCTAAATCGCGATGAGCTCAGTCTTTCTCTCAGAACTCCGGGATGGTTTATAATCATAAATGTTGGGAGTATACCGCAAATACAAAATGTTGATCTTTTCACTGTCAGAAATGTAATCTCAGGAGAATGCACAGATAGTTCGAATACCAAGGATTTCGAGATTCCAATACTGAACTACCTCTCTTTGAATCTGCTTAGCTTTTGTCAATGGGTGATGTACTAAAATTTAATCCCTACCGCCCGCGCCAGGTTTGCAGCGATGTCAAGGTATTTTCTGTCACCATCACGAAGGACGCAAACAACTGACATGGCCAGGAATTTAATTTTTTATTGGATCTTCTTGAAATGAAATCTATATCGAAGCCTCTTTGGTCAATTAAATTAATATTGCTGGGTAGTCGTAATAGGATGACTTTGACTATGCCTATCCCTCCATTGCAAGACATTTTTGAAGTGTTTCATTCGGCTATGTAACTGTATTCAGATGACACTGTGTCTTTGACAATGTCTGGTTGAGGAAATATATGCCTTCGCGAATACAAGTCGTTCATACATTCGTGGTGTAAGACGTGCTGTAAGCAGCACGTTTTGGAGTGGTCTCGAAAAAAAAACGAAGCACAAATCCAAGACGACTCAAAAATGTCTTCAACCTTGCGACTTGGGCATACTCATCCAAAAGTATTAATATCCCCGGTTTTCTAGGTACAGAAGCCTCACTTCAATAACCATGAATCTAGACGACTCTCTCCGCGGCCGACTCCGCCAACTTTTTGGTCTCCCGTCGAAACTCGAGGCGACAAAAGCCGCCGTGTTGGATGCCCAACGAAGTAGCGGGGACCGCGTTGGAACATGGCGATGTCTCTGCGGCCATCTGAACACAATACTGCATCTAGCCGGACGAAACAATCACCCCCTAGGCTTACTACAATGCCGTGGTTGCCCACTGGTCTGGCACCCTCATATCACGCCTACATTCACGAGCCAAAGCCTCAACATCACCTTGCAGACTATCTTGTCCAACGTTGCCAACGATACACGCATCGTTCCTCGACCTCGGAACCCCGCATCACAGCACATCTACGTCTGTCTCGGCCACAGCTGCGGACTGAGCTGGCGTACGGACATCAAGAGAGAGTGGTTGAGCGGAAACAAAAGGCACATTCTGCTACTTGGCGGGAAACGCGGGAAGTTGCATTGTGATTGCGGAATGAAGATTTTTGAGCCTGGGGAATACGAAATCTTTGAGATTGAGGAGCGGTTTGACGATAGACTTGCTGCTTCGGCGGCTTTGGGCGGAGGTGGGGGAGAAAAGCGCCGTGGACAAGGCCAATAGTAGTGCGGTTAATATCGAAGCACTGTCTTGTCTTTCTCGGGGTTGACATGCATCTATGATTTCATGAGGGGACGATTAGTGGTGTGTAGAGTCGCGATGGAGGGTATAGTCGGAGTAGATTGTCTTCACAAATTCAGATTTCAATGTAATAGAACTTATTTTCCGCGTAACTTCAGTGTCGAAGAGCCAGACCGTACATGAAACGTTCACTGCAATCACCAACGGAGGTATTTAGAAGAGGCAACAAAGCCCGCGTTGTCCAGTTGGAGTTTAGATGCCGAGATAGATGCTAAGCCCGGCGAGGCCTAGATTCATCTTGGTGATCGGACAACCTGCGATAACGACGCGCCATCTGCCTCAACGCTTTGCCCAAAACATGTCTTTTCTGTAACTTCTCCCTGTAACTCAGTACCAGTTTAAAGCTAGCAGCATCATTCACGTATCCAGTTGTTTGCGCAGCGGTTGGATGCAAGGTACCTTACCCCGCGTCCGCGTCATTAGTAGCGACTCAGCAACCGAAAACCCCACCACGCGGGCAAGGCACCCTCTTATCGTCTCCAATGCATTGTATACATGCACCAAGCAACCCAAGATCCCAGAAAAAATATGTTGGAAATCAAGAAGTCTTCGGATGAGCCCCTTGTTTTCCTGATGAAGCCTCCCCTTTTCAACATTCACAATGCTTATCACATCTTGATGTCTCTTATCAGCGCTTATCACCAGCTATCACCACCACCCTGGCTCCTGGAGTCTCGGTGTCTCCGCATCAAGAATAGTGGGAGCAACGCCCAGTTTCTTGGAATGCACGCTTAATACACAGTACTTTCTCGTGAGGGACGGAAGGTGCGGATAGCGTATATGGCGTCCTATCACCGTTGCTACCTTACCGGGGACTTGAATCGGTCGGAGGAATGCGCGGGCGACTTTATAAGTAGTAAACGCTTCCCGTTAGTAGCATTGGTGGCGAGACCGCTAATACATAATTAAATACCTTTCTCTATCTCTCTTTCTCTCCAAAGTCCAGTCTGCAGTAGTAGGTCTCTCCCAAGAGTCTCCCAACTGAAACTGCATCCGACAGGAGAAAGCGCAAATCATGTCGGAAAAAAAGGTGGATGAGATTGCGGCTAGTAGCCAAGATGTCGAGTTTGGCGTTGGAAACGTACAAGAAGCAAGACCGAGAAAGACTTCAGCGGTTGATCCTACCGTCATTACGGGAGAAATCTTCGATAATCGATATGAGACTACTCAGCGAGGTCTCAAGTCACGGTATGTCCTCATCCCATCTCTTGAACACGTCAGTGAGGAGATGGCTAATCGTCGCAGACATGCTCAGATGATTGCGCTTGGCGGGACAATTGGAACGGGTCTCTTCGTCGGCAGTGGTGTCACTCTTTCTCGGGGAGGTCCAGCCTTCATCCTCGCCTCTTTCTGCTTCATGTCCTTTTTGATTTTCTGCACCGTTGCCGGAATCATTGAAGTCGCTGCCTACCTGCCTACTCCTGGATCCTCAATGAACCTCTTCGGCGCCCGCTATGTATCTCGCTCATTGGGCTTTGGCCTTGGATGGCTCTACTTCTACTCTCTTGGCATTTTGGTGCCATACGAGATTACGGCTGCGGCGCTCGTCATCGAGTACTGGAGTCCACCCGTGAATATCGCAGTGTGGGTCACAATCATGATCATCGTGATTGTGGGCTTGAACTGCTTCCCAGTAAAGTTTTATGGCGAAACTGAGTTTTGGTTTGCTGGCACGAGTAAGTTGCCTTCTCGTTAATCTTCAACTGAAGATAAGAAATAAACTGACTTTGCGCCCTAACAAACAGAGGTCATTATGATTCTAGGCCTCCTATTGCTTTCCTTCATCCTCTTCTGGGGCGGTGGGCCACACCGCGACCGCCTCGGCTTCCGATACTGGAAAGATCCTGGCGCAGCGAATACCTACCTTGAACCAGGTAATACGGGTCGCTTCGTCGCTTTGTTGTCTACCTTGGTTCTCTCAGCCGTATGTCATTCCTTTCCATTCCACCACCAGTGTCTAAATTTGCTAACCCCAATCAAAGTTCCCTTTCTCTTTCGCCCCCGAGCTTCTCGTCGCTACTGGCGGCGAGATGCAATCCCCCCGCCGCAATCTGCCCACCGCCGCTCGCCGCTACATCTACCGCCTCGTCATCTTCTACGTTTTCGGTGTCCTCGCCATTGGTGTCATCTGCCCGTCCAATGACCCGAGCATAACCTCTGGTGGCGCCGGCGCGGGCTCCTCGCCTTTTGTGGCTGGTATCAAAAGAGCAGGCATACCCGTCCTTGACAGCATCATCAATGCCGGTATCATTATCAGCGCCTGGTCGTCTGGAAACTCGTTCTTGTTCCTGTCCAGCCGCAGCCTGTACGGTCTCGCGCTGTCAGGAAATGCGCCGTCCATCTTCAAATCGTGCACAAAGTCCGGTGTACCGTACTATGCTGTAGCTGCGTCGTCGCTCTTCTGCGCCCTGGCCTATCTTAATGTCGGCTCGTCGTCTGCAGTGGTCTTCACATGGTTCGTCAACCTGACAAATACCTCTGGTTTCATCTCGTGGATCTGCTGTGGTATCATCTTCTTGCGCTTCCGCAAGGCATGCGACGCGCAAGGCATCACAGATTTGCCGTATCGCTCTCCCGTCGGCAAGTGGGGCGCATGGACTATCATTGTCGCATTCACCTTCCTGTGCCTCATCAACGGCTTCGACGTCTTCTGGCCCGAGAAATGGAATGTTAGCTCCTTCTTTACCGCGTACGTGGGCATCCCCATGTTCTTCCTCTTCTATGGCGGCCACCGTATCTGGGCGAGGAAAGATGGTTGGGCGTATGATCCGCTTACGGTGGATTTGCATACGGGCTTGGAACAAGTACTTGCTGAGGAGAGGCCGGCGAGGACGATCAAGGGCCCATGGTGGAAGAAGATTACGCTGATTTGGCAGTAATAGAGGGTCGTATATATGGCAAGGGAAACAATACTCGATGTAGAGATATGCAGAAAAAGAAAAAGAACTTTTGGTGTATTCGTACACGGCATCCTGGCATAGCCCGGGCGTTGTTCCAAATCCCCAAAACTCCCATATGTACAGATATGCAATCAGAAATCTCCACAAACTCCAGTGCTAAAAATGATTCTACCATACCCGCGTTCACCACGTCAATTCTTTCTCCGGCCGCTGTATCATTTGTTCTGGCACACAGCCCCACGAGCAAACGCTGACTTTAAACGGGTGAAAGTATCCATTGCCGTTACTCCAAAACTCGATCCACTCCGCACGCGCCACAACATACTGCTTGCGACATGCATGGCACTCGCGAAAGACACTGTAGCCCCCCGCCGCCATCCTATCCGCCTGCGCAAGTATCTTCTCCGCTGCACGCGGAATCTCGTATTCGCCATTGTTACTAATCATCTTGCGGAGGTCGGACGCGGTATCAGTCTGCAGCGAGCGCGTCAAGGTAGCTGTAAGGAGAGACGAGACTTTTGAGCGTTCAAGCGGAGCAAACCAAGGGGACGAAGGGACGCCATAGGTTCCCTGGGAGGTTTCTACAATGACGGGGTATTGTTCGTAGTCTGAGGCGGGGAGGGAGGGGGAGCCGCGGAGGAGAGAGCCGGTTTGGTCGTAGTAGGATACTAGGGTACGGGCGATGTAGCGGGGGAGGTAGACGAGGAGAACCTCTGAGTCTATGTCGCGGACATGGAGGGAAGGGTGGTGCGGGTAGAAGCCTATGTCTTGTTTGCTGTCGGTCCCGCTGCTGAAGCAGGTGGCCCAGGATTCAAAGTAGCGAATGCGCCAGACTGTTGAATCGCGGTCTTTGCATGTTGGGAGCGACTCGTAAAGGTGGACTAGTTGGCTGCGTGCATGTTGGCGCAGACTATCGAGGTCATAGAAGCCCTTGTCGAGATGTTGGGTGTAGACTTCCTCCCCAGGTACGCGAGTGTGAAAGCGTTTGGACGTCATGGGCTCGAGCAGATCGCTTCCCATGGTAGTGAGACGGCCTAGGTTGCCGTACGGCCAGAGGAGGTTAACGACGTCGAAAGGCAGATACTTGAGCTTGTTCTGCGAAACGTACAGCTCCTCCAACCTTCTCAGTCGACGAATATCTTGTGGTAGCTCTTCGATCTCGTTCTCACGCAGAGCAAGGCTGTTGAGGCATGTGATGCTGAAGAGCGAGGGAACAAGGCGTCGAAGTCGGTTCTTATTAAGGTTAAGGTGAATCTCAGGCTCAAATGACCGAAACTGGCCTTCAACTGGAGCCTCGCTGTCGTTGACGAGCGGGTCCTTGATGACGAATCTGAGCTCGCCAATACGTGTGATGTCGCTGTCGTAAAGGCCCTGGCCCTCGAAATCATATGTCTCCTGGTCCCTGTCTAGACCCTCGTCGAGCTGCTGATTGAAAGCACGTTCGGCAGTACTCATGGTGACCTTGCGGATAGCGGGGGTCGCAGGAAGTGCGGGGCAGCTTGACGTGTCCACTTGCATGGCTTGAGTATGGCTGACATTCATGTCGATGGCGTGGTCGTCTGCGTATTCCATCTCGTCTGGAAATGGCGACTTGTGCTGGGGAAGCAGATCATCCGAGCTGTCCGTCGCATCGCTCAGCATGTAGACGCCAGAATCAAAGTTACGATCTAGGTTGCGGGAGAATTTTGGCTTCTTGACCTCTGGGCTATTGTGGGCAGACTCGCGATTGTCCCACCACGCGCCCTTGCGTTTGTTCTTGTGGATGCGCGGGGATTCATAGTTTGTCACGTCGACGGATTCGCACGAGTCGTCGCTGGAAAAGAGGGGAGGAGGCGAGCTCGACTTTGATGTGAAGGCATTGTGCTGGGGCTCGAAGAAGGGCGGGCTCTGGGGGCTGATGCTGCCTAAGTGCGGAGGTGATGACGGAGGAATGGCGTCGCCGTCCATGGTGGGATGGAAGCACAGCACTCAAGGTACGAGCACACGTGGCAGATGTGTTTTTCTTTGTTTCCCAACACCGACGTGTCGAGCCCTTTTTCTCTTGCTTAGCGTGATGGAGGTTGGGGAATTCGACCTGGGGACGAGGACGGGACGACGCGTTTCTAGTGCGTCGGACACGCGACCCCAGTCCCGATGCCGTCATGTTCCGCGCCCGATAACGATTCCCGTGCCTCTGCTCCACATAGCACTAATATGGGAAAAAGCCCCATGTGCATCGCCATGGTTACATGTTTCCCATGCTGTGTTTTCTCGCCTTTGTTTGTCGCAACATGCGATGGAAATTTTTGTCATGGTGCAAATACTCGGATGACGCCAGCTCTGCAACTTGCCATGCAGCAGGTGGCGTCTCGCAAAAGCAACAAAGCAAACACGCATGACGAAATACACTCTGCCAGAAAAGGGACGAGCTAGGATGGACGAAATGGACGTACTGGGATTGAAAATCCCACAAAGAAGAAAACACGGTTCAGTCCTATTTATCTCTAACAGGTATCACAGTCCACCCATCCGCCGGAGAGCAATGTTGGATAACAGCCGGCCTTCCATTCCAACATCCGGACCCTCTAACGGCTCGCCCCTGGACATGGCCAGCTCAGTCATGACTTTACCCATCTCCCTAGTTGGCGTCATCATACTGCTCCATACCACATTCAGCGCCGGAAGGACGACCTTCTTGAACATGTCTTGCCTGGGTATGAATGGATGGATCTCGGGGTGGCCCGACCAGTCCACCCCGCATGGCCGCACATTGTATACCTTGAACATGGCATTCTTTTTGCCAAAATCAAATAGCGCAGACTCAGTCTGTCCCTTGACCCTCGCGTACAGCGTGGTAAAGATACCTGGAGATTGCGTGGCACCCTCAGCCGACACATAGACAAACGTAAATGGCGAGTCCGGGTGGAGAGAGGAAAAGGCCTGGGCAGCCGCAAGAGGGTAATCGTGGGTTATCTGTAGATACTGCCTGCAAAGGGTGTGAATACATATGTATCTAAGTATGCATGTGTCTGTGCATTGCCCAACCATGTACTATGTGTTGTCCATACTTACTCTTTGCTAACGGCATTCTGGGAAACTCCCTGTGCCCATACGCAACCATGCGCGTCTTTCAGCTCACGCAGAAGCGCCTCATCATACTTGCTGAAGTCGTTGTGAATGATGACCTTGGCCTTGGCGTGGCCCTCTGCCATCTTGACTGGCCGTCTGCTGAGGATGGATATGCGGCTGATGCTTTCTTGCGCAAGCATGTTATGGAGGACAGACGCGCCAACAAGGCCTGTCGCGCCAGTGAGTATAAGATGCATGGCTGTCCCGGGGGTTTGCTGGCTATGGTCTTGGGTAGTCGAGGGGCGTTAGTAGGTCATGTCTGCGGCCGTCCATGTATATATAGTCCGGGCGACACAAAACGGTGCCGAAAATGGTCCGGCCCGCTGCTTGACTAAGCTGGTAGCGCCTCACTACGGACACCGTCAGCGCTGCACCCTGTGCCTGAGAAACGCCGTAGCACAAACCTCATCCCCTAGCAGTGTCAGAGACGACACGTTCCCATCGCATGACTTGGCTGCATGAGGACCCGCACCAGAGACCCTCTGCAATGAGAGGCTCTGATACTTTCGCGGCCCCTGGCGATCCGATGCGGACCGGGCTTTCGTTTTGCCCGGTCGCCAGGTAGGCGACAAGGTCCAGAGCAGCATGACTGATTGCCCAACACTTTGTCGCGACAAGTGGATATTATCCCACCCTTTCCCCTTCTCCTTGCTTGAGCCCTTCCAGTTGAATTCGTTGCTTCTCCTTCCGTCTGCAGCACTCGCAGTCATGGCAGCCATGGCAAAGGCCCTGGCGGATTCACGCATTCTCCACCTCATCTTGCGTCACCTCTCCGACATGAAATACAAGGATCGCCGACAACTGGGATCTGATCAGCCAGTCGAATTTCTGGAATTCCGCCCTACCCTCGTGCCCTCGATTCTCGTCAACAAGCTGTGGGCGGACGAGGGCACGTCCATTCTCTGGAGGCGCTATCCCCACCTCCTGGCTTTGGATGACATGGCACCCACTCGACGGCAATGGTATGCAAACAAAGTAGAACGCCTGTTCGTCCTAGGCCCACCCGACGACGAAACAAACTTCGACTACTTGCACGACTTGAACTGGCCCAACCTAAAGACACTAGAGTTGGAAGTGGACTGGTGTAAACATGAAAAAGGAATTAGCTCCATGCTTCACGTAGGGCTCCAGCATGTGGAATTTATGGGTCCACAGAGCAGTGGTTCGGAATATATCGCTCGCACCATCCTACCAGCTTTGTTTAAACCAAATCTGGTCAGCATACACATTGGCCCAGATGTACTCGATCTCGAGGACCCACTACTTTATCAGGTGTTACTGGATTTACTGGATTCTGCGCCAAGCATCTTAGACGTTCGCATAATGAACGCCGGTTTCTCAGGAAAGGACATCATCTTCAAAACCCTGAGTCAACGACTTGGTCTTGAAGCACTACAAATCGACCTCGACCCCGGCCTGCAGTTACTACCTTACTTTTCAGGCCCATATGCTCTTCCTGCTCCATTCCTCTCTCTACGGCGTTTGCACATCATGTGCTACCCAGAGATCGCTCTTGCCTTACTACCTCAGCTGCAACCCATCGAAGAGTTGCAATTGGACATTGCACGCATTCCTGACCAAGTACAACAAGAGGACGACGCAGATATTTTAAATCGTATCATCGCCGCGCTGGCACAATGTCAACAACTCCGATCATTAAAAATCAACATTGGTCAGCTTGCGGTTGACTTTCCCTCGGCTACATCATGTCCAGCACTCTCTGGGGTCGCACTAACAAAGCTTGCCGCGGGCTGTCCAAAATTGGAAGAAATCGGTTTATCCACCGCAGGGCCAGGGGGTATCGATGGATCAGCTATCTCCAGTCTTCAATTTGAAACATTCTGCAGAGGCCTACCGGGGCTTGTGAATCTTGAGCTGAAGTTCCATCCACAAACGGCGATCAACCTAGAGTTCACCGCACTCGGAAGCCTAGGGAAGAACTGTCGCCTGCTTGAAACTTTGCGATTGAGAATCTCTTGCCACCTGCCAGATCTGCAAATAGTCAAAGATGCCTCACCGCTGCAGCCTACTGACGAGTTCTCCCAGAACTCGATGGACACGGAGGTTGGGCCTAGGATGCCCTCTATGACCGCCGACCTTCATGAAAGCAAATGCTTGCTTGACATGGAAAGTCTTGCTTTATCCCCGACAACTAACACGCCTCTTTTTCAGAACCTCAAACAACTTGCCTTCGCACGACCTCAATCCATTCTGTCGATCGCGAGTGACACATACATATCATCATCCAGTTCCCAGACAGGTTCTGTAGTGGATCACCTTGTAGAGCAGAGCCTCGTTCGATCCTGGGCACATCCGCTTGCAGCTCAATTCCCTCGTCTAGAAATCCTCGAAGCCTGGGGAGATTGGACAGGCCAAGACAACGAAACGCTCAACTACTTCCTACCACGCGAGGCACTATTAGCAACCATTTGGGAGTTCCTGAGCGGCGTGGAGCAGGATCTCTGGGACGAGGAGGAAGACGCAGAGGAAGACATTGACGAAGTCGGCAGCGGCTCGGATTGGGTCGATGCGCATACAGACCGCTATAGCATCAACAGCTACACCAGCTTAGATTGGGATTTGGCCAGCCTCGTCAACGAGTTCCGGACTCAGGAAGATATCAGTGGTCGCGCTTCTCTGGATACTTATGACGAAGAACCGGAGGACATGCTTACCCCCGGACCAATCCTGGATAAAGATGAGGAACCGTATTTTCGGCATTCTGATGCCAAGAACATTGCTGCATCTGGAGCTGGAGCGGTCAACCTTGCTCCAGGCACTGTCGCTTGCTCAGTGTAGACATTTTCGCCGCGAGATTGACTGATCAGATGTGAAACCCTTTGTACATGAATCATCACATGATGGCTTTCTTGTTAGAAGTGCTGCGCGTAATTTTCGCAATTATGAATGCCCGTATGCAACTTGTTCGAGGGTAAGATATTTAGACAACTTGATGTAATCACGGCAGTTCAAATAGAATACATGGAGTTGAGAGGAAAGGATATACACTGTTTCTATATTTTCGTAAGAGAAGGTTTCACTATAGTTCATGTTTGGGCCTCACGCTTCAACTTCTTCATCTATAACACACGCTATATAACACATACAAGTACAATCGACACGAACATCAAACGTGCACAACCAGCAAACTATATCCGAACAACCTTTAGTCTGGTTCCCCTCGGCATCTTTGTCAAACCCCAGGCACCAAGTGACCCAGGGACTCAGACTCCACAGAGGAGAAACACTGCACGTCTCAGTATTTCAAAGGTCACCTTCCTCACGTCATTAGCCAAGCCTGTGCATAAAATTGACTTTGGCAAATCCCTGTACTCCCTCTTTTTCAAAAAGGTCTGTTACTGCGTTTGGATCGAGAACCTGGGAAGGGTTGGTCGTGCACGGGCAAGGCCACATTACCTTGGTTGGGGTTCCGCCTGTTGCTGTCTCAACCTCTGCATTTGCTCTCTACACACCACTTTTTGTTTTTATTTTTCGCAAGCGACGGGGAAGTCAAGACTGGATTCTTGATCCCATGTAAAAGGGCAAAAGAAGGGGGGAAACAAGATCAAGCAGCGGAATGCTAGGTTCGCGGACGGCCGAACTGAGGGCCCAGGAGTAAACGCCCCATTATTTTTTTCTTTATTTCCAAATTCTTGCCGCCAAATCAAGGCCAGTACGACTCGGGCTTATCATTATCGACCGGTTCGGGAGGAACGGGGCCTGAGAACGTGTATATCGGCGTGTACTAATATGCGGATACCGATGACTCCGCTTTCGACACTGCACCGTCTCAGCATCTCCGTTCTCGTCGTCAGTACCCTCACACAACACTTCGTCGGAGCGATACCGCATGCTGTGTACCCGCGCCAGGCGTCTCCCATTGCTGGGCTACAACTACCAGGGTGTGCGCTGCGATGCTTAATTACGGAACTGGTACAAGATGGGTGTGCGGGTGAAGCGGACTTTACGTGCCATTGTCAGGGTGGGAAGTTGATGCAGGCTTCTTCGGCGTGTATTGCGCAAGGGTGTGGAAGTGTGCAACGAGATGAGGCAGATGCGAAAGTCCAGAGATGGTGCAGGAGTGTTATGGATGATGATGGAGGGTCATCGATCGCAAGCTCGAGTACGAGTGCGAGCACGGCGTTGGGTACGCCGTCTAATGGTCAAGAGGCCGCAGTGCCGACTCAGTCATCGACAAATACTGAGACAGTATCACAACTCACGAATACGATTCAGAGTACGGCACCGGCTAGTACACCGACTGGGACTTCTGGAAACCCGCCACGCTCTTCATCACAACCAGCCAGCGCGGCACCCTCACCGACAGGAACAGCAGTACCCGCATTACCGGAATCATCCACGCTATCCTCAGGCGCAAAAGCAGGGATAGGCATCAGTGTCTCGATCCTCCCCATCATCGCCGCCATCATCCTCATCTGGTACATCCGCCGCCTAAAGCGCCAGGTGCAAGCCGCAAAAACCGCAAACACCGAGCCATCACCACCATCCAACAACGAAGCCGTCCCACGCGGAAGCCAGGATACAGGCGCTTGGTCTACAGACGCCAACAATCCTTACCCCATAAGTCCCATGTCGCCCTCGTACCCCGGTGGCATGCAAGAAACCACTGTCTCGAATATTGGGTACGGTATGGTGATGAAGAAGCGCGGACACGTGCTGAGTATCCTGTTGGAGCGCGAAGATGAAGATGCGAGTAGTCTCCGCGTGAGAGAGCCTGTGCCGGGTCAGCGAGAGGGGCTCGCGGGACCGGTTGAGCTGGATGGGATTGGTGTTGCGATTAGTGAATTACCTGCTACGAATACGCCGAGGCGGAGTTTGGAGAGGTAGACCAATGAAGCATGTATAAGATGAGAGTCTGGATACTCTAGTTTTTTTAAAAAGTAAATATTGAAAATGTTTGAGGTATTGTGGATGTGCTTTGTTACTCCGACTGGGATCTGAAATGGTGATTGGGCAAAGGGGAAGTGAAGGTGGATAAACGTAGGTGATTCATTTTGTTCGTCGGTATTGGTATCGTGACTTCTCCTCATTCGCTACATAGACTCACTGTTTGCTTCCGTAGCAAACAACTTACTATTCAAACCCCCTCCCCAATTCCGCTACCTCTACCTCTACTAACACAGTTTTTCTCAGTCAACAGCAAACTATTAAAAATATAGTAGTCAACTATGCATTTCTCCAACACTCTCCATTCCTTTCTTCTACTCTTCAGCTTCGCCACCGCACTCCCTACAGATATGAGCTCCATCACACAGTCCGCATCCATTGCCAATAACCATCTCACACTCGAGACGCGCGACGGCTTTTGCAGCCCCAAGTGCAAGCAGCAATTCGATGATTTGCAGTCGTGGCGCTGGATCTCATATTCCATGTTGATAAATGAGTATAATATCAAGGTCCGACTTTATGTAAGTTCACCAATATTTTTTTTCGGTGCTTCATCTAGATGGCTGTTGTTTTTAATTTTTAGAGGAAGGGCGATGGAGAAAAAGGTGCTAATGAAATACACGACAATTGCTGCAAGGTTGAGAATTGGACGCAGCCGCTTCGGCCGGGGAATCCGCCGAATGCGGCTGTGGAGAAGTTGCATTGGATTTTGGAGAAGTTGCATTCCATGACTAGGGTTAAGCCGAAACCTAAGGCTGGTGGGGAGTAAGTGGGTGGGTACATCGGTACCCGGGTACCTGGGGCGTCGAGGGGATATGGAGACGGGGTGTTATCAGGTGTAAGTATGCATATGGGTAATGGCAATTGGCCATGAATGTGGACACGGTATAGGCATGGGACTGCGAGGTTAAGTAGTCAGAATGCGCAGTACACCAAGATCTAGGTTTCGATCGAGTGTTATCCCCTTGACGGTAGAGACTCGAGTCATAGTACAATCAATCTCTCATGGACATGATTTTATGAAGTTAGTATGCAATTGGCTGTATTCACAATCCACGTGATTTTCGCCAAGACTAGCCACATTGAGTTGCGCAACAAAACGCTGCCACAAATACTAACTTCAACGTTCTCACCCTCTAAACCCTCCTTCTTACACATGCTATCTATGCAGACGAGAGTATCCCAGAGCGGTGGTAAAGCTTGCGAAGCTTGCGGGACTGCCTTGTCCAATTCTTACGAGCTCGCGTCGGCCCTTCTGATCCGTCTTACAGGACCGAATCATGGTAGGCCAATGTGTGGCTTGAAAATCGATGACGCGCATGTGATTTAGAGCAAAGAGGACACAGCCTCGTCAGGGGTCTGTACGCGAGGTCTTGTCGTCTCCATCGGCCATCGCGATTCTTGAGCACCGAGTAGCGCCTCGCTGGTCACCAGCAAGACTCGGCGACTGGGCGTGGTCTGGGCGGATGTAATGGCTGTCTCTGCCGCCGAGGCACTTTTGCTACGGTAACAAGCACTGGAAAAAGGACTTTTGTTGTATGTGCCTCACCGCCATGCGCACGACGTTCACGATCTCTACATGTCGAAGTAGCAACAGAATCGGGCAGATTATGCGACGGACAAACGTTCTGGTCGCCACGGAGTTGAGAGAGAAGAGAATAGCTTGGGCCAAAGGGCAGTTCCACTTTTTCCATGCGCGCCTTTGGCACCCCACCGGCACGCCAACACTGATGGGGATCATAACGCGCGCACATCAACAGGGATGGTGCGTTTTCAGGGCGTTCGACAAGACGTCTTCTGCTCGGCGTCGTGCCATATACGCTGATTACGACGTGGAGATATTGGCCCACGAGTTTGCCTCCACTGGTTAATGACATGTCTCTTTCTTCCTGCTTGAGTCGTTTCCTTCCGCTTTCTGTTTGATACCCTTTTTTTGCTTGTTTCAGAGCGTGAGGAGCGATGCTGTCGGCCTCTCGAATAACTAAAGAGTAAACACCCAAACATTAAGGCAACCACGATCGCGACGACTGGCGGCTAGGCATAACCTTTTCACTACCAGCGCACAGCCTCTTCACCACCAGCGCACCCGTAGCGGACATATACGACTCGACTTGACTTTTTCTCTCTCTATTTGCTATACAACGTATCAGATCAATTATCTCAGAAAAGGATTCAGGTAAGCATTTACCTTACCGAGACCTTACTCTCGAATCCTAACCAATCGTTTAGTAATACTACCAAAAATATGTACAACTCTTAACAGGTTTATACCTACTAGGCATACCTCAATTAGGTACGGCAACTAAATCACGGTTGCGACAAAGGCAGTAGAACAGCGAAACACAGTTGCGACAGAGGCGACAGAACAGCGAGCTACGGTTACAATAAAAGCAATAGGACAGCGAACTACGGCTGCGATAAGACAGCAGCACAACGAACTGTGGTTGCAACAAGGACACGCAGTGCAGCAAAGTGCTCTTATGCCATAAACTCGGCGTATCGTCCGTCCGTCCATCCCATCTCATCACCAAGCGGGCATATACATCCACCATGGCTGGCGCAATCGCAACCCAGACATGGATCCTCACAAAAAAGACACTACGCGTCGTCTTTGTGCGCCACTGGTTCTTCACGAGCGTGCGCGCATTCTGGGCTCCCATCATTTTTGTATGTCTTCGAGTCCTTTACAGCATACCGCTGGCTAACCATGACGCACGCAGATGTTCTTTATCACCTACGCTAAAAACTTCTTCGTACCACCTTCTGAGTTCGGCATCGGCAATGCGTCCCCCATTCGATCCTTTCCCGACGCTCTCGCTGCTGCTCAAGGCGGCCGTGACAAGGTCGTCTTTGTAAACAATGGCAACACTGGTGGTCAGATTGACCAGGTCATCGACCGACTATCTACAACTGTGCGTGACGCAGGGCTGCAGGCTATTACTTTAGGATCAGAAGTGGAGCTACTCACAACCTGTGCGAGCTCATTGCGCGGCGCCAGTACTTGCTTTGGCGCTGCCTCTTTCTACTCCAGTCCAAATGAGGGTCGAGGACCGGCCTGGAATTATACACTTCGATCGGACGGCGCCCTTGGAGAGAACATCTACGTGGACCAGAAAGACAATGACATTCAGATATATATTCTTCCCTTCCAGCGCGCCATTGATCAAGCCATCGCTTCTGTGGACGGATCTGGACCAATTCCCGAGACCAATGAGTATCCCTATACCGACAAGACCCAGAAGGAGTACGACGATAGAATTCGAACACTCTTCATGGGCGCCCTTATTAACATTATGGGCGCAGCCTTGTACATTGGCATCTGCGGTGTGACATACCAGCTCACGGGACAAATGGCCGAGGAGCGAGAACGCGGCATCTCACAGCTCGTCGAAGCAATGTCTCCTGCGAAGAAGGCATGGCACACGCAGTTTGCGCGCCTCCTATCCATGCACATCGCTTTTGACATGATCTACTTCCCTGGATGGGTCATTATGGGAGCCATAGTTTGGGCCCTGGCCTTTTCGTCTTCTAATCCCATCATTTTGATCATCTTCCACGTTCTGGCTGGATTGTCACTGACGAGCTTCTCCATCTTTGGCGCGGCGTTCTTCAGAAAGGCACAGCTATCTGGTATCACCATTGTCATCATTCCCATCCTGTTGGCCATCATTGCACAGGTTGCTGGTCCGTTTAGCACATCCGCCGTTTATGTGCTCAGTTTGATCTTTCCATCCATCAATTACGTCTTCTTCACCATTTGCGTAGCGCGATTTGAAAGACAACTTATCGCCATGAACATGGTTGAAGCATCACCTGCATACGAGGATCACGTGTGGACGACTCCTGGTATTGTCTTTTGGGTTTTCGCCATTATTCAAACTTTTGTATACCCGTTCCTTGGTGCTCTTGTCGAGCGGTGGCTCTACGGTACTGTGTCAGCTGACAGGAAAACTACGACTTCATCGCCGGATCATAATATCATCCTTACAAACTTTTCTAAACACTGGACTCCCAGCTGGTTCCGCAGAAATGTCCTGTCCAAGTTTGGAGTAAAGCCCCCAGAGACGGTTATTGCTGTAGACAACTTCAGCATGAAGGCGCGCAAAGGTCAAATCATGGTGTTGCTCGGTGCAAACGGTAGTGGAAAGTCTACTACACTCGACGCCATTGCCGGTCTCAACTCCATCACTAGTGGCGCCATCGAGATTGACGGTACTGGTGGTCTTGGTCTCTGCCCCCAGAAGAATGTAATGTGGGACGAACTCAATGTTTATGAGCACGTCCGCCTGTTCAACCAACTCAAGTCCACTGGCGAGTTCGACTCGAAAGACAAGATTGAAGATCTCATCCGCGCTTGCGATCTGGGTCATAAGATGAAGGCGCAATCAAGCACGCTTTCTGGTGGTCAAAAGCGCAAGCTTCAACTCGCAATGATGTTTACCGGTGGCTCCAAGGTCTGCTGCGTTGACGAAGTCTCTTCTGGTTTGGACCCCCTATCTCGACGAAAGATCTGGGAAATTTTGCTTGCTGAGCGTGGCGATCGCACGTTTCTACTTACTACCCATTTCCTCGACGAAGCAGATGTTCTTGCAGATTACGTCGCCATTCTTTCCCGCGGTGTACTCAAAACTAAGGGCACATCTGTCCAGCTCAAGCATGAGGTTGGTGCTGGATACCATGTCACTTATCCCAAGAGCGCTCCAGTCAAACCACCTGTTGATGCAGTCAAGAAGCCTTCGCCTTCCGAAGGCATGGTTCAGTACCAGTTCGCTGATGCGCTCCCCGCGACTAGATTTGTGGACGTCTTGAGAGATCATGGTGTAAAGAATTACGATATCGTTGGACCAACCCTCGAAGATGTTTTTCTCGCCAACGCTGAAGAAGTCAAGGAATATAATCTTATGGATGTGGAGCATGCCGACAATTCCGAAAAGGATGCAGATGCGCCTTTGGATAACATTTCGGACTCGGAGAAGAGGCTTGACATGGGCAAAGGACGCGGTACGGGACTTTTCCAGCAAGTACTGATCCTTATACAAAAGCGAGTCACTATCGTCAAGCGCAACTTCTGGCCTTATGTCTTCGCACTGATTCTTCCTATTGCTGCCGCTGGCTTGGTCACGCTCTTCCTTCAAGGTTACCAAGCTGTCGGTTGCGACCCGGGCGCCGCTTCCAACGACCCAGAAATCTTTTCGCTTTCAAGCAGTCGCCGAAAATTACTGATTCCAATCGGACCGCGCAGCACTGTCGGCCCCGCGGTAGAGACCATCATCCAACGGACTGGTATTCGAGAGAACGACTTCAACACTTTGGATACGCTTGACGATTTCAACGGCTTTGTACAGACCCGCTTCCGCAACATCACGCCCGGTGGTTTCTTCCTGAATCAAAATGGACCTCTTGTCATGACGTACCTCGCCAATGGCGGTGTCATTGGCGGCCTGATTACACTCAACATGCTTGACAACATTGCTAGCAACATTACAATTTCGATGCAATACCAGCAGTTTGCTGTCCCGTTTGCTCCTAATATGGGAGACACTCTCCAACTTACACTTTACTTTGGCCTTGCCATGTGTGTTTACCCGGCCCTGTTCGCTTTATACCCCACGCAAGAACGGTTGAGGAATGTTCGAGCTTTGCATTACAGTAACGGCATTCGTGCTGTGCCTTTGTGGCTAGCATACACGGCTTTTGATTTTATATTTGTGCTTATAATTTCCGCTGTTACAACAATCATCTTTGTCGCAGTAAGTCGATCAAACATGCACGAATGCAACACACGCTGACCCTGACCTAGGCATCGAGTGCATTTTACGCGCCGGGATACCTCTTCGTCGTCTTCTTTCTGTACGGCTTGTGCGCGATTCTCTTCTCGTACCTTATTTCGATCGTTGTTACTTCGCAACTTGCAGCCTTTGCTTTCGCGGCTGGAGGCATGGTTTCGCTTTACCTCATCTATTTCATTGGATACATGGCGATTCTCACCTACGCTCCTGCTTACGCTATAGACTCGTACATCGATTACTTTCACTGGACGGTCTCGATAATCTCGCCCTCGGCAAGTTTGCTGAGAACGCAGCTACTAGCGCTCAACTCATTCAGTATTTTGTGCGATGGTACCCGGATCCCAAGTTATCCCGGTGCTATCACTGTCTACGGTGGCCCGATCTTGTATCTTATCGTTCAAATCATCCTTCTCTTTATAGCTTTGGTCTGGTGGGACTCTGGGTACCGACCCCCATTCCTTAACCGCGACAAGAGCCGCCGACACAATCCTGAAGAGAATGTGGAAAACATACCGCCTGCAGTCGCAGCGGAGATTGCTCGTGCTGAGGAATGCAAAGACAGTCTTCGCGCACTGCACCTTCACAAGCAATTTGGCTCGAATCACGCTGTAAACGACATCACATTCGGTATTCCTCAAGGTCAGGTCTTCGCACTTCTGGGCCCCAACGGTGCTGGAAAATCTTCTACCATCTCACTTATCCGTGGAGATATCCACCCAACAACTCATATCAACGGCGGCGGCGACGTCCTCATCGAAGACATCTCTATCGTCAGGAAACGCGCCGCTGCCCGAGGCAACCTCGGAGTATGCCCACAATTCGATGCCATGGACACCATGACCGTTACAGAGCATCTCTACTTCTACGCTCGCGCCCGCGGCGTCTCCGACGCCAAAGCCAGCGTCGAAGCCATCCTCCAAGCGACCAGTCTGACCCGCTTTTCCGACCGTCTCGCATCGAAACTATCCGGCGGCAACAAGCGTAAACTCAGCTTGGGCATCGCACTCATGGGCAACCCCTCCGTCCTCCTTCTCGATGAACCCTCAAGCGGCATGGACGCAGCTGCCAAACGAGTAATGTGGCGCACACTGCTCGGTGTCGCGGCCCCGGGCCGCGCCCTCCTCATCACCACACACTCGATGGAAGAAGCAGACAAGCTTGCTACGCGCGTGGGTATCATGAAGCGGAAGATGCTAGCGCTTGGCACCGTGTCGGATCTCGGTGAACAATACGGCGACGCGTGGGTCGTTCAACTCGTCTTGAAATCCGCGCCTGAGACTACCGAAGAGGAAATGGAGCAGGTTAAGCAGTGGGTTGCGCAGAGCATTCCTGGTGTTCAGTTTGATAAGTGGGGGTCTAGAGGAGGTGGCCACGGGCAATTGAGGTTCAAGGTGCTGAAAGCTGCGGCGACGGAGTCTGCACACGTGGGCAAAGAGGATGGCAAGCTTTCTGATGTGGATGTGACGAGAGTGGGGTCGAAGGAGTCGGCGTCAGATCTTGGGGGTATTCCCGGGTTGATTCAGCTGCTGGAGACGAATAGGAAGGAGTTGGGGTTGGAGTATTATAGTGTTTCCCCGACTACGCTGGATGAAGTTTTCCTCCGCGTAGTCGGTGAGGAAGAGGAGGAAGAGAAGGCGAAGACGGGGGGAGTGTCGAAGGTCAAGCGTCTTTTGACTTGTGGGTTTGCGCGTTCGTAGATTACGATAGATGCGTGTATATACCTGGAACGCGTTTTCTGTTCTTTTTGTACATCCCGTATGGCAATTACAATGATACCAATTTCAACGTATTCGCGTGTCTCTGAGATGGACTCACACCCTCTTACTCATAATAACATACTCAGCCCTCACCACCTTCCTCCGCATAACCCTATCAACAGGACTACACTCATCCCTCTCATACCCCAACTTCTCATACATCTTCTTCGCGCCCTCATTCGCTACGAAGACTGTTAACATTGTTTTCTCGATACTGCAGGCCCGCGCGACGGCTTCGACGAAGGTCATCAGGCGTGAGCCGAGACCCTGGTTGCGCAGGGGCGGGGATAGGTGGATTTCGTAGATGTAGACGACAGCGCGGTCTTGGTGTGGGGGGTCGTCCCAGGTGAACATGAAGGAGATGAAGCCAAGGATAGGGGAGTTGGGGGAAGCGAGTGGTGGGGCAGGCGTGGGGGTGGAGGAGGTGGAGGTGTAGGTTTGAGCGAGTTGTTCGAGGTCATCTAGTTGGGGGGGTTGGGGAGACGATGCATCCAGCTTTCGCTTCTTAGAACTGACAGTTTCTTGATCACTAGATTGTCTGTTGTCTGAGCGCGTGTCTTGCTCGACTTGCTGTTGTTGGCCTTTGAGGTCAGGTGCAGACACTGTGGTGGTATTGGCTTGCCGGACGAGCAGGTATATCATGTCCTTGTCCATCATTTCTTCTCGCTTCTTGCGCGTGTTCCAGCCAATTCTTGAGGCGCGGTAATCGTCCCCGGACGTTTGCTCGACGAGCTCGATGCAGGTTTGGAGTTCCTCTTCTTTGAGCTGAGTGGCTGAGGTTATGAGATCGAGTTTTAGTGGAAATGGTTGATTTGCTGACTTGTAGGATTTGAGGCCGACAATTTCGTCTTCGAACAGCATTTTTACCATAAGCGTGCGTTGGACGGCTTGAGGCATGTTGATTGTTTAGGGACTGTTCAGCCGGATTGGCGGAGAAGGTCTTGGTTATTTTAAACTAGTTGGAGATAGTCGGTGGCTTGGACGATGATTGCCTGATTGAACCGCCAGAACAATTATTTCGTTCAACCGCGCTGACCTAACAAAGGTGAGTGGTTCGCGACTGGCCCCTGTGCGTGTACATTGCTGGTGGGGTGAAGGGCGCGTTGTGGGGAACGCGTCGCGGGGCAGGTCGTCATTTTGATTCGAAGTATACGTACAAAGAAAAATCGGAAGGCGGTGATTGTCCAACTTCCCTATACATGGAACACTGAATATCTTGGTATCTATCACTCTATGTGCAACCACGTATTCTATGGGCAACAAGCCTAGCTACGCGCTGCCATCCGATCTCGAGTGCGAGTCGTTGTCTGCCGCGGTCCCACGTCGGCGTCGTTACGGATCTAGCGCCATCGCGGTCTAGTTCATCTCTTTACGTCAGTCTGCATCAGTGTGAAGAGCCTCGTTCATCCTACCAAAACCCATTCTAGTCAGTATCTCTGCATCCTCAAGTCCAGGTAGATTGTGTTTGTCGAATCACATCGAGGGCATGCTGCGAAGGTATGCGACAGTAGCGTCCAAGCCTTTGTCTCGGCTCGGCGCTCGAGGGAAAAGTCCTGTTAGCCTCGACCACGTACGTGATACTTGCATGTTCGTAAGAGCGAACCGAAAGGGGCTGACTTCTATGCAGTTCATTCAGCGACAGCGCGTGCTGGCATTGTGGCGAGACATTGTTCGGAGTACGGCCAACATCCCCGATGAAGCGGCAAGGAAGGATATGCGACAGTTTGCAAGATCAGAGTTTGAACAACATCGTCGAGTAACTGACCTAGTATGCAAAAAATCATGACTTGATATGTTCCCCAGCTAATCGCTCTCTAGGGCCACATTCGATACCTCGTCTCCGTATGTTTCTTCACAGCATCACAGCGCCTATGCAGTCCACTAACTCTATCGCAGCATGGAAAAACGCAATTCCAGGCAATGAAAGACACTCTCATTAACTCTGGTATACTCACTGAATAAAATCTATTCCATACGTCGTTCCTGCAGCTATTATCGTGCTTCATGTTCAACTATGTTTTCATTGGTCAATTCTTCGAGGGGCATTCGTTTAGCGCCTCGAACACTAGCATCAAGCACCTCAACACCGTCTTACTCTGCTCCACCTTTTTACAATTATAACACGGTTTCGTCTCACATCCAACCTTTGAGGTGTTTTCAATCTCCCATTCTGCACTGGACACATCCTTTACGTCACAAAGGGTCACCTGCAATGGCACTTCCTTCAGAAACCTCAGTGTTGATCGTGGGCGCCGGCCCCGCAGGATTGGTCACTGCAAAGACATTAATACAGGCCGGATACATTGTCACTGTCTATGAGAGAGCCGAGCGGGTTGGCGGTATGTGGAGGGATGAGCGGGGAGGATTTGGCGATAAATGCAGTCCAGATATGCGAACAAACCTCAGCAGATTCACTGTGGCTCTTCCTGATCTTTCGTGGAAATCCGTTGATCCAGACGCTCTACAATCTGGTGTAAATGCACCGCCCATGTTCCCAAAGGCTTGGCAAGCTGGGAAATACCTTGAGACTTATGCGGAGACTTTTGGAATCATTGAAAATATCATCCTCCGAACGCGCGTCGTCGATGCGCGTCTACAAGACAACCAGACTTGGAAGGTAACTAGTGATGATGGATTCGGAAAGCACACCACCATCACGTTCGACCGGCTCATCATCGCAAGCGGCTTCTTTGGCAAACCCTGCAAATCCTTCGACCCCTCAGCATCTAAAAATCTTTCAAACATTCAACACTCTTCTCGTTTTCGCAATGTATCTGAGCTGAGTGGGCGGCGTGGAAAGATTGCTGTTATTGGAGGGGGCATTAGTGGCTCAGAAGCAGCATCACAAGCGGCCTTTCAGATTTCAAATGCAAGGCATTCGCCTAGTAAAGAAAAGCCTGTTCATGCTTCAAGTACAGTCTATCATATTTTCAATCGGCCTTTTTATTGCCTGCAGCGATACCTGCCCCAAGACCCGCAAGACCAAGATGGAAAACTCAATCAAGCGCCAAAATTTCTTCCTCTTGATCTCATTCTCTACAACCTGTCACGACGCGGTGATGGAGAGATAACAGCAGCCATCGCCACTGTCCCGCCTGAGAAGGCGAAAAAAGGTCATGATTTTCTGAGGTTGAGTTTAGGAGGTGACCAAAGTGATTTCGGGTATCCGGATCTCACATACGATCCGGAGCTCATGCGACATCCTGGGTATACTGGTATCACGGATACGTATATGGAGTTTGTAAGAGATGGAATCATTGTCCCAGTGCAGGGTTGGGTAGATAAGGTCAATCAGCAGTCGGAAAGCGAACTTTTTGACATTGAACTAAAACAGTACGAGCCGTGGTATCACGCCCCTGAGAAGGAGGCAGCTGTAAGTTGATTGCTCGTTCCTATGAATTTACAGCATCACTGATGTCTACTAGGGCACCAGCAAACTCACTGACGTAACTGGTATAATTGAAGCTACAGGATATAAGACTGACCTCGACTGGCTTGACCCCCAAGTAAGGGAAGTGCTAAACGACAAAGACACATTACCAAATGCACGAATACCATTCATCCTCTCACGTGGCTCCATATTCGCAAACAAATTCCCCACCCTTGGCTTCGTTGGATTCTACGAAGGACCTTACTGGGGAGTAATGGAGACCCAAGCTCGTCTTCTCGCAGAAACCTGGGCCAAGCAGGAAACAACCAAGCTTCTCGAATCTCCAGACCGTGAAATCTACAAACCAGACGTTACAAAGCACATGCGCGAAGCCATGAAGAAAGACCCCCTTCAAGTCCCGCAATTCTGGATGTCAGACTACGTCGGCCTAATTGAAGAATTCGCACGGGAAGCAGGTCTTTCACGCGACGACTCCGCCTTCAACGGCAAACAAACCGGTCCCGCATTTCCCTCACGCTACCAAGGCGCAAACACCGGGCCCCAAGCCAAAGAAGTTGTCCAAGAAGTCGCCGAGCTAATCAAAGCATCCTCTGAAAACGCGCGCTTCGTCGCAGCAGCCGTCTTCACAGCCATGCAGGGTGTCTGGAACATCCACCGCAGAATCGAATCCCATACTAACACCCCAGGCGGCATCTTCACCGGCACAGCGCATTTCCATCCGCGCGAGCCCACAGATACCGCACTTTACTCCGCAGAATATCTCTACATTGAAAACGGCACCTTCACCTCAGACAGCGGCCTCTCATTCCCCGCAACCCGACGCTACGTATACCGGTACTCGGAGACCCGCGACAAAATCACCGCGTGGTTCGTTTCCGAAGACAACAAGAGCGTAGGCACGCTGTTCAATACGTGGGAGTTTTATGCGCCCGAGAGTAAGGAAAGCGGGTGGATGGCAAAGGGGTACCATTGGTGCGATCCTGATACTTACAGGAATACGTGTGAATTTCGGTTTAGAGGGGTGAGAATTGAGCGATTTATGGTGAGGTATGAGGTGCAGGGCCCCAAGAAGGATTATCAGCATGAAAGTTGGTATGAGAGGCCTAAGGTGGAGGATTTGAAGAGGGGGGATAATTGATGCAGGGGTTACATGTCATGGTGGTTGATTGGAAGGGGGTATCACATTCTACTTGTTGTTCTATCGTACAATGTTCTTTGGGTACAACTTCTCGCAAGAGAGCTTAATACTCTGCACCTCCGTTTGCAAGCGTACTGGGATGTGTAGGTGGTCCATCCCTGCCAACACTATTCAAGTCTGCGAGGAGAATCTTGAGATGATTCTGTCGATTTTGATTGCTACTCCAGGTGACGGCTTGGGAATAGTACAAGATATCCCATGCCTCATCACTGATGTTTTGTAGGAAAGTTGGCAACGAGCGTGCTTTCTGGTACGAGCGCCAGAGTATACGTCTGATATCGTCGTTGGCTCCAATGTACGCAAACTGGATTGCTTGATTGAAGGACTTGAGGGCAGGCGAGATATTGAATGGGGGTGGGAGGTGGACGCAAAGGCGGTCGAGAGCAGTGCTGTGTTCTGGGTCCTGACGTGCCATGACCATGCGCTCCTTGAGTGTAGCAGTGCGACTGTCATCGAGCTCGTATGGATCTGGCGCCGTCTCGTGCGCAAGAGTTGTCAAGTCGCCTGGCTGCGGCTTATGTTCTGAGATAAGTTTTTGGATATACATGAGTTTCTCCATCAGTTTGGGATCTTCCATGATCTTGTCGACCTTGGCTTGTAGTTCGGCAGGTACTTCTTCTTCCTCTTCTTCGATCTGTGGGGGCTGCGATGCTTTAGAAAGAGCGAGCTTCTTGAGTTCTTCGGCTAGTTCTTCGGGATCCATTTCGCGTTCGAAGACGCCTTCTTGATCTTGTGTGCCTGTTGGGTCCTCCCTGAGTGCTGCATCGAGTTCGGCCTCGAGGTTGGAGTCGCCGCCCAGTGACTTCATGACATCGCGCATCTGATGCAGAAGCTTGTCCACATCCTGCATGTCTTCTGGTGTTGGCATGGCAAGATCGTCATCTGGCGTTTCGGCTTCAACGATGGCATCGCTGGTGCTTCTCTGGTATTGCTCCCATTCTTCCTCCAGTTCTGCATCGTCTATATCTTGGTCCAGCGCAGCAATCTTCTTCTTCATAGCCTCGTTGCCTTCTAGCTTAGCCATAGCCTTTTGCAATATTTGTTGAAACTCAGGGCTGTCAATATCCTCCATTTCCGGCATCTTGTCAATGACTTCTTGTAAGTCCGCCTTTGCATCGCCGATATCTGGGTCGTCGATGAGCTCTTGTATGGCCTCGTGTGTGGCCATTCGGAGACCTGCATTGAACTCTTTGCTACTTGCTTCAGCCTCGAGTGCATCTTCCTCGTCCATGGCTTCAAGCTCTTCTTTGGATTTGATGCTCTGTTTGATATCCTTCAGCTCTTCCGTCAACTCAGCGAAGTTTGGGTTCGAGAGGAGGCTGTCGATGAGGCGCCGGTTCAGTTTGGCATCGTCGTACTCGGGGTTCTTTTGTGACTCTTCTATCATGGTGTACATCTCTTTGTCCTTTTTGCGATCCTCGACAGTTGCTATGCGCTCGATGAGGCGCTGGGGTGTGCCCTTGTCCAGATCCTGTTCGTACCAATTGATGATGGGGAGATCTTCGCGCTCCAGTTCAGCGTCGGATAATGGGCGCATTGCTTTATCCATCCTTTCATCGTCATCGAATATGGATCGCGAGCCCTTAATACGCTCCAGTACCGATGGGCTTGGTTCTACATCGGCATTGTGGCGTACTTTTTCATCTTTGGTGGCTTTAGAGCGTTTCCCACGAAGAAACTGGGCTGGGAGGGGTCGGGCGAGCGGACACCTTCTAGGCTGCGGCCGCGAGAGGGCTCGGATCAGTGCCCTTGAAGGAACATATGCTCGAGAAGGCGCCATGACTGTGACCAGTTTTTGCTGGGTTGACAACGTCAACCAGTGTCTTGGGGATTTTTGGGAATGGCTGCAAACAATGCAAACATTCTCTTGGCACCTCCGAGAACTCCGCAGACAGCGCTAAACCTAGTCGGGTCTCCATCCTACATTTCATTCACAATTCCTCACTGGAACACCGCTTTTAAACACCGTATCCTAGTCTATTTTTCTCCAATTAGATTAAAAAACTCTTCAATTCTTCAATTCTATCTGCTATTGGAATATAGCTCGCGTGAACATCTTAAGTCGTGCCAACGACCACCAAGGAGTCATCCATACCTAACATCTGTATCAATGAGATGCCCCTCTCCACTCGCTGATAAGATAGTACTCCTCCTAATCTTTACTGAAAAGTAGGATAGATGCTGTCAACGCAACAATCAAGGCTACATCCGATGATCTAGGCATTTGACCTTTTTCTAAAATCTTCTTAATTTGGTCTGCTTCAACTATAGCGGGTGCCACATTCTCCTCACTATTCGTGGTTGAGTGAACTTTTGGTGGTTCATGGAATTCCATGCCGTTTGATACAGCTAAAATAGCGAGTATTGCGAGGAGGTAAGGAAGGTAGCGCATGGCGAAGGTTGAGTTGGCTATGATAAACAAGGGTGATTGAGGCAAGGCCAGACGATGAATGCAAGAATACGGAAAAAGATGGAAAGATAGATATAGAGGGTACCTGGTACATTGTCGAGCTACTATGAATACTTCTATAACTCAGTATCTGACATTTGTAATGCACAGAGTCGAAGCGCACAGTAGCCTGTCCATGGTGAATTATAACATTGTATACTGTGAAGGAAGCCTGTTGCGGTAGGACACTATGAACATGCTGCTCTGTCCCGAAACCACATATTTTATGCATACTTTACCTTGAGTGAGAGACCAGTCAGGTTTGCTATGATTATGTCGACACAAAGTAGCACTTGAAGACTACTTATCCTGTTTGTTAGCGATTGAAAAATAAACGACCACATCACAGAAACGTTTGCAATTGTCCTAGGCATGTCGACCTTTGCATACTGAACAGTGTATATCGTACGTAGCGCTTCATGATGACGCATCGGCCGCTTCTCTTACTATGCATTTTAAATTCTTGGTGTCTTTGAAAATATAAGTAAAATCCATGGGTATTCGTCGAATTTTTTTGAAATGCATTATTAAACATAGCTAGTTGATTTATGAGTTGTGCAAACCTTTGAGGCTTCAACACATCGCTCATCGTAGCGCATGTAATGAGGGAAAGTTGATGGCGAGTGCTTCTTCCGCTAACCAGGCCTGTTCCCTCGATTATACGACGCAGCATGACAAGGACTACAAAAAAGTGCTGACTGTATCCAAATTTCCCAGCTGTGCAGGCTGCGCGATTCCGAGGCATGAATTTAAAGTTCGAGATGGCTCCTCAGTCGTGCGCACACCCCAGCATGTATGAGCCTTTCCCTTCATACCCCACGGACACTGCGCCGTAACCAACAGCCACACTATATCACTCAATGGACTACGGGTTGTCTCGTATCTCTTGATACCTTGTGGTTTGATCGAGATCTATAACACGAGCCCGCATGGACATTACTGCGAGAAAGGGCCTACATAGTTCCCAGGCACACGATCAAGGGTACGAGGTGTAAGGACTTCAGAACATTCTGAGTAAGATCACCACGCTACCCCTGCTCGCTCGTGGGCTACCGAATACTATCTTTAGTTCAGCAGTATGTCATTACTGTACTCAAATTCGGAAGTCGCATTTATCCTCGAGAGTGCACACGCGCTTCAAATGCTTTGCGAGCAATAGAAGTGGAAAGAGGCGCGCGTCGAACAAACTACACGATAGGCATCATACGTACGTGATATTGGCAGGCAGTTTGTTCTCCTGACGAAAGTGCGCAAGCAGGAAGCGGCGTGCTGCCATCTAGTTGCACCAATCATGCCTTTTAATACCAGTGCTAGTCCATACGTAGTTTCTCACCCGCTATTGATCTTTGGATATTGCAAGTTCCACTGTTGCTTGATCTGTTGCCCATGTACCGCAATGGTCAGTATGCCAATCACATGCATATGTACACGACTCACCCCTCACCTTTTTAAGCCAATTTTGCACTTGAAATAGCTTAGCAACGTCTGTTTGTCTTGGACCTGCCTCTTCAGGTTTCACACTCTAAATTCGTATTGATGCAATCGACGTCATGCGATGATCTGCATATCGGATGGGTTACTACTCGGTGACAAGCTCCCGAGATCTTTGCAAGGATGTCATCACGTGTGTTTTCAACGCTCGGCAATCCTGTGTGACGCGGATTAATATACCACCAAGCAGAAAAGCGATGGTACGCTATGGGCAGGGGTGGATACAATTATCGAATGCTCAAATGAGCTCGATCCCGGAGAATAGCTCTCTTCAAGTATACTACACTAGCGCTTCCCCACCATCTTTTTGTCGATCCCTGCCCCGGCTATATTTTACGGGTAAAGATTACGCCCGAACAGTCAGGAGTAGAAGTTTAAAATCCGAGTTCTTGATTTCAAGAGGCTGATTTGTGGTTTAATCTCGAGCTAGGGTGGTGTAATCGACCCTGCAATACACAACCCCTGGGTTATTGCAACGATGCGCTTTACTCGTGACCGCCTAAGACGCAGTCTTACGTTCCGTCAATGAGCTCCCAACAAAGCGAAAAAACTATAAATTCAGTGTGCCCCGGAATTTGCGTGGAGTTGCCATAGCGGATTGCATCACACGACCTTATAATGCGCCTTTTCAGTATCGCAGGTCTGAGCCTTTTGGCTTCAGTCGCGACCGCCTCGCTGCAAATTGTACCGGGGGCCACGTGGACGGCAGTATGTCAATACATCAGCATGGACTCGACTTTGACTAAGTTGTATCCAGACAAACATCGGCCAACATATCCAAGCTCATGGTGGGGGTATAATAAAAGATGGCGGAAAGTGGTATTGGTACGCTAGATGGCTCAGCATAGTGCATAGTCTGAGCCACCACTAACATCTTCCAAGGGTTGGTGAAGACAAAACAAATGGCAGTTCTTTCCAGAACATCAACTGCTACTCTTCGAGCAACCTTGTAGAATGGACTTATGAGGGCGCTATACTTTCGCGCACCGCATCCGGAGACACGGGCCCCAACCGCGTCATCGAGCGGCCAAAAGTCATCCACAACAAGAAAACCGGCAAATACCTGCTTTGGATGCACATTGATAGCTCTGATTACAAAGATGCCAAAATCGGCGTAGCTATTGGCGACACCGTTTGCGGAAAGTATACTTACCTGCGGAGTGAGAGACCGCTTGGATTCGAGAGCCGAGACTCGGGTGTGTTTGTCGATGATGATGGAAAGGGCTATTTGCTGACAGAGGATGTACGAATCTCCCTATGGCTTCTCGATATCTACATGTTACTAACGAAAGTAGCGCGCAAACGGTCTTCGCATTAATGCTCTTTCCGACGACTATCTGAACATCACAAGGAACGTCTACAAATGGGCCGAAAAATACGAGTCTCCAGCCGTGATCAAGAGCAACGGTGTATACTTCATGTTTGCCTCGCAACTTACCGGCTGGAATCCCAACGACAACTACTACAGCACCTCAACCTCTCTTTCTGGTCCATGGTCTGCATGGAAAAAGTTCGCCGACTCAGGATCCAACACATACGCGTCTCAAACCACCTTTGTCCTTCCCGTTGGCAACAGTTTCATGTACATGGGCGACCGATGGCACAGCGAGAACCTCATGAGAAGCACGTACATCTGGCTTCCGTTGCAAATCTCCGGCACAACTGCGACCATGAAGAACGCGGTGAACTGGATCATCAATCCCAGCACTGGTGCCATGACTGCCGGACCCACCGAAAACTCCTACGAGGGCGAGTCCGCAACACTAGCTAGTGGCGCACGCACAATCTCATGCTCTTCTTGCTCAGGTTCGCAATCAGCGGGGTATATTGGCGGTACATCATCAGGCGTCATCACCTTTGCTAATGCTCAGTATTCGGCTACCACGCGCACTACGCTTAGGATTAAGTATCTCAATGGTGATAGCTCGCAACGGTATGCAGATGTTACAGTTAATGGAAAGATGCAAAAGGTCGCTTTTGTTCCACATGGCGGAGGCGACCCGGGGAGTTCAGTTGTGCACGTCGACTTGAAGCAGGGCAGCAATGAGATTAAGATTGCAGGAAACAATGGAGGGTGGGGACCTGATATCGATCGGGTATTTGTTCCTGTGAATTAAGTAAAGGCATATAGTCTCGGCCTTTACGAACAAAATCTTTCTCTGGAATAGAGTCAGGCTTAGTCTAAGGAAGTCAGAGATGTGTATATAATTTAGCTGAGCCATGATTCTGACGACATCCGAAGTCACCTCTCATCTTGAACATTTTTACTAGTGATGCCTCTAATCACGCTTCTCAATTCGAAGAGATGTATCTATGAGTGCATGGATATCTAACATGACGTGAATCTAAGAAATACATTTGTATACATGACGAGCTGGCCCGCACTCGTCTGAGCACTCATAACAGGGTATTATGCACATCTAAATACATAGCACAAGCAAGGAAAAGATATCTCAGCCGCAAAAACCGTTTATGCAGTGAAGCTCCTCGCCTTGACCGATCGTGCAGCAGCCTTGCCAGCCATCTTGCTAGTGACGAACTTGGCCGCCTCGTTTGCATTTGCTCCATACGACAGATGGGGCGGCAGAATGATAGCCTGACCAGCGCAAATAAGATCGCCGGTTGCACAGATAACCTTTGTGTTTGCAGCAGCGACTTTGCCAACAGCCTGGCCGTTGTCTGGGTCGCCGAAGATGACAGCGCTGGAGACAAAGGCAGAGTCGTCAGCGCTAAGCATGGCGGCTGCATTGTGAACGAGTTGACCTCCCTGACTTTGGGACTGTTAGTATACATCTCGGTAATCTCATGAAGATATGCAATTTGAGAAGAAGAAACACTTACGAGTATCCTGCCATGACCAGTGTCGTGTCAGGGCACTTTGCCTTGACTTGTCCAACCATCTGCGCCATCAACTTGCTGCCACCGGCGTCACCGCCAACAAGAAATCCAGGTACATCTGCTGGGTATTCAATACCCTGAACGGCTACGTTTCCACCCATCATTGCGCCGACGGCAGAGACAAAAGGCGGACCTGCGACGGTGCCCATGTTGCCGATCTCAGTGGTACCACGGGCGAAGAGAATGGTCATGGCCTTGCATGCACCGCCATTCTTGACGTCGTTTTGAGTTGACGATATAAGAGCGGCCGATGCGGCTGTCGGGAGAAGAAAGAGGATTGACTTCATATTGATAGTTGTGTGTATTGGATAACCGATTTCGTAGGGCGGGATATATATATTAAATCCTGAATAATATTAAATAATCGAGGTAATTAGATAAGTGTTCGTCGCTGAGAAGAAGCTTAGATGATGATGAGGCTCTGGTCTAATCTTCCAGGGCATATCCTCCCTTCTTATAAGATAGCCTGCTGCATCTTAATTTGAAGCTGCCGAGGCAAATATGGTAGTCCAAGACTTTGCGACTCATAGTATACAAGCAGACATGTTTCCAGTTGCCTTCCAAGAACTCATCAAACATCATGCCGCTCTTCAAATAGCCCATTCGATAGCTGCCAGTCTGTTCTTGAGACATATTCTACGAGCCCTTCCCTGTCGAATGAGGCTCCCCGGAACCGTCCTCAGTCTGGAGCTGAGAGCGGTAGGACTACAGGTTGGCGGTTGTAACGGCATCACTAGCGTGCTTTGTGGTATGTAATGCCGGAGTTTGGAGCGCCTTGTTTGTGTGATGTGTGGCATGGGTGGAGTAGGTAAAACAGGCAAAAGGTCAGCAGGCTCCACAACCACGATCTCGTGTAGAATACATGAGACCAATTGGCAAGATTATATGGTCTTATGATCCAATCAATGCGATCACTAGCATGGCAGGAAGCGGTATACTTGGACGAACTCTGGAAACCTCGCCAAATCCTATATCAAGAAGATTTATCAGCTTATAAGGAAGCATTCAAGACTTTACTGCAGCATTGGCAACCTCGGCATGTGGCTAAAGTAGTGCGCCACTCGACTGAGAGCTGTCGCGGGGGTCGTTCAACAGTAGCGGTTTCAGCTAGTCGTTCCACGTTTTCAGCTTTCGGATCAAACTGCGTTTTACAACAGAGCATGTGAACACAGTCACTCAGATTCACGGAAGGATCAGCTTCCGAGAGTGATCTACCGGCCTTGTTGGCGAGGTGGAGACTGTGTTTTGGATCTGCGAGGCTTGGTGAGCTTGTTCAGGCGGCAAGGCTGCGGGTACCGCTGGAGACACGATCGTGTGTAAGATCGATGGTTCAGAGGCATCAAGGTTTTGAGACATTGGAATTAGAGCCTAGATCTAGCCCCATTTCAGAAGGCGGGTGAGCTGTGGTGCGATGCGGTGCAATGCTGCAAGCGTCCAGGACCGTTGATGAAGGCAGGACAACAAGCGAAGCGCATCCACATGGATTGGATCTTCTAGATAGCTTACAAAGTAATAGAAAGGTCGCATGTTCTCATGAATGTTTTGGTATACATGCCTGCGGGATTTCGGCAATGATGGAAAGGCAAAAGGGCGTAATCGCCCGCTTCGGCTTAGAAGTAGAGGATACTGTTTTATGCGCTAGTAAGGAAAAGTCTAGCCTAACTAAGCAGGTATTCATCCTACTAGGTAACGAGACCGAATTCAATAAAGTAACGATGTATAGTAATATTAGGATTCTCTAACTTGTGGTACTTCATTCCCTATGTTTGAGGAAATATTAGTTTTAGGAAGAGATATGGTCCTCCCAGCACCTTGACTAAATTACTATGTAAATTTTATCCTTCCATAAGTTCCCTTGATGAAACCCAGTCAACACAGCCTTCTGGCACGTGAAGATTAGCCTGCCACAGTCCGGTAACTTCCGCACCAGTCTTCCGTTGTTCTTTTTCGGTTTCAGTACTCTCTTCTTCAATTTCTACTCCGATGTTACCAACCTCAGCCAATCTGGCCTTGTAGTTGACAAAATCTCTCAGAATAAGTAAAGTTCCCCTATCCGTCTCTTGTCTCTCATATATCGTACTCTCAGTGTGCGTGGTTTGCTTGTCGCCCTGATGTTTCAGCATCTCCACTAACCCATAGCCATTCGCATTCTGCCAAAACTCATATACGCATCCACCAGAGAAGATGTGGCTCATTAAGGATGAGTACAAGGCAGTTGTTTCGTGGAGAAGGCGGAATTTCTTAGATTTGTTGCCGTATTCTGACAAGAATATCGGTATGGAGGTGCCGCTGAACCTGTGAAGCTACACGACAAGTTCAGACTGTGCGAACAATGTCAGGATAATTAAGGCCTACCAAGTCGTCATACACAAGTCGAGTCACATCCGAAAGCTCCTTCAAGTCGTAGTTTTTACACTGTAGTAGCATTAGTGTCTAAAATCCCTTTAACTCTTGAAAAAAATACTCACCGTCCAGAAATCGATCGAGACATGATCATCACCGGTATTTAGATACTCCAGCATTTCCTGGTCTCTCGCACGACAGCTTTTAGAACAGCTGCTACGGGCAACGTAGCATCATTGGTGATCAGTTCGTTACCGGCCAAGATACCCAGCGTATTCGGAAAGCTAGCCATCACATCTATTGTCTTGAAGAAGGATGTCATGGTTTCGGGGTTGTAGGACTTGGTTGGAGCCAGACGATTAATAGAATTCAATGCTGTTGAGACAGCCTTGGTGAGAGCGTATATGGTCAGTTCAGTATATACACACAACAAATGACAAGGACTATACCCACCGTGAGGACGTATATCCCTGCTTCTTCAAGTAGTTTCATAGCCTGGGTATGGTCTTTTGTATTGTTGATGGAATCTTAATATAAAAATCAGCTTCGTTATAACTCTGATTGCCGCTGCGCCTACAAACAAAGAGCGTATTCAAGCCGAGCTCCTTAAAGAGAAGAATATCTTCTCGAAGTTCCGCGAGGCGATCATCAGAAATGGGGTCAAGTATAGAATGCACTTGGTATGCAACACCTCTTACGAAAAACTTTATCTTTAGTATCAGGCTCAGTGGCATCGAGCATCGACGAGGCGAGGTTTACTCGATCATCGCCTTTCCAGAAGAAGCGTCCGCAAATGTGCATAGAAGGGCACGCGATCCCGGCGCTCATGTTCAACAGATATTCGGCGGGTTAACTAAAGCATAGCGATTGATCGGAGTGGTAAAAGCCAAATTTAACACAGCACCACTCCCTCGGTCATGCAATCGTCCTTAGTGCGCGTGTTGAGGAGTAAGGCGAAATGACTTGATGACCAAAGAGACGGATAGATGAGAATTGGGCACGACAGGTAGCGATGTAGGGATGTAAAGGGGGTGCGAAGAGCTGCTTACTGTGAACTGGTAGTTGTTGCCGTGTGACGTCATGTACTGCTGTTGACATGACCTATCTTCGTATGTGCCTCAAACTCCAAGGGAAATTATGACATATGCTTCGTCTGTAGAGGAGCAATACACAAGCTCTAGGCAAGGAATTAGCGTACGAAACTTGTTTATAGCGTGTGTATATAAGAGTAGTAGTGCTAAAACCTCAATTGAACCATCCTAAGATAACAAAGCATATATTTCTCTCAGCCGACGCTATAGCAGATAGCTTTTAAATCTGTCAACTTCCTTCAAATGATATAAAACGCTTCTTCTGGGCTAATAAATGTATCATCATTTGAGTAGAAACAGAACATGGATTACAAGAGAAACAAGAGCTTTGAAGGAGGAGTTCTTCAGTTTCGCTATAGCCGCACACGAAATCTTACCCCTCGGCCGCTAATTCTACATTAGGTGTTGGAAATTCGGGGCCTGTTTACCCGCCCATGGCTGCCTGGCACATGACTCATGTACTTGCGCCCTTTGTACGTGGGTCAAATCCTGTGACGACAGCCTTATAAATGCCTCACGCTCAAGCATCTGTATCAAGAATATTTATTTCCTATTCATCAAATTACAGCGTAGTCCATTCACATATACAATATGCCACTAGAAGTCCACCGCATCACGTCGCCAGACGACTTGAGAACTTTCGCGGTAATCCAGATTGCCGCTTTTGCAAGTGGGGGCGGCATAGCCTCTTTGCTCAATCCCGAACCCGTCACCGATGAACATATCAAGAAATACACCGAAAGGCATGTCAAATCCTGGCGCGACGAGCACGATGTTGTCTATCTCAAAGTGGTGGATACGGATCTAGATGGCGGCAAGATGATTGCTGGTGCGAAGTGGCGCATCACCGAGAAAGAGAAGACGGAAGAGGAGGCGCAGAAGATGTACCCGACTCCTGAAGGAGACGATCTGAACAACCAGGCGCTTGTAGACTTCCTGGGCTTTTTGTATAGGGCAAGAAAACAATATGTGAATACCAAACCTATTTGCTGTAAGTCATCATCTATCGCAAGTCACAGAGAAACTACGCTAATCCCAATCAGTCCTACAAATTTTGGTAACAGATCCGGATCATCACCGCAGAGGCGCAGGATCTATGCTGCTGAAGTGGGGTCTCGGCAAAGCTGACGAACTCGGTCTTCCTGGTTTCTTGGAGGCATCGCCTATGGGTAAGCCACTGTATGAGAGAATGGGGTTTAGGACTCAGGAAACCGCGGTATTTGATCTGACGAAGTACGGGGCGGAGGGTGAGGACACGAACACGATCATGATCAGGGAACCGTCACCAACCAAGGCGTAAGATGATAATGCGACGAATACTGTGAGTCGTTCGCCAATGCCTCAATAATACCGACGAATAATTGTCAAACCTCTATAATGAAACCTATACATAAAACGGAGGCTCATTACCACGATGGCTTTTATTCATCGGACCATGATCACTTGATATGCACGGCCACGTGTCTCTCCCGTAGTTTCTCAAGTCTCATGGCAAACTCCGACTTGGCGTCTCTTTGATGGGGCATCGTCCAGTTTGCCAATCCCTCTAATCGCATCTCTGACAACTTGCTCATAGTCTCAAGCGCACTAAAGAACTGCTCCACTGTCTCCTTGCACTCCTTATACTCTTCTTCGACTAGCACAGGCCGTATCATAACAAGAGACTTGATCTCTAACACTGCCTCTCCCGCCAAAGAGAAAAAAAGGACAGCATCGTGTATGCCGAGAAACCCGAGCTGAAACGTTGCGCACAGGTAGGAAAGCGTTTCAGCACGGATCTGGCGACACGTGCGAAAGATAGGGAGATGAACTAGCGTTGCGCCAAAATGTTCGGGCTTGGTACAGTTTGCTACGAGGATGGACGGTAAGTCGGGGTAGATGCTGTAGGCGTAGATTTGGTTGCGAAGCTCGCCTGGTAGATCTAGGAATGTGACGCGGGCCGTTTTAGGCTTCAGTACAATTAGCAATCTGCGCGCCTACACTCCCGGTGCAACTTACATTTTGATTACCTGTTCTTCCTTCATTCCGTTTGCTTTGAAGCCACTTTTTGATTTTCATTTTGCTGATGACGGTGTAATGGCCCTGGTCTTGCTCTCATTATCAAGGCTGCCATGGTTCGACGCTTTGCCTAATTAGGACAGCATCACCCAAGGTTTGGTAGTGGAAATTGATATAAGGTCTCATCAATGATAACTACATCACGCACTTCTTTATATAAATGAGTTTTGGCAATATTTGTGAAATCGAGGGCTCATGTTCGTTCATCCTACAGCCCTCCCTGGCCTGATGTCTCGCGTTCACCTGCGATATCTTGCTCTCAAGTTACGTTGCATCTTTCATGTATTCGCGGCATTCGAGCTCACAAACTTATGATTATGTTTAAATCAAATCAAAACACTAAATTGGAAAAAGCTATGTGCATCAGAGATTAATGAATACTTATTCATCCTCGTCCTCCTTTTTCCGCTGACGATTAAGCTCATCAATCACTTTCTTACCACATGCCAGTACCTCCATCGTCCGACTCTTATTGTCGTGATCCCTCGTCTCGGGGACCAAGAAGTAAGTTGTCACTGCTCCAGCAAGCATGAACGCACTCATAACCTGCAGAACGTGTCCGAAATCCCGGCGCTCCTCCCATTTGAGGTTGCCTCCGTCGCTGTCTCTGCCAGTTTGAAAGGCATATGCGATGAAGATCTGCACAACCCATGAGCCCAGCTTTCCAGCCGCTGCAGCTATGCCATGACAGGTACACCGGTATCTTGTCGGGAATATCTCAGCAGGGATTATGAATGTGGTTACATTTGGTCCGAGGTTGAAGGCAATGTGACTCAACACATAAAGAATGATAAGTCCGGATCGGCTGTTGTCCAAAAGCGTTGTCCATGCACTTCCAGTGACGATGAAGAGTACGAAAAGTACTACAAATCCCCAGAATTGGATGACTTTTGGCGAGACATACTTGACAATCTTGATCATCAAAAGGCCGCCAACGACTGTGCCGATGGAGACCATAACCAAAGTGTGTTTGCTGTTGCCGCTCAGGGTCGCATATACTGATTGCTTTTGATCGGGGTTCTCTTCCCATATATGGCTGACGATTTTCGGCGATGAGAGTCCTAATCCGTAAACTGGCACAACGTTAGTGGCGGTTCAAATGCGCTATTCCGGCCTACTTACACGCGAAGTCAAGGAAAAGCCAGGCTAGAGATGTTCCTAGAAGGTAATGCCAGTTCTTCTCTGTGATGAAGAAGTTTCTGGCGTCTGCCCACGAAGCGAGTGGAGGAACAAAGTCAGGGTCGCCGGGTAATGGCTGTACTGACTGAGGCTCATGTGGACGGTTCCCATCGTTGCTGTTGCGATGCTCAGATTCGTCATCGCTGTAGACGATCTCATCAGGCGGTATACCCGAAGAGGTAGATGAACGCCGTGACATTGGCCTGGCTGAAGCTGGATGTTGCACAATGTTCCGCATCTGGGCCTCACCATTCTCTGGATTTATCTCAGGCGCGCCAAAATAGTTTGCGGTATCCTCAAGGGTCTCCTTTGTATTCTGCAATATGTCCAGTGTGTACCTTGGGCTTTCGGGGATCGTGAACCGGAAGGCAAGAGCAATGGTGGCCGGTATAACCCCGATACCTATGACCAACCTCCAAAGTCGATCGATTGCGCGGAAACATTCCAAATCATCATCCCGACATGCTGGTAGTTCTTTCTCAATCCTAGGTTTGTATGCTTCCACTGCTGCTAGCGACAAGACATTGGCGAGCAGCTGTCCTACAGGTTGAGCGAAGAAGACCCAGCTCAACATGCGCGCGCGGTGTTTTCGAGGAGCAAACTCAGCCGTGATAACCTGGATTTGCAATTAATATCTATTCGTCTAATATAAGAGAGGCATCACTGTACCGCACTTAATGGATAGTCGGCACCGATGCCAGCCCCTACCTGGTGTCAGTGTACTCAATTTTGCGTCAACAAGTTGTATGCGTACCCATGATTGCCCGCCAGGTGATCAACCACCCCCCAATCGCCATACTAATTTTCTCGCCGTTGGAACTCATCAACAGTAGCATGGTGCCGACTATGACAATCACCAACTCGAGCCCGTACATTTTGCGTCTTCCAAGAAAGTCTGCAGCAACGCCGAACCCTATCTGTCCGAGCATTGTGGCAGCAAGTGTTGAACACATCATAGCAGTCTTGACTTCTGATGGTACAGATGGCATACCATTATCGAGATTACGCGGCCAGTACACATAGCCTAACATTGGGGTAACAACATTCAGGGCGAACAGGCCGAATGCGTCGGTCAAGAAGCCTATGCCCGCGACTACGACCACCCAGATCTGAAAGGGCGCGGCATCGATTGTGGCCAGTGTCCATCGCCGCCGCCTTGTTTCCTTGCAGGAACATTAGTCCAATGAATAAGATAATTCGACTTCACACCAAGACTTACAGGAATACCACTGCCTCCAGCCGTGAGGTCCTCTACACCGATTTGATGACCCTTTATTGGTCGCGTAATCCAATTGCGGAGACCCATGGTCACGTGGATATGGTCTCACTATTCAAGTGTGTCAGATAAAGAAAAGATCAGTTGTATGTTGCATCTGCAGCAAGTTCGGCTCACGACTGCCTTAATCATATCGCAGATGAGCAAAGCCTCAGCCACATTTACAGATCATGCCGCACACAAATGACTGGATATATGCACTGCCCCGTTTAACAAGGCAGACCGGTCAACGGAAAGATAGCTACGTGGACCGGCACTCCTCTCTCAGTTGCTACACTGGCGAACAACCCGTTTCCGCTCGCCAAAGTCAGACTTGGTGGCGTTCATGGCTGTATCGAATCACGCTTAGGTCTCGATTGAGATGGCTAGGGTTCAGCGGTCACCATTAATGGAAAGGTGTAGTGCTGTCTGCATTGCCTTTGCATTCGACACGGAGGTGCTTCCAGCAGTGTTGGATTGGTGGAGCTCAGGGCAAAGGGGCCATGTAGATATGACTATTCCGTAAACCAGTCTCATGGAAATAGAACCCAGCCCATGCATTTTCGTGGGAAAGCCCCGCTGTTCCGGGTAATGAGGGCGCGAGGTTGGGATGGTCGACGATAGCCGTTCGCTTCCCCACGTGTTGTTGTTCGACGTCTCATTGAACGTTGGGCGTCCAGCCTCGGTAGCGCCACATGTATCAACACGACCTCCTCCGTCCCCTGACCAACTCACGATGGGCAATCTTGTCATCCTGTCTTGCAAGGCTTCGACAAGCGTGTGCCTGGCCCGCAATCGATCGGCAATCAATATGCTGAGCCACCCCCATATGCCGCAACGGCCTCGCTTGGGACAGCCTGGATCCACGCGTGCTCACAAGACGGGGGCAAGCTCAGGCGACACTGCCTACAATACTGTCACCCTCTTCTGAGAGCCTTGCGCTTCCTCAATGTTGCACTCTACTGAATACGAAAAGTTCCCTGTGCATGAGCAAACCCTACACTGTTAGTGTTGCGCTCCAGCGCGGCGCAAGACGACCACCATGTCTTTCGGATGCAGCCCATCAGATGTGTTGAAACTACTCGAGTTCTCCACTCGGGTATACCTTGCTTTCAAAGGTACATCGCTTACCAAAATCGCATGACAAAGCTCAGGACACTGACCCATGCCTAGATGCCAACGAGAATTCAGAAGCACAGGTGGCAGGCCTGGTGAAGGAGTTCACTGCCTTTCACACCTGCTTGGTCGAGCTGGGTGAGTTGATGAAGCAGTATGGCCAACCCATGCCTTTTCCCGTCAAGGAGTTCGAGGCAACACTCAAGAGATGTGAAAAGACGCTCGACCCATATGCAGATCACCTGGTCGACAAGAAGATGGGCGTCAAGAAGTTCATTTTCACGATCAGATACATGGGTATGGAGAAAGAGATAGACGGGCTGAGGAAGCAGATCACTGGCCACTACCAAGCATTGCACATGTGCATATCATTTCTACAACTGTAAGTTTCGCAATGATCCCCAAGACGGTATTACAAGGCTAAGAATCCACAGTCGCTTGCATCTCGAGGCAACCAAGCAAACTCAACGTCTTCTCGACGCCGCACCACCACGTACTGTAACCCTGGGAGGCCGTGCTTACTCAACCAGTGCACTAGGATTTTCATCTCAACATACACCTCTATCGCTACCTGCACCAGATGAGCATCCACTTTTCAGCGAGTGGGTGATCTTTGATCGTTGGTTGCAGAGCGAGGACGAGCGCATCGCTAGAGAAGCAGAGCACTCTCGCCCCCTATCACTAGGCGATACACCTGCTGCTCTACCAAGCGACGATGACCAGACTGCTGCTATATTATACCATCTCCGTCGACAAGTTGATGATGCTATCCTGATTGAGGAAAACCGCACAAAACGCATGACTGCTGAGAAGCGATCGCATCTTTCGCCAAGCGACGCCATACGACAGGAGGTTCGCAACATGCCACCAGCGCCTTCACGTACGTACACTTTAGATACCGATCACTCTGGAAATTTTACCGGTTTTGGCCAGCATCAAATGAGCAGTTCCTCGGAAACTGCTCGGCCAAGTTTAAGCATCCCATTGTCACACTCGCCTCCATCTGTTGGCCCACGTGGGGATTCATACTTTGGCTCTATAGATTGGGCTCAGTCTCCCACGGATACATCTGCCTCGTACGATGCAGGCCGCACGTCTGTTTCCACCAACAGAAGCAGCATGAGCCATTCTCCAGGATCACAGCCACGCTCCTCGAGTGCTGACTTAAGCCCTGGAGGAACTATTCCAGAGACCCTAGCATCGTACAGTCTGCGACGCAGTCTATCTCGCACATCTCTAGCAACAATGGCTCTGGGAGAGGCCGCACTCGACTGGAAACGCATCTGCCGCTCCGTCGAAGTCGAGCGTAAATCTGTCAAGTACGGAGCCGAAAGCCGCGACTGCGACGTCCGATGGCGATACCGCGAAGACACCGGTATATCCATACGCGCCGTATACCACTCCAGTCAAGATGGCAAGCTTCGAACATGGATAGAACAGCACTTCCCCGCTACGGGCCCATCAATCCCACTCACAACTACCTACCCTGACGGCGCCGTCTCCATCGACTTCCCACGCAACTCCTTCGGCAAACTCGACAAGCAATACACGGACATCAAATACACCTTCTCGGCCTCCGACTCCGCTGAGAAATTCCAAACCCTGCTCTATACCAACAACAGCGCCGACGCCGCAGACCTCAAGTTCGACAGGCCCATCTTGACTATCTCTTCCGACAAGAACCCCACAGAGTGCCGCGGCCGCAACCTCCGCCTTTGGCACCGCACCGAAACGCATCTGGAAGATGACGGGCCCGTGGCTTTCGACGTGCTCGTGCTGCTATTTTATACGAGTGCGCTGGAGGAAAGGGGGCATTGGGTCGAGGAACCGCACTATGCATTTGAGTGGCTCACAGACGCTTGCATGAAGAAGGAAAGCGAAAAATTAACCCTTGTCTTTTCAAAAGACGCGTCGCGCTGGAAGTCGGATAAGCTGTTTCAGCGCCGCAAGTCCTCAGGTGCTAGCACCGTCGCTGTGCCAAGGAGTCCCGCGTCACCATCTTCTTCGTCTTCTTTTTTTTCACCGCGGAAACGGAACGATTCGATGGAGATTCCACAGTTGACGCGCGCGGGTACCAAGGCGTCTGTTGCGTCGAATGAGTCGTTCAAGACTGCCCTCACGAGCGCGGCGCATCCGGGGCGCTTGGGCAATCTGAATCGGTTTGGGTATTCGGAGTTGGAGATTAAGTTTCAGAGTAAAAAGGATCGCAGGGCGTTTTTGGAGGTCTGGGCGGAGTTTGTGAAGCCGTTGAGGTGACAAAGTCGTTGGTTTGTGCGAAGGGGGACGGCGTTGGGAGAGTAAAAGAAAATATGTAGAATATGTTAATAATTTATCCTTAAACTGTACTTACTTTGTCCCTTGGTAGAATATGTGTGGGATACTCTTTCGTGTATGATTAGAAATAGAGGAGAAGAAGAAGAAGAAGAAGAGATGTCTCGCATATCGGATTTATTTACTACACATGCGGATACATCTTACATATACAGAGTCCCCCGAAACCCTTTGGGAATTTAAAAAAAAACGCTAAGTCTAAATTTTCCCGCTCAACGGAAAAGATGAAAAAAAAAACTGAGGAAAAAAGGGGGGATCTGGTGGGCACGTTTACTGCCCGGTTCTCATCAACTCAACAATGACAAAAGGGAAAAAAAAGATCGTGTGTAGCTACATGTACTCGCGCTAGCGAGCCCAGAGAGACAGAAAGACAGAAAGGGAGTAAGTGGGCAAAACCAACAATCAGCGGCACATGTTCGCCCTCTTAACCTTCCCAAACTCCTCAACAAACTCCACCTTACCCTGCTCATCATAATCAATCCTAACCTGCTGATTACTGCTCACCGACGGATCGCCATCCTCGAGGTAATTCAGGGGCTCGAGCCGCATGGCCGAGTGCGCGGAGCTGAACATGGTGACGGGAAGGTCATTCGTTCCTGGTATATGGTGCATTCCTAGGTTGAACCAGAGGACACTGTTTATTAAAAATCTCGTCAGCGATTTTGGTTTCTTTTTGTTGGGATGGTTGTGGTGGGGGTGGGGTGAAGGTGAAGATGGATGGGGAAAAGGGGGACTTACACATCTTCCTGCTCCAAACTCTCCTTGTTAAAGAAGGTTGCGAAATCTACCAGTGGGTCTTCTCTCTGGTACTGGTTCAGGCCGTCGGCGGCGCGAGGCTCCGTGTCTTTTTGCTTGGTGATGTAGAGATCATGGGTTACGAATGCACCTGATTTACCGGTGTTTGTGGAGTTTGTTTGGGTAAGGTGGATGGCGCCTGCTGCTCTCTTGATGCGGTAGCCGGGGTACTCGCCGAAGCGGTTGGGGGTATCTTTATTGACGACGGCGTACATGGTGTTGTCGTTTTCGGCCCAGTTGATTTTCGAGTGGGATTCGTTGTCGATGAAGGAGCGGTGGACTTTGAAGGTGTTGTACTTGCGGCCAGTGCTCCAGGGGTAGTCGGTGGTGATGGGTTTGAAGGTAAGTTTCTGGACGCTGTTTTTGCGGCCGTTGATGTCGAAGTCGGCTTTGAAGGTGAGCGTGTGGTCGTGCATGCTACCGGAGAGGAAGTCGTGGATGTGGAAGCCGTAGTCGGACTGGTTTTCCCAGTATGTGGAGGAGATGTAGCCAGAGAAGCGCGAGGAGACTTCGATGGCGCCGTCGTAGAAGAAGGTGTAGTCGATCAGGAAGTCGTAGTTGCCGACTGTGGCTACGGTTCGCATCGTGAACTGGATGTTCTTCGCGACACTGGTGTGAGGTGTGTATTGGCCAAAGGAATGGCGGCGAATTGGATATCCTGGGTCAAACTCAAAGATGCAAATGGCATCTTCAAGGGTCTTTGTATCATTTCCCTCGTTCCATGATGCAGGCAGATATGTTGCGTAGCTTGGACAATCATAGCCCTTGATGAGAGGTGTCAGCGCAGCTCCCATACCGTCTGTGGTGTCGTAGAATGTTGCTTGGGATGCAAATGGATCCGAGCCTGAGTAGGCTGTCAACGCTTCCTGGAGGGAAAGCTCGTACAAAATGCGCTTTCCTTTGTATTTGATATCAAAGAGTGACAGTCCCCGATCAAAGGCAACGTTGTGGTAGAAGCTAAAGTCCATCCAGGAAATATAGTTCTCATCGGCATCGATGCGAAACCTTTGGGCTCCTTGTGCAATAGATGTGGGAGGCGGCTGCTCATCCAATGGAAGTGGACTTCCATCCTTATCAGTGGAGGACCATTTGCCCACCACATTTGGCGAGGGCTTTTTGTACTTTGGAGAGTTGATCGCCGCCCGGAACTCTTCTGTAGAGGAATAAAATTTCCCAGCTGAGTACCAACCGGCAACGTTCCAGTCATTCCAATCTCGTGAGGATATATCGAATTTGATATTGAATCCAAGTGGTGCGATTGTAACGCTGCTAAGTCCCTCGGTGGGAACACCATAGGTCGCAGCCCAGGAAATGATACGGCCATCTTCATCTTTGGATGGATTGCCGAGACGCATACCGACAAGTCCACTCAAGAATGTCTGGAGCAACGTTAGTCATTGCTCGGGTATGGTTTTCACGAGACATTGCTTACTGTATTGAACAAGCGCTGTGAGATGTCCTCGTGTGCAGCCGCAAACTTCGTGAGGAACTGTGTCACTTCATTTGTACCAGAATACAAGGGATGCACTTTTGTTTTCCCCGCGTGAGTATTTTGAAACGGAAAAGTGAGCGGCTTGATCGTCGTTGCATATGTAGCTGGCAGAGGGCCAACCATGTACTCTTGCCAGAACATGTCAGATGTATTGGTAGCACCACTCTGAACTGTAGCGCGTGCATATCTTCCAGGCGGCTTTGCGTATCCGTCTAAGTATTTGACTGTTTCGGTTTTGTTGGGCTCCAAAAGAGTGAGTTGTATACTGAGGGCTGCTCAGCATGGTATTCTTGTTCGTAATTATTCAACTTACACATAACTATCTTGACTAGATCCCTGGTTGCCATTCAACTTCAACTTTTCTTGCAAGATATCGTTGGCACTTGTCGTCTCTTCCTTGGAAAGTGATCTCCATGGGTTGGTGACTGGTGCGTTCAAGGTAGGCTGTCGAGGTTGAGTACAGGCCTGCTGCGCTGCGGTTGATGAAACAAGGGCAGCTGCGCCTAGTATGATAGTAGACGTCCACATGATGATTGAAGGATGGGGAAAGAGATGTTGAGGGATTCTCATCACTGGGACTTCAACATGTTATATGGGGTTTCTGTTCCTTACGCAATTCTGATAGTGCAATACGGCTCAAGCAATTGTGCTGTCCTTACCTCCTGCGCATGCCCAAGAACGGTCTGACGTTTCCGTGATTGAGCGTCTCGGCTCAAAGGGTGTACCCTGTATAACGCTATTGCTATATTGTTTTTCTTGCGCGGCGAGTACGTACAACAGGAAGCGATCGACGGGTTAACACCTTGACGAGCTTAGTCGCAAGAATTAACTTCAGCGTCGGAACAACAATAAGTGTGGATCGTCAATTTGATGATGCTACCTCGTCAAATTGAGATTTTGTGGCTTGCCAAGCTGAATATTCACCATATCAAGAAGATATCCGGTGCCATCCGGTTATGTGCAGATAGCTGGTCAGTTGATAGAGTGTGTGATCCAGACCGTGCCTACTACCTACCGTACTTTTCTCGAGCTCGGGGCAGATTTTTCACCGCTGAAATCAGTGTGCAACAAAGAACGTGCCAGTAGCAAGAATTGCTGGGCATTTTGGGGGCCCAAGAACCGGTAAGACGGCATTCATTGGCGTGTCATGATGGCCATGTTCGATATTACAGTTTTAGCTTAGGTCAACACACACGTAGTCTACTGCTGTGAATCTTTTATTTCAACCGACCTAACTCCCTCCTGGTACGTTTTCGTAAATAGCAAAAGTCGATACAATACACTCTATCCAACTGTCGCAACATTCTTTTCTACGTTTTACTTCACAATGACTGTTTTCTTCCTCTTGCCCTTATTCTACTAGCCCATTGTCTATACTGGAGCTAGTTGTTATCTTTGTTATGCTGAATCTCATACATTCGAATATTTCAACGGACTTAAGACCGTTAGAAGATATATTCATTCTTTGCATTGTGCCTTGATTACATTGCCTCTTCATTTTTGCATACCCGTTTACTGGTTTCTGTAATAACCGTCGACAGGACCAACGGCTTTTACTGCGCGCCCTTACAAAGACCATAGTTAAAAGCAATCTCGTGGAAACGGCTGTAGAAAAGGAATTCGCCGAGACTCCAGCAACAAAATCGACGATAGGTTCACGGAGACATTTGTTAAACGCATCAATGCTTTATGCAGGTTTGGTTGTGCGTCAGGATAGTAGGGACGATTTGTGGCTATGACCATCACAAAGCATGATTGCAAGGCAGAAAGATTGGCTCAATAATGAATGCAGACTAAAACACAGATGCAACATGCTTTGACACCACTCTGCCATTGGCAAAGAAATCAGAGTCTGAATAGGGATGCCCGTGCTGGGGAATGCACTCTGATACAAATGACAACTGTCTACCCTTATGTCTACCAGGCAATCTGGGGCATTGGATACCCGCAATTGTGCTGGTGTCTGGGCATTGGATTATGCCGAATACGCCGGGGTCCAATCTGAATATCTCTTCCCAAGTACTTGAGTTGATCTGCCCACAATGCGAGTTCATTCATGTCTGGGAAGGCTCTGTAAACTTTCCGCACATATTGCGAAAGACCTTCTATTTCTTGAGCCAGAAAGTACGGGTCTTCACTTCCTGTGTCCAAGCCCAACTGATAGTGGTAGTGTATGTTGTGAAATGCTTCGAGTATTGAGTGTACGATGGGCGGAAGAATATACCCTAGGTCAGCAAGACCCTCACCCAATCCAGGCTGATGGTAGTCAGGAGAGGCATAGGTGCGATCATTAGACATAAAACTTACAATCCTGCCTGGTGCCCTACAGAACTCACAGCATCGCGTGTTTGCAAGGTTGGGAAAAGCCCATCGAGGTGCTCGCATATTAGGCAATGCCCATGGGTCGCAAAGGCGGCGCGCATGAGCAATGGGGTGTGGCAGTTCATGGCCAGGCGACCACAGCCAGGGACAGAGATCGTGTGCCATTTGGAGAAATGTAATCAATCACTATGGAAGGGAATATATTATTTGGTACAGCATAGATGCTTCACCGTGCAGTGGAAGAGGATTGCAAAGATGTTTATATGATACTATCAGGCGTTCTGTTTTGTCATGTTATACACCCGGTGGCCCTACTGCGGCTTGCGCAACAGAGAGATAAGGGTGTTAACTTAGAAAGCAGATGATGGTGCAACGCAAACACTGGTGGCGGTGAGCAAGTCAAGTCATTCTCTGCATGTCAGTCCATAGTCAGTATACAGACACCAGACAGACCAAGGAAAAGCGGTTCCTGTTGGGTATGGATTCCAAGGTCCAGGATGTTAGAGCAAACAAGTTAACAAAGTCATGCCCAGTGTGGCATTGATACCGCCACTCGGGGAAGTTTTAGCAAGTTAAGGGCGTACAATGACACGAATCAGTAGGCTTTCAGATGCTTACACATGCATAGTCATGCTGCGTTGAAGAGAGCCGATTTCCGTAATTTTGTCTAGATGAGGGATGTACATACTAAGTGCGAGACGAGACGAGGCGAGGCAACAGTCGGAAGAGGGATGGCGGATGGGCATGGTGGAGATGTGGTCCGGCACACGCGACGGCGCTAACCCGTTTTGGGCCCACTTAACGCGTCGCGTCGCGCCTTCTTCAGCTAAGGCTGATGTCTCATGAGCTCCTTCCATTACCACCCCTCGCTCCTTCCACACCACACACCACACACCACACACCGCACCCACTGCGCCTTCTCTCAAGAACACGCCATGGCTTCTACTGTTCTTGGAAAGAGGACTCGCAGCTCTACACGTGTCGACGCTTCCGGTACGAGCATCAGCATCCCGATAGCCCTTTCCCTTTCAACACGTCCCTAACGCGCTACACAGATGCAAAATTGAACGTCGCAACACGGTCAAAGCGGAGGACGCAGTTTGTCATTCACGATGAGGGCGAGATTGAGAATCCATTCGTCACCCCCAAAAAGCAAAATGCTCAGATCGAGGATGCAATGGACGTGGACGAGCCCGAAGAGAAACCCTCCACACGGCGCCGAAGGAAGACTGGGACGACACCTGCCAAAAAATTCGAGCCATGTTCGCGATTTCCCCTGTCATCCGCCAAGGAAAACTCGCCCCAAAAATCGCTGGTCGATATACCGGAGAAGTTTGCGCCTACTCCCTCAACTCCCAGACATCGCGACGCGCTTGCTGCCAAGGTTGCCGTCACACCACGACATCGACTCATTATTCCCGGCCGACCACTGACACCCCGCACGCCACATACCCCAGGAACCCCGAGACATACTGCTCCCACCGTCTACAACGAAGCGCGACAAGTATTTGCCAGAGGCTCGGCGCCTGCGGTACTCTTTGGACGTGAAAATGAAAAGAAGGAACTCCAAACATTCATCACCGCCCGCACAAAGGGCCGCAAGTCTGGATGCATCTACGTCTCGGGGCCTCCGGGTACTGGAAAGAGCGCATTTGTCAACGATGTCTGCCGTACAGTATCAGACGATGATTCTGTTCAAACCGGATACATCAACTGCATGAGCGTTAAGAATGCTCGTGATCTCTACAGGACGCTGCTGGAGGAGTTTGTCGACATTACCGAGATCGTCGAGGGCGAGGAGATGGAGGCACTCAAGAACGTTTTCATGCAGCGCGAATCTTCCTACGTTGTTACCCTGGACGAAGTGGACCACCTCTTGGAGTTGGACATTGACCTCTTCTACAACATCTTCGAATGGTCGTTGCAAAAGTCTTCCAGTCTGATTCTTGTCGGTATCGCCAACGCCCTCGACCTTACAGATCGATTTCTCCCACGACTCAAGGCCCGCGGTCTCAAGCCACAGCTCCTTCCCTTTCTTCCATACAACGCAGCGCAAATATCTTCGGTCATCACCTCGAAACTCAAAGCACTCCTCCCAGCAGGCAGCACCAGCCAACTACCATTTCTCCACCCCACCGCCATCATGTTCCTCTCCAAAAAAGTCGCCGCCCAATCCGGCGACCTGCGCAAAGCCTTTGACATCTGCCGCCGAGCAATCGACCTCATCGAAGCCGACACACGCGACCAACACGCAAAGAAAGCCACAGAAATCACCCCTTCCCCCACACCCTCCCCCTCAAAAGCACCCTTGGTAGAAAACGACAACCTTGCCTCCCTCGCCTCCCGCTCCCCCTCAAAACCCAAAGACCTCAGCACCGCCATCGCCGCCTCCCTCGCTTCTCTTACAGTCGAAACCGCGCCCCGCGCCACTATAGCTCACATGGCCAAAATCACCGCCGCAGTCTTCAGCAACGGCACAAGCCAACGCCTCCGAAACCTAAACCTCCAACAAAAAGCCGTCCTCTGCTCCCTCTCCGCCATTGAAAAAAGACGTCGCGCCACAGCTGCAGACACCGTTTTATCTACTCCATCTCGCTCACACACCACATCCCCAACTATCAAAGACCTCTTCGAAGCCTACACTGCACTTTGCAAGCGCGAAAACATTCTCCACCCGCTCAGCAGCACAGAGTTCCGCGATATCGTAGCCAGTCTGGAGTCGCTATCGCTTATTTCTGCTGTAGACGGCAAGGCCGGGTCCCTCGATGTTTTCTGTGCTGGCACCCCGAGTCGACGCGGGAGGGCTAAGGCGTTTCCCGGTGTGGTGGTCGAGGAGCGTAGAGTCGCAAGTGTGGTGGGTGAAAAGGAACTCGCTGAATCGCTTGTGGGACCTGGTGCTGCTATCCTAAGGGGTATCTTGGAGGCTGAGGGTGTAAGGTGAGAGAGATGTGATACGTACAGAGTTAGGCCATGACTGCTTTTTTTTCTCTTCTTCTTCTTCTTCTTCTTCTGTTGTTTTCACCGAGAAATGGGAGTTCGTGTATGGGACATGCGACACGTTACCCCCCTTCCTTCCTTCCTGTTTTGTTGGAAGTAATGGGGTTTAGAAATATGCTTTCATGAGCGAAAAGAGCGGATTTGAGTCGCATATTGGCGCTGGTTTGGATAATTCGTTTTTTTGGTATCATAGCGAGCGAGTAAGTAAGCGACTTGGAGCATTTGTTTAGCGTAGCATACGGATGGTGTTTGTTTGGCATTGTTCAAAACTCGATAGGCAACGAGGTAGTTAGGATAGTTTAAATCAAATCACACCAAAGCAGTAAAAAAACAGCACGAGACAAGAAAGTGTGTATGTATGTGCATGTGCAAGTGGTATCATTTACCCCCAATCTATCCATCTATCCTTGAATCCAAACTTACTCCTCTTCCTCCCCCTCCTCTCCCTCATTCTTCTCCTGCCGCAGCGTACTGGTGGGAACTTGACTCTCACCCCCCTTCTTGCGAAAAACTGCCTGCATCCAACAGCGATACATTTTCAGTCTGCGCTGCCGATTCACCAACATGCGTCTATCAACCCCAATATGCGCAACCTCAAAGACATGTCTTTGTTCCGCCTGCTCTTCGAGCCGCACCTTTTTGACTTGATCTTGCAATTGCGATTCCGCGCCCTCTCCCCCTTCCTCCTTCTCCTCCTCCTCCTCTGCACTACCACCAGACGACATCTTGCCAGCCCAGATATTCTCCAACTCCTGCTGCTCAAAAAAGTAAACCCTCGTGCCATCTCCCCTCACATAAAAATTCTCCTGTAAGTACCTCCCCTTCTTAAACCGCACCTGGGCGAGATCCCCGCGGCCGTAGTCTCGAAATAGCACTTGCCCACCCGGCTTGAGTACGCGCCAGATATTATCCACAGCCTGCGCCCACTGCTCCGGACTCAGCGCACTAAAGATGAAAATCATGAGCACGACATCGACACTGGATTCCGCCAGGCCAGGCGGTAAACCCCCGTTTTCAGCGGTAGAAGGGGACGCGACGTCCCAAACATCCGCCTGGATACGTGCCGGGTCGTAGAGTTCATGATTCCTGATCAACTCAACCGCCTTCTTCGAAAAATCACACGCATGAATCTTGAGCCTCTGATTCCTACTCCTCTGCAAAATCGGAAACGCACTATTTCCCGCGCCAGCGCCCACTTCCAACAGCGTAGCCTCTGGGCCATCTTCCTTGCCGAGCTCTTCTAAGATCGGAAACTCCTGCGCGAGCCACTTTCGATTTTTAAAAAAATTTGTCTTGTTGTTTTTGTAAAACTGGTTCCACCATTTTTCAGGCTGAGCATTGTAGCGCGAGCGGTCAAAGTCAGACACGGGTTCGGAACGCTGCTTGGAGTATTGCTCTTCGGAGAAGGCGAGGTAGGTGGAGTCGACGGTGACGTGGTCCCAGGCGTTGAATTCGAAAATGTCGTCGCCTTCCTCGAGGTACCGGGAGCCGAAGGCGAAAGGGTCGCTGCGCTTTTGGTTGTTGGTGGGATCGTGCGAGCGGGATTGGGGAGCGCGGACGGGGGCGAAGGAGGCAGGGACGCCGTAGGCGTCGTTTTCGGCGGGGGGCTGTTGTTGTTCGGTGGAAGTGGAGGAGGGCTCTTGCGTGGAGTCTGTGGCTTCAGACTGTGGTGGTTGTGATTTTGGTGTAGAAGCCGAGTGTGGAATGGGGTCGGCAGTGACCGCGAAGCGCATGTGCTCCATGGCTTTCGATAATTGTTGTCTCGGCTGCGGTTTCTTTGACACGCTGTTGTCTGTCTGAAATCTTGCGTCGCTGGATTGGACTGAATCCGCGCTTCCCCCTACATCCTTCTCCAGCCCCTTTGTGGCATCCATATCAGCAGCCATTGTGTCGTTGTAAAGTTGCGTCCTGTCGCGTATATATGCGGGGAGGGGACCAGGAATTCTTAGAGGGGTACTCGCTTCGCCCCTCCATCGAGGCGCGAAATTTCCCACGCTAGCAACCCCCAAACCCAGTCTAGCGCAGCCGCAACAGCAACTCGTCCCTGACATGATAGCGTCATGGGGACGTAGAGCCGCAACACCCTAGCGCGACATTTCCACATTTCCTCCCCATCACCATTACAATTACCCACCACACCTCCACCCTCTCAACTCCCAGGAATCTCTCAAAAAAGACGCCTGCAAACCCCGCTATGAAACCAATATAACACCACTCCAAAAAAAAATGCCACCATTCAAATCCGCCCGTCCCCTCCTTCACCACCCATCACACCACCTCCCTCAACGCCGCACCTTCCTCCCAAACCCCTTCTCCGCTCTCACCCCCCCTTCTTCTTCCTCCTCCCCCCCTCAAATCCTAACCGCGACGCGAACCCTCCCCTTCCCTCCGGCCCCCGTCTACTCCATCATCGCCGACGTCCCCGCTTACTCGTTCTTCCTCCCCTACTGCGCCCACAGCTCCGTCTCAAAATGGTCCTTGCCCGATAAGCGCTACGGGCGGCGCTGGCCCTCCGAAGGGGTAATAACAACGGGTTTCGGCGCTATAACGGAGAGTTTTGCGAGTCGGATTTATTGTGTACCCGGCAGGTGGGTGGAAAGTGTGGGGGGTGAGGCGGAGACGTCGTTGGAGGCGGAGGAGATTGCGCATCATTTTGATGAAGGCGAGACACAAGGGCAGAGGAGGAGTCCGGGGGAGAATGGACTGTTGACGTATCTAAGGAGTAAATGGGAAGTTGAGGCAGTACGGGAGGCGCAGACAAGAGTGAGTCTGGTGGTGGAGTTTTCGTTTGCGAATCCAATGTATGCCGCGTTGAGCGGGGGCGTGGCGCCCAAGGTTGCGGAATACATGGTTAAAGCTTTTGAGAGGAGGGTGCAGGAGGTTTTGGAGAGGAATCCGGACATGGCCAAGGCGAGTCTGGCGGATTTGGATGGGAGTGCGATGAAGAGGAAGTAATGGGCTACATCACGGTAGCAAAAGCATAAAGACATCACCTGCATAATAGACGGTAGCAGCATTTTTGAGCGAATAAATCAATTTCAATATCAACATCCTAATACATTTAATTGAACAATGACTTATACACCAAGCCAACCCCAAACTCCTACTTGGCACCCTCAAAATACTTCTTGAATCGAGGCTCATTCTCCAAATCACACGCCAACACCGCTTCATAGCAGCTCATGAGCAACTGGGGGAACTTGACGGTCCAGTATTTCAGATATCCACTCGGCAGCGGCCCAACCTTGGCCTTGATCGAATCTTCCATATCCTCGTAGTGGTTCTTCTTGTTACGCAACGCTCGCAACAAGTCGAGCATACGATCGCCTGTGTACTTGCGTTGCTTACCCAGCGAATTGACAAAGCCTGGATCCAGCTTGGCTAGGAAGTTGCGACGATGGTCAAGGACATCCTGAGCGTATTCTTCAAGCTGCAAGAGGTGCTCCGACGGAGGGTCACGAGGTTCTCGCTCCCAATGATCAGAACAGTCACACAGGAAGTCAAGTCGCTTCTGATCGTCCCAGAAGAAGGGATGGTTCATGACCTGGAGAGCAGTTGGACGGGATTCAGGACGTGGCCGAAGCATCCATTGGATGAGGTGATGTGGCTCCACAGAGTCGGCACCAAGAAGCAGACGGTCGAGGTTGGACTTTTCCTTCTTGATGTTGTACTCGCGGATCTGCATCCAGCCTTCTTCGTCATCAAATGGGTGGCAGCCACCGGTAAGTACGTAGTAGAAGACACAGCCCAGAGAGAAGATGTCCACAGCCCGCTTCACGCCCTGTGCGACTGGATCCGTCGAGCTAGATGAGTCGCGGGAAAAGCCCTGAGAACTTCCATTGACCAGCTCCTTGGGCTGCGAAATGAGCTCAGGTGCTTTCCAGCCGACAGTACCTGCGTTGCCAGTTGTACCGACAAGAGTACTAACGTTGTCGGGCAGAGTCTTACAGAGCCCAAAGTCAGAAATCACCAGCCGCACGTCATCCTTGGAGGTGATCAGAGGCTGTGCAACGAGAATGTTTTGAGGCTTGATGTCGCGATGAATGATGCGGAGATGGTGCAGGTGGTTCAATCCGGCAGCGAGCTGGTACAGGCAGGACGAAGCCTTCTTACTAATCTTGTTGACCAGACGCTGATGTTCCTCGCTGAGCTCCTCCCCAGGCCGCCCATCCTTGTACAGATCGAAGAGACTAGCCTGGCAGAGTTCGACGGCGATGTAGAGAAAGTTTTCATCGCGTTCATCATCAAAGTAGCGGATGACGTTCGGGTGGGGGTCGCTGTTCTGTAGAAGCTTGACCTCTTGTTCTGCAAGCCCAAAGTATTGAGGCAACATGCGCTTGACGGCGACCTTGACTTCCTACAGTGATGTTAGAATGAGAAGGCGGTGAAAGACCGACGGTGATAGCATACCTTCCATTTTCCTTCAAAGACGAATGTGCCACCACTTCCATTGCCCAATAGTCGATCTTGGTCAATGGTAAGCTTGCCGATGCGTTTGATCTCAGAGATGTTTTGCACGTCACCCCCGCTCACGGTGAGTTCGTCTGGGTGCAGGCGAGGGCCGACTTCGAGCTGTTTGGCTGCGTTCACAATCCGGTTGACCTCATCTTCCTCCTTTTGCTGATTCTTACTCAGCTTACGGCCGCCCCTTCTACCCCGGTGTGTCTTCTTCTTCTTCGGTGTAGCCGGTGCAGCCGTGGGGTCTTGTGAGACGTCTTCGGTGCTGTTCGCCATTGCTTCGGCATCGCCATTGAGCTTCACCTCTGGCGAAGCAGCTTCGTCCGAGGTTGGAGAGGCTTGTTCAACAGTCGTAGTCCTGGAGAGGGGTGCAAGATCTTCCTCTTCATCACTTGGTACGGCAAAGGTGACCTTCTTCTCCTTGAGCTCCTCCGATGCAGGTAGCTCGTTTGGGTCTTTCTCAGCGGCCTCAACAACTGGCTTCTCTGGAACAGGATCATCTGCATGTGGAACAACCAAAAGCTTTTCTTGGCCCAGCTTGACCTCAGGCTCTGGGGAAGCGTGAAATGGCGGAAGAGGCTGTTTGGTGTTGTTGCCTGCATGAACTATCTGCTTGAGGTAACTCAGGCAGGACTCAACCATTGTAGGCTTGATAGAAGCCCCAACACCGCCAAATAGGCAGATTGCAAGTACAATGTATATGTAGACATTGACTGAGCGCGCGACGACTTCAGCCTGCGGTGGTGCATCAATGCTTGGTGGCTGGTGATGCTCTCTTGGGGAAGTTTCTGGTGGGTTGGAGATGACCTGATCATTCACAGAGTCGTAGAAAGTTGGTGCAGGAATACCCAGCAGCTGAGTTGGCAAGTCAGGAACCTTGTAGTCGAGCCTGTGGACACCAATGAGGCTCTTCTTGTCTGGCAAGGCGTATGCCGCATCCCAATCGTATGCAGCCTGATTCTGCTTGTAGCAGCTTGCGTCTGGAGCACCATCTGTCACGGCAGGGTAGTTGACTTCTGACAGTGCATACCACGCTCCCGAGTCGGTTGTGTTGAGGAGGACGTGATTGGCCTTGTCCTCTGAAAATACAGGCCCCGCAGGCTGGGGAAGAAGGACCAAAGGTGGGTCAGAGGATTGGTCGTTTGAAGGACGGGCAACATCAAAGACGCGTGCAACTGGAAAGGGCAGACGCTGTCTGTATAGAGGGCGCTGGTGTGATCTTGGACGCTTGTAGTCAAAGGCAATGACTTCGCCGTTGTATGTGGTATAGATATACTGCTTGTCCAACGTCTGGTCGTACTGTGACTGCAAATCTCTGTCACGACTGTTGGGATTCCACTCTGCGTATTTGAGCGTGCAAATGTGCTCGTTGGTCTTTTTGTTGTGGATGGTGATGGTGTACTGCGTCTGACCAATGTCGATGACCCCGCGGCAGTCACGTTCTCGCGCGCTAAAGTAGTTTCTCGATTCTGGGGCACAACTGTCGTCGTGGGGAAAGGTTCCGCCAGGACTGAAGCTCTGCTTGACTATACCAGAGGCTGCATCTACAAGCAGCATAAATGTCTTCTTCTCGACGTTATACACGACCGGAAGTTCCGGATCATCGCTCGAATAAGGTGCGTTTTCGGCCAATTGCTTGACCGTGACGCCCAGGTGTTGGAGATGGGGATAGGGCCCTGGGGAGAGGAGGTAAAGGGCTCCATCTTCTCGCGGCTCCACGATCCACACAAAAGGCTGGTCCTGAGGGTCGACACTGCCGCCCGATGAGTTGTAGATGGTTTCCAACATGGGCCTCCCGCTCAACTCCCAGATCTCCTCGCCATTGTATCGGTCGCGTGCGTGTATGTGGCCGTCGACGGTCGCCAAGAGAACAAAGTCCTCAACTTCCCAATCCTGCAGAGAGCGCGCACCGGGGACAAGGCCCCCCGAGGCTGCATATCTGGCGGGATCGGCTCTGACAGCACTGATGGCTGGAGCAGAAGGAACTCTGGTTGCTAGGGCGCGCACATTCTGGCTGTGAAGGGATGAGTGAGGTCTCCGACGCGGAGCATCAACTACCGCGTCCTTGTGGACGGGATTTGCGTGTTTGTGGTTGGGCTTGGGGTTGATGATGGGAGCGTGTTCTACATGGAGAGCGGGGCGAGGGGCTCCGCTGGGGATGTGATGTCCGAGGCGTGGAGGAGGCAGTGGTAGTGGTTGTTGGTGTTGTGGTTGTTGTGGTTGCTGCTGCTGAGCGGCCACAAGTCCGGCGAGGAGCAGGAGGGCGAGGGTGGTGAGCGCCGAGCCAGCACCAGGCGGCCGGCGCGGACGCGGCATTGCGGGCGTGTATGGGGATCAGTTGGAAGCCTTGGGCAGGCAGCGAGGGCGAGGGAGATGGAGCATCCGCAAGCAGTGATGGGGGCGAAGGGCTGGTTCAGAGGAGGAGCGGGAAAAGACGCCCGTGGCAGCGAATTTGGGACGATATTAAGGCCTCGCGGCGGGGGGGACTCGCCTGCTGCAGCTGAGCGTGGGCACCATAAGCTGGGGGTCCAGTCGGGGCCTCGTCAGCCCACCCGTCACTGCTGCTAGCACTTAGACTCCTTGTCCACACACTCGCCCGTTTTCCTCGTTTTGGCCGCCACCGCCCATCCATCCCCATCCATCCACATCCATCCATCCACTCCCAACGCAGGGACAGAAGGCGACGACGGGCCATCCCATTCCATCCATGTCCATTCCTTGTGCTTGTGCTTGGCTGGGGCAGCAACAGCAACGGCGGTCCTGGGCCTGCAGACAGAGATGGAGACACGGCTGCACTCTCATGCCATGGGCGGCCATTGCCCACCAGCCAGCCCACAACGACGCCAGGATGCATGGCCACCGGAGCCAAAACCAAAGCACGCATGTACCCAGACCCAGACGGCCATGGTGGCGCAGTAGGTGAACTGTATCCCTCCCGCCCCGCCCCGCACCACACCACACTACTCTACACCCAACCACCAATTCTTCTCAAGCACCCAAAGTCCGTACGCCGCCAGACCACACGCGCTCAACTTGCCCTGCCCCGCCCTGCTCTGCTGCCCGTGACAAACTGTGCGACCATTTTTAGACTTGCCGTGACCAGAGTAACCGTTCAGAAAATATCAGTGTGTCCGAAGAGAGTTTCCCGTTTCGGTGCTGAGGTGTCTTTGCGGTAATGGCGAGACACGGAGATGAAACACATGTCAGCGCCGAATCCCCATCACCCGGCCCACCGCACCCGTCACGTGACATATCCTCTGGACTGAATCATCTAGAAGGTCGACTGACTCGCGTTACCTGCGTCCGTCAACCACAATGCCACACCCCCTCACCCCATCACATCTACTCCATATTAACTCAATCAATCAATGGCACATGCATCAACTCCGACGCACCCTGCTGCACCATGCAAACAGGAACCGCCCGTATTACATGCGTCACGCCTTGTGCGGCCACCTACGTGCTTCGGTACTAGTCACTTCCCACAATCTGACACACAAGGCACGGAACAACCGTTCAGGCGCCTGAGGCTTTGGCTGCATTCATCTTGCTCTGTGATATAGTGTACACTCGATCTTGTGCCCGTGATTCCATTGCTTCATAACGTCCTGTCGCCTCCCCTTTACATACGATCGCGTCGTCGTGGTGCGCTTCGGATAATGTTGTCCACTCGCAATAGCAGCTGTCAAAGTTAGTGTACATCTCACAATCGTCTTCTACCCATTCACTACTCACCTCTGCGGCCTCCGAGGCCGACGATACTACTGCTCGCTTCAGCTTGTAACTTTCAATCACACCCAACTCCCTCATGTCCGCAATGCCACCTCCCGGTGACAGCAGATCTAGACCCGAGCTGGTCAGGCCCGAGTAGACGGCTTTCCGGAGTCGCGTGACCAGGTCGCTCGAGTCGAATCCGGCATTGTCGGCCAGGATCGTGGGCAGTTGTTGCAGCGCCTTGGAAAACGATTCGACCGCAATCGCCTTCTTGCCAGCCACATTTTGTGCCGCCTCCATTACTGCCTTTGCCATGTTCATCTCGGCGCAGCCACCGCCCAATGTTGTCCGGGGCTCCTTGACTGTTTGTGACAGTACGGCAAGAGCATCGTGTAGCGATCGCTCTGCTTCATCCAGAAGCTGCTCGGTAGCACCACGCAGCACAATAGTGCATGCCCGTCCCGCCTTGATACCCGAGAACTTGATCAACACATCCTCTCCAATTATCACCTCCTCGACAACATCGCAGTAGCCGAGCTTGACATTCTCAGGGTGGTCAAAAGTCGAGGTAATCTCTCCGCCAGTGACCAGAGCCAGTCGCTCAATGCCGTCAAAGTCTGCGTGCTCAATCGAGCAGATGCCAGCATCCGCAAACAGCTGCTCTGGCCAGTTGTAGATGAGCTGTCGGTTGACAAAGCAGTTGATGCCATGTGCCTTGATACGCTCCACCTTGGCCTTCATCTTCTCACGCTCAGCCTTCTCCAGATCGGCAAGCTTGCCTGTCGAATCCACCTTGACTCGCGCTCCAAAAATCTTGATCTTGTCTGTGTCCATGGCTGTGTTTGCAACCAGAATCTTTGCGTTCTCTATCCGCTTGGGCTGGTTCACGCCAAACTTCTTGTCCAGAATGAATCCCTCGTCCAAGTACGAGTCCTTTAGCTTTCCTCCAGCCTTCTTGATAATCTGGATGTGTGTCAGGTCCGTCGAGCCTCCAAGCTTGAGGACAGCGTCTACGGCGAGCTTGGCAAACTGTGTGCGATCCTGCGAGAGCACCTTAGAGCTCAGCGTTGTGCGGGCAATGGCCTCGAGATCTTTTCGAAATTCCTGCTCGTCATTGCTATGGTCCACTGCAATCTTCTCCAGTACCTTGAGCGCTGCACTGCTTGCTATCCTGTATCCTTCGATGATGGTCTGGGGGTGGATCTTCTGGTCGACCAACTTCTCCGCCTCCCGCAGCAATTCGGCGGCAAGGACAGTGACTGACGTGGTTCCGTCACCGACTTCGTCATCCTGGACTTTTGAAATGTTGACCAGTACTTTTGCGGCGGCGTTGTCGAGGGCAATCGCTTTAAGAATGGTAGCACCGTCGTTTGTGACCATGATCTCTCCGGTCGAACTTTCCACACATGTGAGTTGGGGCCTACAAGTGGGAGCGGGGCAATCTTCACTTACGCAGACTGCAATATCTTGTCCATGCCCTTGGGGCCCAATGTGCTCTTGACCAAGTCTCCAACAGCGATGGCGCCTACAAAGGCGGAGAGGCGCGCATTCTCGCCCTTCTCCTCCGTTACGTCGTCCGCAAAGATCTGAGTGGGGTTGGACTACATGTCTTATCAGCCACTACTGCCGTTGTTTATTGTTTAGTGAGAAAATTCAGGCGCTCATACCATCTTGCTGGAATTCCTAGGCAAGCAAAGAGGGGTATCTCAGAAGGTGTGGGGTTGTCGGCTGGGTGTGCCTGGACGCGACTTTTTTCTAGTCTTGCCCGCGTTGAAGCTGTGTTTGCGGTGTTTGCGCGGAGCTTCTCCGGCCAATGGTTCCACCGGGGTCCGTGACCTGTGAATGCCTATTACCACCTTTGCTGCACAACATCAAACCACCTGGAAATCGTGGTGATTCTGGTTGTATAGTCTTGTCTAGACCCACAATCTCTTTCTATACCTTGAATTTCTGCGATATCGCACCTGCGCAAAATGTCAAAGCGACCGGCCCTGGAGCCTCTCGAGGAAATGTACGACGCGCCGTCGCCAGCTATGAAGCGCCCAAAAGTCGAGGATGAAGAGATGGAAGACTCCGATACAAACGGCGCGACTAGCAATGGCCACCTCATGGCTCCTCGACCGCAAGACCAAGACAAGATAGACATTGTAGGCGCAGACGCCGAGGAGCATGAGGAGCTTGAAGAAGCCGGCGCATTGGACGACGAAGACGGTGACGAGCCCGCAGTCGCCGCGCCGAAACGCCAGAGTGCGCCAGAAGCTGGATACACCGATCTTTACCTCGACACGATAAACCGCAAAGTCCTCGACTTTGACTTTGAGAAGCTATGCTCCGTCACGCTGTCCAATATCAACGTATACGCCTGTCTCGTATGTGGGAAATACTACCAAGGTCGGGGGCCAAAATCACAAGCATACTTTCATGCGCTGGAAGAGGGACACCATGTATACGTCAACATGGAGACGAAGAAGGTCTATGTGCTTCCAGAGGGCTATGAAGTGACTTCCAAGTCGCTAGACGACATCAAGTTTGTCGTAGACCCGCGCATGAGCAAGGAGGAGGTAGCGAAGTTAGACAAGGAGCCTAAGGTGTCATGGGATCTGTCAAATCGCGAATACATACCAGGTTTTGTGGGCATGAACAACATCAAGGCAAACGACTACTTCAACGTAGTAATACAAGCCCTCTCCCACGTCGTCCCACTACGAAACTACTTTATGCTCGAAGACCTCTCAAACCGACCGCAACTCGCCCAGCGCTTCAGCACTCTCGTCCGCAAGATCTGGAACCCGCGCGCCTTCAAAACCCACGTCTCACCGCACGAGCTCCTCCAAGAAATCGCCCTCCGCTCCTCCAAACGCTTCACCCTAACCGACCAATCCGACCCCGTCGACTTCCTCTCCTGGTTCCTCAACAACCTCCACCTCGCCGTCGGCGGCTCCCGCACAAAACCCCACAGCAGCATCATCCAAAAAGTCTTCCAAGGCACCCTCAAAATCGAACAACAAGAAATCACCGCTCGCGCAGACGCCGGCGACCGCCTCCGCTTCGAAGACGCCGCCGTCCAAACCACTACCTCACACTTCCTCGTCCTAACCCTCGACCTCCCCGCCGCGCCCCTTTTCCAAGACGCCCTAGAGAAAAACATAATCCCCCAAGTCCCCCTCGTAAACATCCTCTCAAAATACAACGGCGTGACTCCGCAGGAAAAATCAAAAAACCGCGTCCGATACCGTCTTTTACACCCCTTGCCCCCATATCTTCTATTCAACATCAAACGCTTCTCCAAAAATAAATTCGTAGCAGAACGCAACCCAACCATTGTCACCTTCCCCGTCCACTCCCTCGACATGTCTCCTTATGTCGAACCGAATCCCGCTGAGTACCCGCCCGGCGAACCCATCTGGTACGATCTCGTGGCCAACATTACGCATGAGGCTGTCAAGAAGAAAGATGATAGTGTGGAGGGGGAACTGGAAAGCAAGATTTGGAGGGTGCAGGTTAAGGATCGGGCGAGGGAGGAGTGGTATGGGATTCAGGATTTGTTTGTGGAGAAGGAGAGGGCGGAGACGCTGTTTACGAAGGAGGCGTATTTGATGGTT